GGATAATTGATTTGACTGCTGGTAAGTTTTTAAATTACTGTTAAATGAACTTCAAATAGTTATTCAGAACATTATACATATGCCTCCAGCATAAGATCTTGTATATAAAATGTGATTTCAGTCTTAAGTCTAACATAAAACTTTCAAGTGATTTGTGTTTATGGAGAATGTCATAAAAATGTGGAGGATTAAAAATCACATTGTACTGGCTCCTAAATTTTTCCTGAGAATTTTGTATAGATTCTTCATGATATTTCACTTCTACTTAGAAACAAATTAGATGTGATTTACACATATACTTCATCTATGTTTACCTTAGTGTTTTTCATCCCATTTTAATATTTTAAAATAGAGTTTTTAGCACAAAACTTTTAAAGCAAATCAAAACAAAGCAAAATTCTTGAAAAATCCTTTCCCAATTTGTTGGATAGAGTAGAAAACCCAGAATGAACTAGAAGGAGCTGTACCTCACTGGCAATTTCTCTGGAGGCTTTGGCATGCTTGATTTCAATGGCATCTGCTCTCAAGTCATAGCCTTTCTGCTTGGCCTCATCCCAGTCTTTCTGGTAGAGTTTCTGTTGAGGGAAAACACAGGTTTGCTTATAAGAATTGAAAATCAGTGGACAGACTCAAAGTAGTTATACTATGAATCATAAAGCACACTGCACATGATGGCAGCTTAAGAAAAAACAGTCACTTCTGAGTCCTTTCAATTATTGCCTATGTATTTTATGGATCACAGGGTACTTGTGATTATAATTTTAAAGCTAAACATCTTTTTTTTTCATTTATTTTTATTAGTTGGAGGCTAATTACTTTACAATATTGTAATGGGTTTTGTCATACATTGACATGAATCAGCCATGGAGTTACATGTATTCTCCATCCCGATCCCCCCTCCCACCTCCCTCTCCACCCGATTCCTCTGGGTCTTCCCAGTGCACCAGGCCCGAGCACTTGTCTCATGCATCCAACCTGGGCTGGTGATCTGTTTCACCCTAGATAATATACATGTTTCGATGCTGTTCTCTTGAAACATCCCACCCTCGCCTTCTCCCACAGAGTCCACAAGTCTGTTCTATACATCTGAGTCTCTTTTTCTGTTTTGCATATAGGGTTATCGTTACCATCTTTCTAAATTCCATATATATGTGTTAGTATACTGTAATGGTCTTTATCTTTCTGGCTTACTTCGCTCTGTATAATGGGCTCCAGTTTCATCCATCTCATTAGAACTGATTCAAATGAATTCTTTTTAATGGCTGAGTAATATTCCATGGTGTATATGTACCACAGCTTCCTCATCCATTCGTCTGCTGATGGGCATCTAGGTTGCTTCCATGTCCTGGCTATTATAAACAGTGCTGCGATGAACATTGGGGTGCACGTGTCTCTTTCAGATCTGGTTTCCTCGGTGTGTATGCCCAGAAGTGGGATTGCTGGGTCATATGGCAGTTCTATTTCCAGCTTTTTAAGAAATCTCCACACTGTTTTCCATAGTGGCTGTACTAATTTGCATTCCCACCAACAGTGTAAGAGGGTTCCCTTTTCTCCACACCCTCTCCAGCATTTATTGCTTGTAGACTTTTGGATATCAGCCATCCTGACTGGCGTGTAATGGTACCTCATTGTGGTTTTGATTTACATTTCTCTGATAATGAGTGATGTTGAGCATCTTTATCTAAAGCTACTATTGCTTGAACTATTTGCATTCATCCAGTACAATGTGAAACTATCCCCTTACACATGGGAAATAAGAATCAACCGTGAACCTAGAAAACCTTCATCTAGCTACCATATAAGACTAGGTAAGATTTTTTCCTAATGTTGCCTTTTGACTTTTCAAAGGACTCTGCTAAAGGGATGTGACATAGATATCATACCTATCCTGCACTCTCCACATAATTAAAAGTTTTGATTTTTCTTATGGCCTTGAAATGTTAAACAAGAAAGTTCTGGATCAATCCAAAACCTATAAAGACAATAGAGACTGTTACCTTATACTTCCTTATGTAAGAGGCATTTAACCAGGGATTTCATTATTCTCAATTAGTATATGATGAAATTGAGCTATGGGCGTTGGATGTAGGACAATGACCTCCAGGTTGAAAGGAGGACATCAATAAGATTCAGGTATCCCAACTCTCACCGTGCAGGGACCCAGATGTGTATCTAAACTAAGGTTTGAAGAAGAAGTTCCATTCATATTGCCTTGGGAATGGTAGCTAAATAGAAAGTATCTGGCACCCCAAGCTATAAACACTTCTAAGGTGGGTAATTCATCCATTATAACACATTCCATATGCCCCTCAAAGACCTTTATACTCTATATTATGCCTCTTACATTGCTGATTTGCATGGCATTGATTTGAGCCTGCAGTATGAGTGGTGTGTCAGAAGGAATCCTTATGTTGGTTTTATCTTTATTCCAGGCTTCTTGATACAGTTTCTGTGGAGAGAAGGAAAATATTATTTTAATACAGTGATAGATATTTGAAACTTAAGCCTTTGCAACTATTTAAGCTGGAAAAAAGTTTTGTGCTATGGTTGCAATGGTTAGTTTTTTGTGTCAACTTGACTAGGCCGCAGTACCCAGGTGTTTCGTCAAATATTATTCTAGCTGTTTCTGTGAAGGTATTTTTTAGAACAGATTAACATTCATACCAGTAGACTTTGGGTAAAGTAGATTACCCTCTGTGATATGGGAGGTCGGGGGGCGGGGGGGGGCTTCATTCCATCAGATGAAAGCTTTAAGAGAAAAAAGACTGACCTCCCCTGGGCAAGGGTAATCCTGCTAGCCAATTGCCTTGGACCTGTCTTCCTGGGTCTCCAGCCAGTTGGCCTATCTTGCAAACTCTGGACATGCCAGCCTCCACAATCATGTGAGTCAATTCCATAAAATAAACCTCTGTCTTATACATCCTGTTTAGCTCTGTTTCTCTGGAGGACCCTGACTAATACAATATTCTACCATTTAATGGGGAGCATTATGCCGTAAGTTTTGTAATAGGTGTTTGCTTTCCTGCAGTGTCATATAGTGACAGTTTTCATCTGAGTGCTTCCAAATCTGTGTGTGAGATAGCAGAAAGGCACACTGGCATTTGTCACAGCTCTACTTGGCATGTGCCTTCACTAAACTAGCCAAGAGATTCTTAGAGCTGCTCCCATCACTTTAGGTCTTTGAAGAGACACAATCCATTTGCTCCATTTGGGTGGCATCTTCCGAAGAGAAAGTCCCACAAGAGGAGAGCCTGACAGTAGGATGGTTCTTACCTCACTCATTTGTAGAGAATTGGCTTTTGCCAGGACAACCTCTGGCGTGTCGACAATGGAAGTAAATGTCAAGGCTTCTGGGCGTGTCCTGTAGAGTCTTTCATTGATCAGGTCCTGAGCATTCTTCACCCTGTTCATTTCCACTGAGCCTTCTGGCATCCAGCCGATGCCACGCAGCCATTCCAGGTCTGATTTGTACACATTCTACAGAGACATTAGACCCAAAAATTGTTCTAAGTGTTAGACACAGCCCCCCTGAATTGAAAAGTAAGTTCATGGGGTTGAGGGGTTGTGAGTCAATTCCATAAAATAAACCTCTGTCTTATACATCCTGTTTAGCTCTGTTTCTCTGGAGGACCCTGACTAATACAATATTCTACCATTTAATGGGGAGCATTATGCCGTAAGTTTTGTAATAGGTGTTTGCTTTCCTGCAGTGTCATATAGTGACAGTTTTCATCTGAGTGCTTCCAAATCTGTGTGTGAGATAGCAGAAAGGCACACTGGCATTTGTCACAGCTCTACTTGGCATGTGCCTTCACTAAACTAGCCAAGAGATTCTTAGAGCTGCTCCCATCACTTTAGGTCTTTGAAGAGACACAATCCATTTGCTCCATTTGGGTGGCATCTTCCGAAGAGAAAGTCCCACAAGAGGAGAGCCTGGCAGTAGGATGGTTCTTACCTCACTCATTTGTAGAGAATTGGCTTTTGCCAGGACAACCTCTGGCGTGTCGACAATGGAAGTAAATGTCAAGGCTTCTGGGCGTGTCCTGTAGAGTCTTTCATTGATCAGGTCCTGAGCATTCTTCACCCTGTTCATTTCCACTGAGCCTTCTGGCATCCAGCCGATGCCACGCAGCCATTCCAGGTCTGATTTGTACACATTCTACAGAGACATTAGACCCAAAAATTGTTCTAAGTGTTAGACACAGCCCCCCTGAATTGAAAAGTAAGTTCATGGGGTTGAGGGGTTCATAAGCCCAAGAGATGGTGGTTCTAAAAAAGTAGGACCTGAGATTTTACATGACTCAGGGGTTTCAATATCCACAGTAATTTTTCAATTTTCAATATCCAGAGGAAAATATTTTTTTTAAAAAATAAGGGCTCTATTTATTCATTCATTTAGCCACATGGCATGTGGAACTTCCCCAACCAGTGGATCAAACCTGTGTCCCCCTGCGCTGGTAGCACAGAGTTTTAACCAGGGAAATCCATGTTAAAGAAGAATTTTTTATGCTAGGCATGATTAGGAATAAAATGGTAATAATGCTAAATTTCATGATTCAATATTACAAAGAAATCATATAACTGAAAAAATTTAAAGATATTTTGTTGAATCTCATTCCATTTTCATCCCATAATAACTGACCCAAGGAAACTCTGTTCAGTGTTTTGGATATAGTACAATAGTGGCAGTTGTTTTAATATTCAGATAATTTATGTTAATCTAAAATATATTTTCATTGCCAGACAGTACAAAGGATGTGAAAAAAAAAATAATCTGGAATCTAGGCTAGGGAAAAAGGACATGACCTAAGCAGAGTTCTTTATTTAACATTCTTTGATTCCCATAATGTAACTCCTAAACAGAGGTTTTAACAATGTGAATGGTGCTCCCTGAGGTGGCGCAGTGAACAACTCATGGGTCACTCCACAGAGGCACTGTCTGGACAATTAAGAAATCCATGTCCTTCCATTCCGCCTTTCCTGAAGTTCACGTTACTCACATTACTCTGCAGGTCATAGGCCTTCTTGGCTTGGATAATGTCATTTTGATCAGGTAAGCATGTCCAGTGATGCAGGTAATTTCGATAATCAATGTCACTGACCAGAATCTGACATTTCTTGGCCTGCAAGATGCCTAACATGTCCACTGGGCTACTGAACTTGGTTTTCCACTTCTGGAACTCCTTCTTGTACTCCCTTTCACTTTGAATCTTCCCTGCATTCATGGCACACATAATCCTGGGGTCGTCTTCAACACTCCGGGCTCCAATGTGGTGGCCTTTGTGTTTCTCATATGCTTCTTTGTATTTGTACTAAAACACGAGAGATACAGGTTTAGAAGCCCAATTTTATTACCATATGCATGCTGACAATCACAGAGAACATGAAAACCACAAGAAATGGACAAGAGTTTTACCTTGCAAATATTTTGACATTTCTGAACAATTTTAAACTGTTTTGTGCTATCATAAAGGTAACTATAATCATATATCTTCACTGCTGAAAACTTTTTATGCAACAACTCTGACTACAATTTCAAAATGTGTTTTTCTTCTCTGGAACAGCAAAAGGAAACAAGAAGAAGAAGCAATTACCAAGTGTGACCCACCAGCCACACTACGGTTGTTCAGCAAGGTTAAGACCGAAGGGGTTAGACAGAGGGCACTTACGTCACTGGCAATGTCCCTTGAGGCCTTGGCACTTTTGATGGAAATAGCATCAGCTCTCAGATCATAGTCCTTCATCTTTGATTCATCCCATCCCTTGGTGTAAAGTTTCTAGATGGAGGATAATATACAACAGAAAAAGAAAAGTGTCGTAGAAAGTTAATAGGCCAATTCTAGTAAGGAAGGTGGTAAGATGGTAACAGGATTTTAACTAGTTCTAGACTAAAGGCTGAAACAACAATGAGGAAATCTCTTACATGGCTGACATTGGCAGAATTGCTCTTGGCCAGCAAGATTTCCGGGGTGTCTGGCATCACATGGATGGAGGTTTTGTCAGCATCCCAGGCTTCCGTATATAAATGCTATGGGGAAAGTAATATGAAAACCACAAGAAATGGACAAGAGTTTTACCTTGCAAATATTTTGACATTTCTGAACAATTTTAAACTGTTTTGTGCTATCATAAAGGTAACTATAATCATATATCTTCACTGCTGAAAACTTTTTATGCAACAACTCTGACTACAATTTCAAAATGTGTTTTTCTTCTCTGGGACAGCAAAAGGAAACAAGAAGAAGAAGCAATTACCAAGTGTGACCCACCAGCCACACTACGGTTGTTCAGCAAGGTTAAGACCGAAGGGGTTAGACAGAGGGCACTTACGTCACTGGCAATGTCCCTTGAGGCCTTGGCACTTTTGATGGAAATAGCATCAGCTCTCAGATCATAGTCCTTCATCTTTGATTCATCCCATCCCTTGGTGTAAAGTTTCTAGATGGAGGATAATATACAACAGAAAAAGAAAAGTGTCGTAGAAAGTTAATAGGCCAATTCTAGTAAGGAAGGTGGTAAGATGGTAACAGGATTTTAACTAGTTCTAGACTAAAGGCTGAAACAACAATGAGGAAATCTCTTACATGGCTGACATTGGCAGAATTGCTCTTGGCCAGCAAGATTTCCGGGGTGTCTGGCATCACATGGATGGAGGTTTTGTCAGCATCCCAGGCTTCCGTATATAAATGCTATGGGGAAAGTAAGGTAAACCTCTTTGTTAAAGCCAATACATTGCAGTTATTATCAAATTTATTTCATTTAGCTGTAAGATAACCTTTTAAAGCTTATTTGGAGGTGAGGGAAGCAAAAAGGGGAGAGAGTAAATCAAGGCCATATTTAAACAGACATGTAATAGTTTTATAGCCAATGGAAAACAACATCATGATCTCAATTATTAATTCTTTTTATTCTGTGATCCTCAGGTTTACTCATAGAAACTTCAAGGATGGAGCTCAGCTATAGAACCGTGATATAGTAGAAATCCCTAGATTTCAGAGTCAATCCCAAAGTCAAACTCAGCTCCTCTATGTCTAAGCTGAGTGATCTCGAGAAAGGTACATAAGGCCTCACACTTGTCATTTTTTTTTGAGGCGGAGGATAATCATACCTTTCTAATTAAAGTTTTTTTAAAAACTTTATGCTTGTCTCTTTCCTTTAGTTGAGGTGAAATTGGTATATAACTTTATTGAGTATTTTTTGGAGATTAACTGTAACATATGTATAGCTCCTGAGTCATAGAAGGAACTCAACAAATTTTATGATGTTTCCTATTGTTATTTTCACGGTGGGTGCTCTGTTGATGAGTACAGTATAGAACAGACTTTCTGGAGTTTTAATACCCCAAACTCAGCAGTTTGCTATCTGAGAGCCAATTTCGTACTTTGCACTGAGCACACAATTTCATTGCCCTGATATTTGGAAGATATTCAGGCAGGTGTGGGAGAATTCAGAAAGGTTCAGTTCAACTTCAAATGTGCATACTAAGGGCCTACCTACTGGATGAAGAAATTAGCCCACTATCAATAAGCAGACTGCCAGAATTCTGGAGGAAAGAAGCAATCATCTATTTTGTGTAATAAAACTGAAAGCAGCAGTAACAGCTCACTTTCCAAAGTGGGATTTCCACAAGCAACTAACTTGAGATCTGCACTGACACTACTATGCACAGTGTTTCTCAGACTTCTGAACAAAATGTGAAACAGCGGTATGTTTTTTATAAGATGGATCAAGAGACACCAGTGGCTTGAGACACCAATTGCATTTGTGGACGTCTCCAGGTCACTGCTCAGAAGAATGCGTGCTTTACCCCCAGAGAACTTATTTTAGGCTGTGCAACCCCATGCACACAGAGAATGTGGGGTCAAGGTTAAGAAGAGCATGCAGGTCCAGCTAGGATTCGAGCTTTGTTGAAGGCCTACATGAGAATCAGGCCCATCACCTACCTCTCCTTTCTCTGGAAACACTCCAGGACGTTTCTCACTTTATGAGCCCAGTATAAGGAAGGTATGACTCAGGCAACTGGCCACAGCTGAAGACTCACCTTGCTCATGTTCAGGGCATTATTCTTTGCTAGGACAATCTCTGGGGTGTCTGTAATGCTTGTGAACTTGAGCTGGACTGCAGGCTGGCGGTACTTCCTTTCACTCAGGATTTCTCCGGCTCTCTTCACATTCTCGACCACCACAGAGCCAATGGGCACCCACCCAATGCCTCTTAGCCACTCAAGATCAGCCTTGTAAATAGCCTGAAAATGAAATAATGTCAAATATTTGTAGAAATTATCTCCACAACCTGATATCTCATGATTTAGCATAGACAGATGGTGTATAATTTTGCAACTCATTTGGGCAAATTTCTGAAAAGACACAGTACTGTTTTACTTTGATGTGGAACATCTAGTTCAACACTTTGTCCCTGAAGGTAGGCAATGTCTACTCTTTTAGAGACCTATGAAATCTCTAATAATACCTGATTTCATTGATACAAAACCACTTTAAGAAAATTTCTGCCTGCCTCCCAATACAAAGTGTTTATTGTCTGATTTGATTGCCCATATCTGTTTATATGGGAATAATTCTCTGTTAGAATACAATTTCTTCCTATCTCCTTGAGCAGTGACCTTCACAGCCATTGTGTAACATGAAGAAAGGATGAACATTACCGCATGTTGAATCAATGTGTTTTCTTTATGGGAATAATTCTCTGTTAGAATACAATTTCTTCCTATCTCCTTGAGCAGTGACCTTCACAGCCATTGTGTAACATGAAGAAAGGATGAACATTACTGCATGTTGAATCAATGTGTTTTCTGGGGACAGCAAAAATGGGACCATTTTTCACATGATTTTATATTCATGCTTCTAAGCCAAAGAGCATATATATTTTTATTTTTAGCTTATCCTCAGTCTCCTTTCTTGTGTTGTAGTTCAAGCAAAAAAATATATTTTGTCCTGCTTTCACATTTTTTCCTTCAATTTAAATAATTGGCTGATGAAGAATTTTTCTTATAAGTAACAGTTACAGTTCTTTTTGTTTCTATGGCTTTTGGGAAACTATTTTTTTAAATGCCACTACTTTTATCATTCTCCCAAAAGTGACTACTTATCAGAGCCTGATCAAGAAAACAAGGAGCTACTATGCCAATAAGGTAGTATGAGTCCCAAGGACAATCTATAAATTTTTATGCATAAAATTAGCTACAAGGGTATACTGTACAATGTTAGGAATAAAGCCAACATTTTACAATAACTGTAAATGGAGCATGTTTAAAAATTGTGAATCATTGTATTGTGTACCTGTAACATATAATATACTACAATACACTTCAGTAAAAAGCATATATATAAATTAGTACCTCACAGATTTAGTTTTTTCTGATACTCTAATTTTATTTTTAAGTTTTAAAAACTGAAGTATAGTTGATTTACAATGTTGTGTTAGTTTCAGGTAGACAGCAGTGATTCAGTTATATAACTGAATATAGATCTCTATATATATATTCTTTTTCAGATTCTTTTCCATTTTAGGTTATTATAAGATAATATAGCTCCTTGTGCTATATAGTATGTCCTTGCTGTTCATCTATTTTATGGAGTGTGTATCTGTTAGTCCCCAACTCCTAATTTATCCTTTCTCTTCCTTAGTTTAATACTTTTGATAACCATTTTCCAATGTGATTGGTTTCTTCTGAAACCAATGTGTGTGTATATATAATTTTATGCTTTTCATGATATTGTCCTGAGAGGTTTTCCACAAGTTTCACAAGACTGCCAAAAGGTTCCATGGCACACAAAAAAGTTAGAATCCTTTCTTGAAACCTTGCTGAAGAATATTAAATCCACTCACATCACTCTGAAGGTCATAAGCCTTCCGAGCCTGAATGATGTCGTTCTGATCAGGCAGACAGGTCCATTCATGAAGTGGATGCTTATAGTCTATGTCGCTTACAAGGATCTGACATTTCTTGGCCTGCACCACCCCCATCATGTCCACTGGGCTACTAAACTTGGTCTTCCACTTCTCAAAGTCTTTCTTGTACTCCCGGTCACTCTGGATCTTGGCCGCGTGGATGGACCACATCATCTTGGGATCATCCTTAACATTTCGGGCCCCAATGTGGTGGCCAAGCTGTTTGCGGTAGCCTTCCTTGTACTTGTACTGAAGAAAAGAATAAAGATATAAGTCTAATGATAGGGACATCTTATTTATATCGCATTTCATAGCTTCATAGATATATTATTTCTTTTGATTTTCCCCACCACTAATGTGAGGGAAAAAGATTAATATTATCAACTCAATTTTATAAAACAGAAAACTGAAGACTCAACTAGTCAAGTGATTTGTTCAAGGTCACACCCTAAGCAGGTGGCAGGGCTAAGACTAAAACGGAGAACTTCTGATTCCTAATATTTTTCCCGTCAACTAAACTATACTGCCTAGTTTACATTTGCTTAACAAGTAAGGTAAAAATATTTTGTACAATTTAAAAGAGAATCTACTTAAAGATGTGACTTTTTCTAAAAAAGTTTTGATATGAATGTTTTAGAATACTTCCCTTGTAATTAGAATTTATAGTAAATTCCATAGTCAAGCATATGAGCTATGTTTAGAAAGTTTCACCAGGAAATACCTCCCTTATTTGCCTGTCAATGTCATTGAACTTTTAACCATGAGAGAGTAAATGCCTTGGGTTAACACTCTAATTTTAAAAAGTGTTACTCAAGAATAACCCTTTATAGTCCATTTTACCATGAGATGGTCATAGTGTGGGGTTCTCCAGCTTAGTAGCCAGAAACAGTTCTGATAAAGGAAGAAATGAACCGTATGTCTAAGGTCTGGGACACTTCTGGAAGAAGGAAAGTCCGGATTCGAATCCTAAGGAGCCCTGGTACAGCGTGAGGGTACTGGACACCCTCAAGAGATGTTTCTCATGAGGTGTGAAGGACTAGAGAGGAGAGAAAAGTGGGTGTTGAGGAAAAGCTTTGCTTACTCCTCAACTTGCTCTTGTGTCCATTTATGAGCATCTTGGTAGGAGAATCTTACTAAAGGTCAACAACGGATTAAACAGAACTCTAAAATGTACCCATAATTAACATTTTCTCTTAATGCAAGAATAAATGGATAGTAGTGGGAAAGTTCACATTCACATTAGCTGATTTACATGTGCTATCAACATCTTTAACAAAAATGTTTTTTCTTTATTACAAACATCTGGGTCATCAGCTGCTCAACTTCTGAGGCTCAAAAATAGAAGCCCGTTTTTAGTTTTTGTAAAATACTTATTTTTAAAGAGTGTAACTCCATCTTTGACAGATTAATGGGTATTGAACATAGTATCTTTTGTTTTCTTTTTCATTTGCAACTTTGTACATGGGGGAATCATTAAAGGAGACTGGGACTTGCAGGCTAAATTTCTGGCAAGAAAAGCTGTAAAAGCTGCTATTTGTAAACATCTTTTAGTAAGAAATTCATCTTCCAAAAATATCAACTTACATCACTAGCAATCTCTCTTGATGCCTTGGCTGCTTGGATTGGAATGGCATCCAAACGCAAGTCATAACCTTCCTTCTTGGACTCTTCCAAAGCAAGTTTATAGAGTTTCTGCAGAAAAGAGAATTAATCCATCATTTCGTGGATGGACCACATCATCTTGGGATCATCCTTAACATTTCGGGCCCCAATGTGGTGGCCAAGCTGTTTGCGGTAGCCTTCCTTGTACTTGTACTGAAGAAAAGAATAAAGATATAAGTCTAATGATAGGGACATCTTATTTATATCGCATTTCATAGCTTCATAGATATATTATTTCTTTTGATTTTCCCCACCACTAATGTGAGGGAAAAAGATTAATATTATCAACTCAATTTTATAAAACAGAAAACTGAAGACTCAACTAGTCAAGTGATTTGTTCAAGGTCACACCCTAAGCAGGTGGCAGGGCTAAGACTAAAACGGAGAACTTCTGATTCCTAATATTTTTCCCGTCAACTAAACTATACTGCCTAGTTTACATTTGCTTAACAAGTAAGGTAAAAATATTTTGTACAATTTAAAAGAGAATCTACTTAAAGATGTGACTTTTTCTAAAAAAGTTTTGATATGAATGTTTTAGAATACTTCCCTTGTAATTAGAATTTATAGTAAATTCCATAGTCAAGCATATGAGCTATGTTTAGAAAGTTTCACCAGGAAATACCTCCCTTATTTGCCTGTCAATGTCATTGAACTTTTAACCATGAGAGAGTAAATGCCTTGGGTTAACACTCTAATTTTAAAAAGTGTTACTCAAGAATAACCCTTTATAGTCCATTTTACCATGAGATGGTCATAGTGTGGGGTTCTCCAGCTTAGTAGCCAGAAACAGTTCTGATAAAGGAAGAAATGAACCGTATGTCTAAGGTCTGGGACACTTCTGGAAGAAGGAAAGTCCGGATTCGAATCCTAAGGAGCCCTGGTACAGCGTGAGGGTACTGGACACCCTCAAGAGATGTTTCTCATGAGGTGTGAAGGACTAGAGAGGAGAGAAAAGTGGGTGATGAGGAAAAGCTTTGCTTACTCCTCAACTTGCTCTTGTGTCCATTTATGAGCATCTTGGTAGGAGAATCTTACTAAAGGTCAACAACGGATTAAACAGAACTCTAAAATGTACCCATAATTAACATTTTCTCTTAATGCAAGAATAAATGGATAGTAGTGGGAAAGTTCACATTCACATTAGCTGATTTACATGTGCTATCAACATCTTTAACAAAAATGTTTTTTCTTTATTACAAACATCTGGGTCATCAGCTGCTCAACTTCTGAGGCTCAAAAATAGAAGCCCGTTTTTAGTTTTTGTAAAATACTTATTTTTAAAGAGTGTAACTCCATCTTTGACAGATTAATGGGTATTGAACATAGTATCTTTTGTTTTCTTTTTCATTTGCAACTTTGTACATGGGGGAATCATTAAAGGAGACTGGGACTTGCAGGCTAAATTTCTGGCAAGAAAAGCTGTAAAAGCTGCTATTTGTAAACATCTTTTAGTAAGAAATTCATCTTCCAAAAATATCAACTTACATCACTAGCAATCTCTCTTGATGCCTTGGCTGCTTGGATTGGAATGGCATCCAAACGCAAGTCATAACCTTCCTTCTTGGACTCTTCCAAAGCAAGTTTATAGAGTTTCTGCAGAAAAGAGAATTAATCCATCATTGCTCCTTTCGTGAAAAAGGAAGCTATTTATTATTAAGCTTTATCTGTCCTCACTTAAACTACAGAAACAGATCCACAGAGTTAAGTAGTAGTGTGGGTTTGCAGAAAACTATGTTTCATAGGTGCTCAAGCATTTTAAGGCACATTTTAAACTTTGATATTTTATTGATTAGCAAATCAAAAAAGTTTTTATGGAGGAATTAGTATCTGGTTGCTAAAATTCTGTTTTGCCAAACAAGCACATGTCAAAAAATCCCAACTGTTTATTATCACAATTTTAATATAAAAGAAAGGCCATCTTAATGCCAAAGAAAGAGAAAATTAAGTATGGCTATTTCTAAATGGAATATATTTGGATTTGAGAACAACTCAATGTGTTGTTCTTATTTTTTCCCATTTTTGCCATGGACTATCATCACAGACTATGATCAATCTGTAGATTAGGGTTTCAAAATCACCACTCTAATGAAAATGTTGGTTCTGAAAGAGATGCATAGGAAAACGCTTGCAAATAACATTAAATGGTAAGCAGAACACAATGAAGCAGCAAAAGAATACACAGTACAGCAACTCACTGTGTTCTAGACCCAGTGTCGACCTGCTAATAGCTGCTGAATAAAATAATGACTTGATGACCACACTGCCCATAGGGGCGTATTAAGGCTTTAGTAGTATAATCCCTTTTGGGATACTTATCCATAAGTATTTCATTCCATGATGTCATCTTCATAAAAGGCTGGTCTACTTTGTGAACCTACCACACAGCCCAAAATTGAATCAAGAAAACTATCTCTTGAATCAAAGGAGAACTATCTGTTTTAGTGACAATATTGCCTTGCAGTGCATACAATAAATCGGTTAAAACATTTCACAAAGGGAACTGTTATAGTAGTTCATTTTTGCCTTTCTCTTCATGATAAGATCAGTAGGTTACTCACATCACTGTAGTTGATTCGGTTGAGCTTGGCTAGCATGATTTCTGGTGTATCAGGCATGACGTGGATTGTTTTCTTGTCGTTGTCCCAGGCTTCAGTATATAAGCGCTATGAAAAAAAAGATGAGAAAAATTATTTTGGAGTTCATATTTTTTGGTTATGTGCCAGTTACCTCTCCTTTGTACAAAGCAGAAATAAAACTAATAAAGTTGCATAAATTCCTACTTTTCAAGTAGATAAATTACTATTTCCAAAAGAATTTAGCTTACTATCTCATTGAATCTGTTTTTACTGTGCCTTATGAAAACTTTTTTTATTAGTGCTAAAAAGTATGATTGGGTTGCAGTTTTTAATGCCTGTAATTGTGAAATACTTACAGCACATGGTATTTTTAACAGCTTAATATTCTGAAGTATTTCTAAGTAACTATGGTGTTATAATGGGAAAATCACTTTTAAAGGTATTGTGAATCCTATAGGAATCTTTAAAATGTAGTCACATATCAGAATTTTGACTTTGTTCTATGGTAAATTGCTACACTTGATGCTGAGGAGTGAAGACTCACCTTATTCATGTTTATAGCATTGTTCTTGGCCAGCACCTGCTCCGGGGAATCGGTTATGCTGGTAAATTTCAGCGCATCGGGACGCTGGCGGTAGATGTTGTCACTCAGTATCTCTCCGGCCCGCCTGGCTCTAACTACTTCCACGGAGCCAATTGGAACCCAGCCAATGCCTTTCAACCATTCAAGGTCTGACTTATATAAATTCTGCAAATCAACCAATAAGAAACACAGTTATGATAATAATTAGTTTTCTTCAGATTCAGAGTCACAAAATGGATCATACTGTGAGAGAAACACAAAAAGACTGAACAGGCAAAGCTGCTATCTCAATTAATCACTCATTCATAAGCATTATTGACTCCTGAGTACATTTTTTTTCCTCTAAGCATTGCTTGGCATAGAGGATTGTACTACGAACAACAAAAGATCTTTCTAAAAAGTAAAGACACTGTCCTGCCCTTGAGGGTATTAAAAGATTTTCACTTAAGAGCAGAGTTTCTTTAGCTTTGAAAAAGATGTTCTAATAGCCCCCCAAAAAACCATATACTTAGACCAACACTGTGTAAGCACTGCAGTAACAAAAATTCTTACCTTTTTTTTTTTTAAGGAAAAGAGGTGAAATTCAATTATAGTCACGAGTTTCAACACACAGTAATGTTACGTTTTGCATATCATGCTCTTGATATGCATTTTTAATTGAAATATAATTGACCTATATCAGTTTCAGGTATATGATATCATGATTCAATATGTGTGTATATTGCAAAATGATAACCTCAATATGTCTAGCAAAGATCCATCACTACACATACCTACACTTTTTTCCCCTCATGATGGGAAATTTTTAATAAACTCTGACCTTTATTTTCATCTTCAAAATCACAAAATATAAGGTATGTAATGGGGTGCTACAGAGAGAATATATTAGATACTTCGTAGTTATTGGCTTTCTTTTACTCTCAATAGGGCATGCTAACTGTACTATTAGAGTGCTCAGTCACTCAGTCATGTCCAGCTCTTTGTGACTCTATAGACTGTAGCTACTCTGCTCATGGAATTTCCCAGGCAAGAATACTGGAGTGGGTTTCCATTTCCTCTTCTAGGGGATCTTCCCGACCTAGGGAGCAAATGTGCATCTCCTCCGTCTCCTGCATTAGCAAGCAGATTCTTTACCACTGCACCACCTGGGAAACCCAGTATTATTATTATTGCACCATTATTATTAACACTAGGATGCAGAAGCAGCATCGGGGATACTCACATCACTCTGGAGGTCATAAGCTTTCCGAGCATGGATGATGTCATTCTGGTCGGGCAGGCAGGTCCACTCATGCAGAGGATGTTTGTAGTCCACATCACTAACCAAAGTCTGACATTTCTTGGCCAAAACAATACCAAGCATGTCCACTGGGCTGCTGAACCTGGTCTTGTATTTTTCAAAATCTTTCTTGTACTCACGGTCACTCTGCATTTTGGCAACGTGGACGGACCACATCATCTTGGGGTCATCATGTATCGCTCGGGCACCAATATGGTGGCCCAACTGCTTACGATAAGCTTCTTTGTATTTATACTGAAAGAGAGAACCCAGTAAACGAGGAGGAAGCACCAAGGGCTGGTCCCTGCTGCTCTCTCTGTGGTGAAGCTTTCCTACAAAATCCTCAGGACTTCAGGGGAGTTTCATCAAACCGGCTACTAGGATGCTCCACGTTGGGGCATGCTTTGTCTTAAAAAAGAAGATGCGGTGCTCATTTCACCTCCACAGAGTGACTCCATAGTGATTCCTTTATATTATGCTAGCAAATTATATGTTTTAACCACAAAAAAATGTGATGGAAAAGTGAACATTGAAAGAATGAGCTTCAGTTACAGTGACAAGTAGTTTCTCAGAAGTCAGTCATGCCTGCAGACCGTACTGAGAACATATTTGAGAGATGTGTTTATAATAGCTCATTAATTTTCTTCTTTTAAGGCATTCTGCATAATAATTGGCAAGGAGTAGTTTTAAAATGGGCAATTCTTGTTGGTAATGAGCATAGTGTTTCAGTTTTGCAAGATGAAAAAGTTTTGTACAAAAGTTTTTTACAAAAAGTTGTTGTACAACAATGTGAATATACTTATGGACTATATACTGAGAGTGGTAAATGGTTATTCAATTTTATTATGATTTAAAAGAAAAACCTACTGAAATGGATAATTTTGCTACTCTTGGATTAATATTTAAGTAGTACAGGAACCTCACATATTCATTTTTAAGGTAAAGGAATATTGATTTTTGTGGACCCCGCAGCAAAGAAATATTTAACATTTTCGCTATTTTATGTCCTTTCTCAAGTCAAGGGGAAGAACTCAGTTAAACCTGTTTCTTTCCTGGCATCTTTGCCTTGAGTATAGCCTGAGGAGAGCTCATGAGGTTTTATGAGTAGCTCAACACATGACCACTTAAATTTGCTCAAGGTACTCAGTCTTACTAAGCAAGGACCAAAAGATGAGCATCAAAGGAACCACAACCCAGTGTATCTCTATGAAACTCGGACAGGTGACTGACTTGTCTCAAAGCCTCAATATATTTGACTATGCAATGAAGGCAGCTGGGTGGATGACGACTACAGAGACTCCCAGCTGTGTTCCAAGAGGGTGATGCCCTATGCAGGTGGCTGGGCTGTTGGTAACAGATGTAAGCATCTGATTAGCTCTTACGTCACTCGCAATCTCCCTGGAGGCCTTGGCAGCCACGATAGGAATGGCGTCACTTCTTAAGTCATATCCTTCTTTCTTGGCTTCTTCCATGGCCTGGCGATAGAGGTTCTGAGGAAAGAAGCAGTAACTTTTAGACACAGTGCTCACTTTCACTATAAAAATATATTAATATTTCCATCAAAGGAAGACTACTATTTTTTTAAATTAATTTTAATTGGAGGATAATTGCTTTTACAATATTGTGATGAAAGGAAGACTACTTTTGGATACAGAACAAAAACTAGTACATTCAGCCTTATATAAAAAAAAATTTTTTTTAAGATCTGTCTCTTCCTTTTACTTCCTACTTAGACAGTGTGCAAGTTATTTGTTGAACTTGAAATTTTACTTTCAGCAGGTTTAACTCCTTCAAATTTTACTCATTAAGTTATTAACTCTGAAATGTTCTTGAATTGTTCAGCATTTGTTCTTTTCATGAAATTACCAAAAATGTCTGTTTATTTAACTGCAAATTTGAATCAGGATCAATTTTACCAGCAGAGAATATGATATACTAACAACACTACCATCATGAGCATGTACCTGTATTCTAACAGTGCTAAACTAAGGATTATCCATTGTTTCTGAATATCTTTGTTAATACTATTCGCTCTCTATTCATTTTGTTGATAGCTGGCAATTGCTAGCAGACAGAGGAACCAGGGATTTACGAGCCAAAAGGACAAAACTGATGAAATTATAATGATTTCTTTATGAATTGGCAAAATACCCACTATTCAGTTTCTGTGGCAAGACAGACGTACACAGAAGTTAGAACATAGGTGTTCCAATGGGAACACAGCTTGAGAACCACTGCATTAAATCATCTCTACCTGTAGTATTAAGTCCTTTTCACTTGTGAACCATTACAAGAATTTAATTCTTAATTAGTAATAATTTTTAAATAACGTTTAGAGTTTGAAAAGGATGTAATTGAATGTTTTTAATGTGGATTATTAATGTGTGACAATTCACATTCTCTTATGTTGCAACTTTTTACAAGGAAAAGCTAACGTAAACAAGAATAAATTTAATGTATTTGAGATAAAATCCCAAGGGAGGGTATTTGTTCTTAAAAATTTCTAGAAATGTTTATTTTGTAACTAGAGAGTCAAATACTTTTATACTTTATATTTTTCCTTTGAACGATAAATTCTCAAGTTTGTCCTTATGTATAAGTGGGAAAAAATGTGCTTGAATCATTTTGTGGCTTCAGGCCAAACATACTGTTCTTTCAACATTGGAAAAAGAGGCAGGGCTTCAAGGAAAACACTTTTAGTATCATCAAGGCTATGTTTTAAAGAATGTCTAGTAAGGTCAAATATTCCAAGAGAACTAGAATAGGTAAATGTGAGTTTAAGAGAAAGAAAAAGAAGATATGATTGCTTTATTTTGTTTACTAAATGTGAAGTGAAGGTATCATTGGTAATGGGTTGAGAAGAAATTCACGTGGGCCATTCTATAATCTTCAAAGACAATCTTTAGGGAATTAACATAATTATGCCATTTAAAAGAAATAAATCCAGCTGAAAATTTGAGAAGTAAAAAAGATAGCCTAATTTCCTCTCAGCGGTCTAAAAAAAAAAGAAACCTTACTTCATCTGACCTAATTTTAACAAAAGGGAGAGGCTTAAAAGCATCATTACTCTTTGGCATAGAAACTAACAGCATCTGCCTGGGGTGAGGCAGAACATCTGGGAAAAGCTAATCTAACAGAGAAGCTCCCTGGCCAAGAGAAAAATTGCTCATTCAAAAATGACTGAAGTCAAGGTCAGTCACATACTTATGATCAGGCTTGTCCTTGGGCCTTTTTATAGTGCTAGACAAAAGGAAACTGACTCCTCTTCATTTTACTTGTCATGCCTCTTCTTCAGGGCTACATGATGATAGTCAAAAGTAATTAACAGGAGTAAAATAATGAATGTGGTCAGGACTTGAAAATGAGTACTTAAAATTCCCAGTGTTCTCAAACTAAAGGGAACTCCACCCTCTTTTTTTTTTTTTTTTGAATGAAGATATACAAAAGCATGTAAGAAATCAACATTCATCTTGAATGAACCAGATAATTCTTGACCTTGATGAGAACAATTGGGTAAGAAACTGTTTCCTATTCTGCAAAGATATGTGATGACAAATTTAGTGGGGCTGGAGACAGTATGTTAAAAAATGTTTTGTTTTTTTTTTATTGTTCTCACACAGTTTTGAGATGGATGAATTTAAGAATTCTTATTTCAGTTCTTGTAAATAAACTGTGGTTATTTTGAGCATTCATCAAATAAACAGGCTATTTTAAGCACAGATTAAATAAATCTAATTTTCATGGTGACTTCAATGTAAAGGGAAGTAATTAGTATTAAGCAGTTATTGTGTGCCAGGCTCCACCCAGGGCATACTACACATACTACCCTATCTAGTCATCATAAAAATTCTTCAATAGCCATTTTTATTTCATTTTACAGATGAGATAACTAAAGGAAAACTCACTGAACAAATTTTGAAGCAAGTACTAACCTGATAAGCAGCAGTAATTATTTTTTTATTAAAAATCACAATATGATTTAATCATTAATATTTGAGAGGTTTTTTTTCCCCCCACTCATGACATGGAGATATTTTTTTATTTATCTGTTTTTTCTATTTTTTTTTTTTATTGAAGCATAGTATGGATGTGAGAGTTGGATCATAAAGAAGGTTGAGAACCGAGGAATTGATGCTTTTGAACTGTGGTGCTGAAGAAGACCCTTAAGAGTCCTTTGGACAGCAAGGAGATCAAACCAGTCAATCCTAAAGGAAATCAACCCTGAATATTCATTGGAAGGACTGATGCTGAAGCTGAAGCTCCAACACATTGGCCACCTGATGTGAAGAACTGACTCACTGGAAAAAGACCCTAATTCTGGGAAAGATTGAAGGCAAGAGGAAAAGGGGGTGACAGAGGACAAGATGTTTGGATAGCATCACTGACTCAATGGACATGAGTTTGTGCAAACTCTGGGAGATAGTGAAGAACAGGGAAGCTTGGGATGCAGCATTTCATGGGGTCACAAAGAGTTGGACACGACTTAGCGACTTAACAACAAATAGCTGATTAAATAATACAATGCTATGTTATTTTCTCCTGTAACTATTTTTGAATACAAGGATACATATATTCATGGTAGATTATGGACAAAAATAAATAAAACTAAGCTAACTGATCAATATGTGAATTAAACCCATAATTCTGATCTTTCTGCCATATCAGCAAAATCAACATGGTCAGGTTCAAATAAACAGTCTTACCTCACTATAATTTATTTTATTTTGTCTTGCCAATGTAATTTCAGGTGTATCAGGCATCATGTGGATTTGAGTCTTGTCTTTGTCCCAGGCTTCTGTGTATAAGCGCTGTGAAGGATAAAAAAAGGTTAGTGAATTAGGAAAACAATGTTTGTTGTAAACAGAGGTTTCCAACTTAACGATCATGACAAAGTTGAAAGCCAGCATCCTTACTATCTGGGCTGTGTGCTGTACACCAACATTCTTCAATCTCTTTGATATTACAACATATATATAGTCACTAAAAATAAGTATAGGCTAATGTATGAAAAGAAAATGTGTGTGTATTTTGTTACAAGACCACCTACACTTCAATTAAATTAAAAGCAAGTATTACCCACGCATGTACACACATTTATATGTACTGAGGTTGTATCAGCAAACCCTTCCCATGATTTTGTTTATTGGCTACAGATGTACCTGTTATGCCATCTCTAGATTTCTTTTTGATAAATGTCATGAAGACTTGTACCTGACTTGTTTGTTCTATATTTATTAGGCAAGTATCAAACAAGAAAACAAAACCTTGATGTCAAACACGTATAGTTAGACTTAAAAAAATTTTAACACCAAACAGTTGTCCTATTCCTAACTCTATTTCACAAGAGATGTCAAGGCACAAATTTCTACATACATTTTGAGAATATCCAACCAAATCACCACACACAGGATGGCAATTGGATAAAAAAGATTTAGCTGGTCATAGATATTCTCATGGACATACAGCCATATTTTATTTTCCCCCAGATTGAGGGCTCACCTTGTTCATATTGATGGCATTGTTCTTGGCTAGCACCTGTTCCAGGGAATCAGGCACACTGGTGAATTTCAGCGTGTCTGGACGCTGGCGGTAGATATTATCACTCAGTATCTCTGCAGCTCTCTTGCACTTGACCACATCCACAGACCCAATGGGGACCCAACCAATGCCTCTCAGCCACTGGAGATCTGATTTATAAATGTTCTGGTGAGATCAAACACAAAAGCAAGGATTACTGAAGCTGTTATGGCACTTGATTTCAAGAATGAATGCAAAGGACTGAAAAATATGGATAGGCAAACTTTATGTCTATGTCTTTTAAAGTATGAAGCCCAGTTGGATACAGTTCATGGTATTATGCTTTCTCTAAAAGAAAAGCAAAGCACAGTAAATGAAGGGTGGGGAGGAAAAAAGCATTCTTTTTCTGAGGGCTTTACCTATCCTAGACCATCATCTGCATATTACTATGTATTACCATCATGAGCATGGTCAACAGTGGTGTTTAACGGGTCTCAGTACTCACGTCACTCTGGAGGTCATAGGCCTGCCGAGCATGGATGACATCGCTCTGGTCGGGCAGGCACGTCCACTGGTGCAGGTAGTTCTTGTAATCTATGTCACTGACCAAGGTCTGGCACTTCTTGGCCAGCACCACCCCCAGCATGTCCACTGGGCTGCTGAACTTGGTCTTCCACTTCTCAAAGTCCTTCTTGTACTCCCGGTCACTCTGGATCTTAGCCACATGCATGGACCACATCATCTTGGGGTCATCTTTGATGTCCCGGGCTCCAATGTGGTGGCCAAGCTGCTTGCGGTAACCATCTTTGTATTTATACTGAAATAAAAGTAGTCATTTAAAAAAATTAAAATGAATGAAAAGGGCTAAAAGTTTTATTAATATAAAACTCTGCTATTTTAAAATTGGTAATTCTTGTAGAGAAATGAATCATCTGAATATCAACTTATCTCCTCATCCTAAACTCTGACTAGTCTTCACAACAATACTCTAATGGGAAGCAGACCAAACGACATAGTTCTGTGGTTTGCAGATGTTAAATCTCTGGAAATAAAGGCAGCAACACTTTTCAGAAAATCAACTGGAGTTAATATGGCCTTTTTTTCTTTTTTTTATCTTGGGCCAGTGAAATCATTAACCCAGAAGTTTTACACGTGATTTTGAGAATGCTACTCCTAAGTGTGCAGGAACCATTTCACCCCCAGTCCACTGCACCCCTCCCAAATGTGGCTCTGCTGACTTTCACTGAGTTACAGGACTCCTGAAACAGAGTGGCTTGTGTTTCCATCCTTTCGTACCTGGTCTACTGAAGACAAAATTTGGGTGAGGTTTGTTGGGATTCCTTGAGGGGGAAAAATAGATTATATGACTACAAGAAAGTGGTTTGTTGGTGGTGGTGGCAAGAGCTGATTGTGGATTATCTTCTGTCCACTTTAGGGAACAACATCACACAAATCCTAGCATATATTTACAGAAGTCTAAATTCTCCACCAAAGGCACTTCTTTCAGAGACAGCAGAAAGAGAAATCAGGCTCACTATATAGTTGGTTTAGGATGTCATAAAACTCTTTTTTCATTTAAAAATAATTCAAAAGGAAGCACTGAAGGTAGTTTTTCAAAGAAAGGGTTGGCAAAAATCCAGAGCAGGTTTGGGGAAAGGCAAACTTTCCTAAACCTGTCTGTACCGGATCTTTTTCTTATATTGACCCAATACATGTAACCATGTTTTTTTTCCAGCTTTTTTCCTGTTATCTTCTTATTTCTGTGTGCTCTAAATATGCAGATGAATGCCTCATAATTATGGATACGAACAAGTTCAGTTCAGTCACTCAGTCGTGTCCATCTGTTTGCAATCTCATGGACTGCAGCATGCCAGGCTTCCCTATCCATCACCAACTCCTGGAGCTTGCTCAAACTCATGTCTATTGAGTCAGTGATGCCATTCAACCATCTCATCCTCTGTCATCCCTGTTTCCTCCCGCTTTCAACCTTGCCCAGCATCAGGGTCTTTTCCAATGAGTCAGTTCTTATCAGGTGGCCAAAGTATTGGAGTTTCAGCTTCAGCATCAGGCCTTCCAACGAACATCCAGGACTGATCTCCTTTAGGATGGACTGGTTGGATATCCTTGCAGTCCAAAGGACTCTCAAGAGTCTTCTCCAACACCACAGTTCAAAAGCATCAATTCTTTGGCAGTCAGCTTTCTTTATAGTCCAACTCTCATATCCATACACGACTATTGAAAAAACCATAGCTTTGACTAGACAGACCTTTGTTGGCAAAGTATTGTCTCTGCTTTGTAATATGCTATCTAGGTTGGTCACAGTATGAAAGGGCAAAAAGATACAAACAAATGTAGATTCAAATTCTTTGTTTTTTTAACTGAAGTTTAGGATACTCACTCTGCCTATGGGGCCTGAATACTAAAATCTTTCGGAGTTAAATTATTAAAGGGCTTTACAAATGAAAGACTCCATTTGAAGCATAATAAATGTGCTTTAACTGACACCCAGAAGAACCGTGCTGTTGTAATACTGATTCTGCCTTCCCACCCCATCCAGTCACGTGTATCTGTATATCCATGGAGTATTGGTACTCACATCACTGATGATGTCCCTGGAGGCCTTGGCCGCCACGATCGGGATGGCATCGCTTCGCAAGTCATAGCCTTTCTTCTTTGCCTCTTCATTGGCGAGTTTGTACAGAGTCTATAGGAGGAAGGTCAGAGTTAAAACAGGTTTGACAGTGAAAGATTTGACGGCAACAATCTGGAGTTTATCAAGTGACCTATCACAAAATTTAAAAAAAGGAAAGTCTCTGGAAACAACTTCCTAGCGATATTGGAAAGTAAATAAATTATATTTTACCAAAAAACTCTGTAGCATAAGAAACAAATGAAATATATCAATGAGTATTAACATAGAATAATCTATTATTTGTATCATTATAGATTAATATATATATAATATGTAGGATATATGACATATTATGTATATCAACATAGATTAATATAATTTAGTGATATAGATTGATGGACAAAGCATCAATTTATACATCTTAAGTGAAAAGAAACCTGTAGGATAATATGTTTAATATTACTCATTTGATAAAAAATAACATTTATATACTCTTATTCATTTGTTATTAAAAATTTTTGATAATCATGCGATATTTTATAATATTTAAAAAACAAATGAGGAAACAATCAAAGCACAACTTAAAGTTAACTTGAGTATGATCACAACTTTAAGATTCTAACTTTTGGCTGCCTCATATTAGTAAAACGTGCACCTATAAAATTGCATTTTACTTTAAAAAATAGTAATCAGCCTCATCAACGGAGAGTACTTTCTTCTCATGCCTAAGGTTCTCTTTCTATAAAAGGAGCTCGATTATTTCATTTCTGCCCTGGAGAGCTGCAGTGACTTCCTGATGTGTCCAGCTGGTGAGGAAGGGACAGCAGGGCAGGCCCAGCTCAACTCTGACCTGCTCCCTTTAGGAAACTATGCCCAGTGCCCTCCTCTGCATAGCTCTGTGCTCTAAGCAGGACTCACCCCCGAGGGAAGTGGAACTGCCTCTCCCGCTCCAGCATAGCCAATACCTGAATGGGGAACCTAATTCTGGGGTTCACTTAGCAAGTTCATTTGGCTCTCATACAAACGTGTCCTTGATCCTAACTTTAGTAATAAAAGATGTGAGATTTTGACTTTTAGTTTCATTGCTTTGCTTTCCTTCTCAATTCCACTTACGATCCAGGTGGGAAAGGGGTACATATTACCAGAGGCCCCCTTGGTTGGGTTGCCAGATTTAACAAACAGGAAGATAGCATGCCCAGCTGAATTTGAATGTCAAATAAACAGCAAACAATGTTTTCATATAAATAATAAATCAGTATTACATCTGGTCATACTACCCCTTGGAAATGCCAAAAATACTCTCCAGTTGCACTGACTCACACCAGTAAAGACCATAAATGGAAAAGATAATGTGACTTCAGTTTGCCCCTGGAATCCTATAGCATATGATATTCAACTAGGGATGAAAGGTTGGATGGGCTGAGTGTTCACATCACAGATCTATACCCACCAGGACAGCTGAGATCCAAGATTCTTCATAAAAGTAAGTGTAGAAAACAAACTACAATGACAACCACAAGTATGGCCCCACAAGGTTTTGCCCCTACCTCACTGTAGTTGAGTTTGTTCTGCCTTGCCAGCATGATCTCCGGGGTATCAGGCATTATATGAACTTGAGTCTTGTCTTTGTCCCAGGCCTCTGTGTATAAGCGCTATCAAAGAATATGTTGATAGGAAAGAAAGAACATGTTGATAGAAGACCATTTGAAACAGAATTACAAAAAGTCAATTAAAGCAGGAATGTTATTGACCTAATTAGGAAAAAATAAATCAGACTAAGATATAGAGTATTCAACTGAGGTTTGAGTCTTAATGATGGTTATCAGGGTCACAACTGAGGATAACAGAAATTACTTACAGGATTTCAAGTATGTCATTTAGGAGGTAAACATGACCCCACACTTGCATGGACAATTTTAACTCCACTAGTGATTAACGTCTCAGAACCTCTTTTTGCATCTTGGAGAAGCTTGAGGCAGCTGGAACTCACCTTGTTCATGTTGATGGCATTGTTCTTGGCCAGCACCTGTTCCAGGGAATCAGGTACACTGGTGAACTTCAGCGTATCTGGAGGCTGGCGGTAGATGTTATCACTCAGTATCTCTGCAGCTCTCTTACACTTGACCACTTCCAGAGACCCAATGGGGACCCAGCCAATGCCCTTCAGCCACTGGAGATCGGACTTGTAAACATTCTGTGAGGAGGAAAAAGACAGGAACTCTTTAGCAAGACTGAAAAATTTAGGGTCAACCTGCAAATAGAATCAATAATAAAGTACGATTCTGGTTGTTGCTTTCATAGAAAGCAAGCTCGTTGTATTAGGCAGACCAGCAGAGGAAGTATGTTCAAAAATGACCCAGAAAAGTAACAAAAAATGATCAAATATTTCAGGTTGTTAGGACAGAAGTAATTGAAATGAGTATCTTCTGTCAGCCAGTTCAGTGGGTGTTCACTCTGTGACAACAGGAAAAGAAGTTAACCCAGAGAAAAAGAAACCGCAGAGACATCCAGCTACAGGCTTTCAGTAAATAAATGTTAGGTCTAGTCAAATGAAACACTCTGCAGCTACTAAAAGCCATATTTTAAAGAATATCAATGACTTGTAGAAACATCATTAATATGATGCTAACAAAAAAATAGCACAGAAAACAAAATGTGTACTACATGAGGAGAGGGCTTTTATAGTGGTTGGATTATTATTGCCTTCTATATGTTTTTTTCTTATATTTCAAAAATATCTGTAATGCTCTTTTTTCTAAGCAATAAGAAAAGAAGTTAAAATATAATGACAGGACTTCCCTGGAGATGGTTAAGACAGTGCTCCCAATGTAGGGGGCGTGGGTTCAATCCCTGTTCAGAGAACTAAGATTCCACATGAGGCCAGAAAACAAAACAGAACAATAATGACAGAGAACCTCTGAAGCCCAGAGGCAGACCTTTGGCTATTTTAACACTGTTCAAGATTCAGGACCAAAAAATGATCATCTTATTGGTCCGCAACCCGGCTCTTCACCAAATTCTCAGGATGGGAAGCTTGGACTCCTTTCCAGAATTGTTTTTCCATGTCTTTATTTGACACTTTAAGTAATTTTTTCTGCTAAAGACTTTCATGTCCTTAGTAGGTATTCATAACTACTTCACAGTGGTGGAATTGGACCTTGCCCAGCTCATTTGAAGGATTTTTACCTGGAATGGCATCTAAGTAGAGCATACATGTGGCTCTTTTACTGTCTAGACTAAAAGCCTGTTGGAATTGCCTTATGCTGAGTAGTTACTGCCCCTTAAATAACAGCAAGAATGAAAACAATAACATTTTACATTATTGGATTGCTTAACTTTCATATGCTTCCACATTGTTAAGACTATATCACTATGAGAAGGAGGGGATCTCAAAAGGGCACCTGACAAATGCAGGCAAGTGGTCTGTCAATGCAGTCACTCCATGGGTGACGTTAACTGTTTTTAACTACCTTCCTTGTGCAGGCAAAGCCTTCTTTGTAAAACACAGGGCCCTGCATCTTGTGGAAGACTACAGAACAGATGTGGAAGTTGCCACAGGTAGGCTACACAATTTCTAGGAACAACCATTCAGTGACTAATTATTGTTAATTCATGTTATTCTTCAAAGTCATTTAATGCTTAATAATTCCTTCATACATCTGTAAAACATATGCTGCAAAAAATGCGCTTCTCACATCCAGATTTGAGATGTGCCTCTGCTTCGAATAGGTACTAGGTTCTGTCATTACCCTGTGACTGCTCCAGAAAGAGAGCCCTGCTGAGAAGTGCCAGGGAAATGGCCCAATAGCATCCAGACTCAGTGACTTGTCTTATTTCATAAGAATAACAATGAATCTTGCAGCAGTATTCTACTAATGATAAACTTAATTGTTTTCCAAGGAGGCTAAAAACAAATTCTTGAGTGATTTTTTAAAAAACAAAAATGTGTTCTTTCCCCCTTAAAAGGATAAAATAAAAGGTCTCCCTGTGGTAGACCTGGAATTCCAACACTGCTTAATTCCAGTTTTATTTTTATAAGACCAAGTCTGGTCAGTAAACTTCACTTCCTTATAAAACCTAGTAATGTATCCACAATTAAACAGTAAAACTATTCTCTGATTCACATCTCATTCACTAAACAAGAAATCCTAGCTTGAGTAGCCCAGTGAGTTGTTTACAAAGGAGAGCTTTCATATGGTTCAAGTTCCTTCTGCACACAGCTCAGTTATAGACGCTGTACTCACGTCACTCTGCAGGTCATAGGCCTGCCGAGCATGGATGACGTCGCTCTGGTCGGGCAGGCACGTCCACTGGTGCAGGTAGTTCTTGTAGTCTATGTCACTGACCAAGGTCTGGCACTTCTTGGCCAGCACCACCCCCAGCATGTCCACTGGGCTGCTGAACTTGGTCTTCCACTTCTCAAAGTCCTTCTTGTACTCCCGGTCACTCTGGATCTTGGCCACATGCATGGACCACATCATCTTGGGGTCATCTTTGATGTCCCGGGCTCCAATGTGGTGGCCGAGCTGCTTTCGATAACCATCTTTGTATTTGTACTGAAATGAAAATGCACAAATCAGATTTTCATTATAAGACTTTAGAGGTCACAAGTCTGTACAAATCACCTTGCTTATATCACAGTTGTAAGTTGACTTTTGCTAATAAGCAGTAATTCAAGGCAGTAGCCTACCTTTCCTCTAGAAGCTTATAGTGGGAATAAAATAGATGGAATTTATATGATCATAGTGTATACCCCAAATCACCTACAGCCTAGTAATAATGAATAGTTCCAGAGGCAGGAGGTGCACCCAGTGGAGAGGCCATTTGGACCAAGGAACTTGGAGAAATGGGTTAGACACTAAAAGCATATCAGGAAAGAGATGCGCTCAGTGACAAGACGGCTTTAATAAGTAGTAAAATGATTGTCTGGTTTCTGTGAGGATAAAGTCAAGGTCAAGGACTGCCTGCAGCAGCAACAGAAAAGAATTTAACATTTCATAATGGATTCAGACATTCAGTGATGGTGCCAAATTTGGCATCATTTTGCAAACTGATTCAACTAGGGGAGCTGATATAGCAGCCCAGCTGGTTAGAGCACATTCCTAATAAAGTCATAGGTTCTCATCTCTCATGGACCAACAGTGTTTTTATTATTCCATGGCCAATGACATCGTCCTAGAATCCAAGTTAATTATCCAAAATACATGTTTCTAGTCACAAAGATAACTGAGTGAGAAAGTATAAATGAGTCAGCAGAGGCAATATAGTACAGTGGGGAGGAATGAGATGGACTAGAGTTTCAACTCCACCACCAACTAAGAGTTTGACTTTAGACAAGTTGCTTAAGCAATCCACAAAACAGGGATAATCACAACACTTACATCCTAGGATAATTATGAAAAATAAGTGACATAATGCATGTAATACTCTTAGCACAGATTTCTCAGTGCTTTTGGTTATTATTATTTTGGTATCTATTATTATTTGTATTAATCCACTTGCAGGAAAGGCCCAATGTATGTAAACTAAAGTGAGCCACTAATATGATCTTCCTACATAAAACACAGTGTATTACCATATTCCCAAATAGTGGGCCTTGAATTTTAGAGCAGTGGTCTGTTCTCCAAGAATCCCCTGAGGTACCAGGGAAGGATGATGGTTTTATCCTGTAAGGTACAAGCCACAAGCCAGGTGCTGTTATTAAGGGTGCAAGCTTGGGCTAGTTTGGTACTGATCAACTGTCTTCTCATGGTCGTATAAGGGTGAATTGTAATGATAAGTGTCATATGCATTTTTTGAATTAAAATGCTATATAAACCCAGGCCATGATTCTCACTGGGAGAACTTAAGTTTATGAGTCACTCTTTCCATCAGCACTGTGACAATATATAAGTACCTCCAAGCCTGCAGCTACACTCTAACAAATTCCACATGAACGGACCTTTCTCTATTCTTGGTGGGTCAGCTTTCACTGTTGCTACTGTGTCTTAACGGTTATAAAAATTTAATAAACATTCAATGTTTTATTTCCCTCAAAGCTAGATTTTAGAAAAATCCTACACAAATACATCAGGCTGTATTTCCAAAGGGCCAAGAAAGTTCTTTTCAAAGATTTTGTTCAGTGAAAATGTCCCTTCAGGCTGACCACATACTTGCAGTAAAACTGACAACTCACATCACTGATGATGTCCCTGGAGGCCTTGGCTGCCACAATTGGGATGGCATCACTTCGCAAGTCGTAGCCTTTCTTCTTTGCCTCTTCATGGGCAAGTTTGTACAGACTCTTAAATTTGAGCAAAAAAAAAAAAAAAATCCATTAGATGTTGACATTCATATCCAAATATTAACAGAGAACTAAAACAATTCACTAAGTTCTACACAGGTAGGTGCCTGAAATCATCTCACTGTTGAGAGTCCTATGCTTTGTGATTTTTTTGGCAAAGTTGAGTCTTAAAAATGATATCTATATGGAACATGGGACCTTTGTTTTTCATTTTTAAAGTTATGTTACATTAACTATATATAGAGGTATTATTGTTTCAAAATTTTGAGTTTTAACAATGAATCAGTTTTGGAAAGCTGAAACGAATGGGTCTAGGTGGCAAAAGTGGACAGGAGGAAAACTAATTCAATCTAGATTTATTCTGCACCAACTCTGTGCTGTGGCAGGGCTTGGTACTTGAGAGGCAAAGATGAATATGACCTCTCTTCACTTTCAAGGCTGCCGGAGAACTGATGGAAAGACTGATGTGGAACTAGCTGCCAAGAAGTCAAACTACAAATGGTGCTTTAGCCATGTTATTAGAACGAACTCCAGGAAGGAGAAATTGGTTCCAAATTCAAAGATCAGGAAGTTTTCTGCAGAGGGAGTAATCTTTGCATTGGACCTTGAGTGATAAATGTGGTTTCAATAGACTGAGATGGAGGTCAAGGGCACAGGGACTCGTGTGAATCAAAATACGAGGGATGTCAAAGGAGGTGGGGGCAGCGCCAGGCGGAGGAAATGGCAACACAGGACTGAAAAAAGTCAGGAGTTGGGCTGTGAAGGCCTGGCGATAAGTTTGTGCTTAACTCTATGTGAAATGGGAAACCCACAACAATATTTGAGGGAGAATGACATCATCAAATTTGCATTTTATCTTCCTGTCCTAAATGAGAAAGAAACACAACAGAATTGAACTAAGCTAATAGAGAAAAGTCGGAGAAAGCAGACCAGTCAGGTGAGGCCCTCAGTTCAGGGCATTCTTCCCGGGCCTCTTTGAACCAACCACAACATACAGCAGCTCTGAGCTTTTGCAGTAAAGACAGAGCTGACAATTCCAAACATGCTGAGTGGCTAGTTTCAGGGGCCCTTTGCCGCTTAAAACACTTGTTCATATAGCACGTACTTTCCTGTAGCATTACGGGACCTATACTGCAAGTTTAGTTGAAAACTCACTTCTTTTTGAGAGTGGCACTTGATGTTTTTAGTTTGGGATGACAATTTAGAGTTAGTTAGATAAGCATTAAAAATATAGTTTGTAGCCCCCAAAAATAAAATGACTTAAGTTGGTGACAAATTAACTTAAATTCTCTCAGTTATATTCTGCAGAAGAGGAATACATGTTAAAACAGGCTGTCAAAGAAAGAATATTTTCCTGGAAAGTAGCAGAAAGCTGGGAGAAAGAACTAATACATCAGTGGACAGACTCTTGGATTCACAAAAATCTCCATAGGCTTAAATCAATAGGCTCATTCTAAGAAGAAAAAATTGCCGAGATATAAATGTAAGTCTGAACTGAAATGTAAGTTGCCAAATGGATAAATACAAGATAGAGGAAGTCGAGTTTAAGCCCATGTAAGTTGTGTTAGGGTTTTGGTTGACCCCAAGTCCCATCTGTATCAGCAGTGACATAGTCGCCAAGGACTCCTAAGGCACAGGATGAAGAAATGGAGGGCGAACGTCCAGAAGAGCAAATGCAAAGTCAACGGTAATCTACATTAGTAATTCCTCACCTGCAGGACTGTGTTTGGTTCTCAGAGTCACATTCTAGCAGGGATGTCAGGTGAGGAATGTCCAGGAACTTATAACAACTCTGAGAAGAGTACTATTATAATGTTAAACCCACTTTCCAGGTGGAAAAACTGAGGGACAGTGGGGATGTTTAGATTAGAGAGAGAACATGGGTGAGTTGATGGGGAGGCACACAGTAGCAACCTCGTCTCCGTGGGTCTTAGAGAATTATGTGGGTCTGCAGAGAGAAACCATTGACCCAATACATGAGAAGCATTTTGTAAAGGAACTGCCGGAACAAATGGGTTGATTTTTGAGGTAAGCATCCTGTCACTGAGGACACTTAAGCTAAGGCAGGATAACGGCTTATTGGGTGAGGACTCCTGCCCTAGAGCAGAGGCTGACCTCTCGGCCTAAACATCTGTGGTTCTGATTAAGAGTAGCATTGACACACATACACTTTTTGTTACCACGTGTAAAAATAGCTAGCTAGTGGGAAGCTGCTGCATAACACAGGGAGCTCAGCTCTGCTGTGCAATGACCTAGACAGGTGGGGGGGTGGTGGGAGGGAGGTTCAAGGAGAGGGGATATATGTAAACACGTAGCTGATTCACTTTGTGGTACAGCAGAAGCTAATACAATGCTATAAAGCCATTATACTTCAATTTAAAAAAATCTGTGGTTCTGATATGGGGGGGCTCTATGCTCACAGAAAACAAATAGGAAATGGGCTTGCTAATGTGTATATTGATAGGTCTCCTCTGTCTCTCAGTTATTTGATTGTACTGTGATTTTAATCCTTGACTTAAACCTTATAAAAATTGTAAATTTTGACCCTAAACTATAATTTAGGAAAAATAAAGCATGTGTGGAAAATAGGTTTAGCACAGCTATGTAACATATGTGCTATGTGCCAAGTCGCTTCAGTCGTGTCCGATTCTTTGAGTATCTATGGACTGTAGCCCGCCAGGTTCCTCTGTCCATGGGACTCTCCAGGCAAGAATACTTGTGTGGGTTGCCATTCCCTCCTCCAGGGAATCTTCCTGACCCAGGGATTGAACCTGCATCTCTTATGTCTCCTGATAGGGAAGAGATAAATGTATTTTGGTATATTGCCAATTTCCTAACTTAAATTAATAAAAGAAGAAAGTATAGTTAATCTTCTGGTTACTGCTTTAATTATCAGTTCTTAAAATTTACACTGCCTAAATGATAATTTGTGCTACTTCAAGATTGATGCTTAGGATGGTAATTGAGAAATGCAAGAGTTGGTACTCACATGCAGCAAGAAATGGCATTCTTTACAAATTGGTCATTTAGTATTACATCACCATGGAACAGATTAATTGAAATACGAAACACCATGCATATGTCATAGAATTAGCATCTGCTCCCACCTCACTGTAGTTGATTTTGTTCATTCTTGCCAACGTAATTTCTGGTGTGTCTGGCATGATGTGGACCTGGGTCTTGTCTTTGTCCCAGGCTTCTGTGTACAGACGCTAGCAAGGAAAATACAAAATGTCATCAGGAAAATAATTCAGTGTATATTTCATAGAAATTTCAGGGCCACAAGAACTTTAGAAACAAAGATAACAAGAGGTTATGCATTTTATACACATTATGTATTTTATACCTATCTTCAAGTAATCAGTTCATAGTAGAACAGATATGTATGAGTGTCTTCTGATACTCAGAATTGTATGTTAACAAAAGGAAATTTAGAATATCTTATGCAGAGATGATTTTCCATAAAAATGTGCCATTTTATCAAAATCATGAAATAACTACTGAGGTAAATGTTAAAATATAAATGGCATAGATATTAGATATGGATAGGTATATATAGAGAGAAAGGCAGACATATCTTTTGTTGCTCAATTCTCTATTTCTTTCTTTTCTTGATCATGTTTCTTCTCCTTTGGTCCAGCTTTAGGAGTAATGACTCTCTGAATTGTGAAGCCTCACCTTGTTCATATTGATGGCGTTGTTCTTGGCCAACACTTGTTCCAGAGAATCAGTCACACTAGTAAATTTGAATTTGTCTGGAGGCTGGCGATAGATTTTATCACTCAAAATTTCACTCGCCCTCTTGCATTTTTCCACATCTAAAGAGCCAATGGGAACCCAGCCGATGCCTCTTAGCCATTGGAGATCTGACTTGTACACATTCTGTTAATACAAATAGTAAGTATTTATCTCTGGTTTGGGAAAACATTTTCATCAACAGGACATGAAATAAAGTAAGAACACTTTTGAAAATGTAGTTTGGTGGACAGACAGGGTATCAGACAGTATTCCTTTGTGGTCTGGAGGGTTTGACATTGAACACTCACAGAAAAGAAGAAATGTTTTCCCCCACTTGCAGGGGCTGGAGAGGTTGGTGCCACTTATCCAACAGATGTTAATTCACTGATTTCCCACCTTTGCATGTCATTAGGATCCTCAGTACTCACGTCACTCTGCAGGTCATAGGCCTGCCGAGCATGGATGACGTCGCTCTGGTCGGGCAGGCACGTCCACTGGTGCAGGTAGTTCTTGTAGTCTATGTCACTGACCAAGGTCTGGCACTTCTTGGCCAGCACCACCCCCAGCATGTCCACTGGGCTGCTGAACTTGGTCTTCCACTTCTCAAAGTCCTTCTTATACTCCCGGTCACTCTGGATCTTGGCCACGTGCATGGACCACATCATCTTTGGATCGTCATGTATTGCTCGGGCACCAATGTGATGGCCAAGCTGCTTACGATAGCCTTCTTTGTACTTGAACTAGAAGAAGAAAATTACTGATGGTCACCTAGTATAACTTTTAGTACAAAGATTACTAGGCTCAGATTTTCCTATTCATTAAAAATGCTTTCCCCCTGAATATTTCTTGTCTGGAAAACTCCACGGACAGATGAACCTGGCAGACTATAGTCCATGGGGTCACAAGAGTCCAACATGACTTAGTGACTAAACCACCACTCCCGAATATATAATATGTGCATCTGCATCCTATAAACCATAGAAAAAATAAAGCTTGTATATATGTATACAAAAAGAAAATAAAAATTAAGACATTCTGCCATTTAGTGATAACTGCTGATGAAAATGACTTTTTGTGGGGGGGTGTGTGCATGTCAGAGAGACAGTATATTAATAAAATTAGAATGGGGTCATATTGTACATGGGTTTGTGTCTGCTCATTTCAGTTATTATTTAAGCATTTTCCTATGTCATTATATGTTCCCTTGTATGTGTCCAACCCTTTGTGACCCCATGGACTATAGACCACCAGACTCCTCAGTCTATGAGATTTTCCAGGAAAGAATACTGGAGTAGTCAGCCATTTCCTCCTTCAGGGCATCTTCCTGTCCCAGAGATCAAACCCAAGTCTCCTGTGTCTCCTGCATTGTAGGCAGATTCTTTACTGCTTGAGCTGTCAGGCAAGCCCATGTATTCCCTACAAACATGATTTTTAATGGCAGCAGGTATTCCACTATATTGTATTATAATACTTTTAATCCTTCTGTGACTGTTGAACATTTTTTTTAAAAGTATGACAGCTACTTCCCATATTTTGGATATAAAGAGAAAATATGCTTTTGACTTCACAGACAATAGAAATAGAAGGATAAACATTTCTAGAAATGTAAGCAAATCCATCTTTTAAAGTAAATAAATATCCAATAAGTATCCACAGCCAATCACAGGATGCAGAGATAAACATACGATTCACGTGAATGGTTGGACTATAAACAGAATAATGTGTTCCATTCCTTCAGAATCTCTTAGGTTTACTGGTTCACAGTACATGCCTGGGTTAAGAAGGGATCCTATGATGAGTTCAACTGCATATATGTCACTTTGTTTGCCGCTGATGTGTAGTCGCTAAGTCATGTCTGACTCTTTGCAACCCCATGGACTGCAGCCCGCCAGGTTCCTCTGTCCATGGGATTTCCCAGGCAAGAATACTGGAGTGGGTTACCATGTCTTCCTCCAGGGGATCTNCTTGTGACACCTTTGGGTCTAGATGTCACATCAGTAAGAAGCGCAATACTTACTTTAAAACCACTTTGAAAGTGAAAGTGTTAGGTGCTCAGTCGTGATCAACTCTTTGTGAATCCATGGACTGTGGCCTGCCAGGCTCCTCTGTCCATGAAATTCTCCAGGCAAGAATACTGGAGTGGGTTGCCATTCCCTTCTCCAGGGGATTTTCCCAACTCAGGGACTGAACCCGGGTCTCCTGCATTGTAGGCAGATTCTCTACCGTCTGAGCTACCAGGGAAGCCCACTTAAAAACCACTTTATGGCCAAGCAAAAGAACGGAATGTAATTTTTCTTTTATAGAAACAGATTTCAGTGTTTACACACACATACAAAAATTAACATCCACCTCAAGTTAAAGAAAGGACTTACATGGTTCATGGTAATAGCATTGTTTTTTGCCAAAACCATTGGGATGGAGTCCATAAGGCTGGAAAACTTAAATTTATCTGGGTGCTGACGGTAAACATGGTCACTCAAAATCTGGCTAGCTCTCTTGTTCTTCTCATCCTCAAGAGAGCCACTAGGTAGCCAGCCAATGCCTCTGAGCCACTGAAGGTCAGACTTGTACAAATTCTGAAATTTTAAGTGATAGGCCATTAAACAGAAGTATAATGATAGTCCCTAAAGATATAAAATTTTGTTTTATATTACATTATAAAATACTACATGATACATTTCAATGCTTGAATTCCCTGGGAAATTTTAAAATTTTGGTATTTCTTTGGAATCTACAAAATATTCACATTAGAAACAGATTTTGAAAGACATTTGTAAACAGAAGAACACAGAGAACATCAAAATTCGACTAGATCAATAATCTGGAGGTTTCTACCAAAGCAATGGGTGCTTTGCTGGTGTTTTCCTTTGTGAAATTAATGATGCTTCCAGTATTTGTGTGACTGGATAGAATGTGGACGTCAGTCCAGGGAAGTAGAATTCAGATGTGGAGGGAACTTTGACACTTAGGAAAGCAGACATGGTTTTTATTGGCCAGTAAAGAATCTTAGACTCACGTCACTCTGCAGGTCATAGGCCTGCCGAGCATGGATGACATCGCTCTGGTCGGGCAGGCACGTCCACTGGTGCAGGTAGTTCTTGTAGTCTATGTCACTGACCAAGGTCTGGCACTTCTTGGCCAGCACAACCCCCAGCATGTCCACTGGGCTGCTGAACTTGGTCTTCCACTTCTCAAAGTCCTTCTTGTACTCCCGGTCACTCTGGATCTTGGCCACGTGCATGGACCACATCATCTTGGGGTCATCCTTAATGTTTCTGGCTCCAATGTGGTGACCAAGTTGCTTGCGAAAACCTTCCTTGTACTTGTACTAAAGGAGAAAAAAAAAACATGTCTTAGAGTCTTTTGAAGATTAACTTATGTTACTCTTTGTGGTGAATTACAAAGCACATTAACTCCAAATATTTTCATAAGGCTAGAGAGCCACAGATTTGTTTTCTTTTTTTTGATAGGAAAGATTAAAGGCTAAATCCAGCTACAGATTCCATACATAATAAATACATCCTTGAGTTTATTCTTGTCCCATGCTGCATCCCTGGGATCATTTCACTATTTTTAATTTGTTACTTGGAAGACTCTATTCAATTGAAAATTAAACTGAGACTTTTTGAAGTGAAAATTGCAATCTAATCAGTACAGAGAAAGGATAAAGTCTTACTTCGCTGGCAATTTCCCGGGACGCTTTAGCTGCTTTGATTGGTATGGCATCAACGGGAAGATCGTAACCTTTTTTCTTCAACTCCTCATAACCCATTCGGTAGAATTTCTGTTAAGAGATGAAAATCAATTTGAAAAAAACTGTTTCCCATCAACAACTGCAGCGTAATGAATCCAATGTGCTAAATATTTTAAGAGTTCATAAGAATAGCTTCTGAGCTCTAGAATACTCAAATGTAACTGGAAGTTGTGCCCATTGATTGCTGATGATCTTGTTTTAAATTCTAAAGCTCTTCAATTACCTAGACCAACAAAGTTAAATGTTAGCTCTTCCCAAATATTTATGAGAATTAGACAGATAAATTGGGAGGTAAATGAAATGAAATATCATCAAGGTGCTGTTTTCCAACTAACTTTGACTGTTTCAATAGAAGTTTTCGTTAGAAAGAGCAATGTCTTTGCCATCTAACACTAGAGTCTATTTTACCATATAGGGCTGTCCAAAAGTAGGGTCCACATTTTTAGGCAAGAAACAAAGCCCTTCGTAATTTTTACATGTAAGATTTTTTTTGAGGAAAGTTTAAATATCGTATTTTAAAAGTTTAAGTGAAATAATTTCTTTCTTCAGATTTGTTACATAATTAAATAACTGAGAATATAATTTAATGCACTTCATTCAGAAACCAGATTGTTTAAAGTACCTATTGACTTTGGACTTGTTTTTCTATTTTAGTCCTTTGTGGTATTACTTCAGTACATTATTTAAGGTCCTCATATTAGAATTTGTTGTTAAAGAATTAATTTTTACATCTATAAAACTTCAGGAGGGTATACTATGACAATAAAAATAAAAATGAAATTATCCTACAGAAGTTTTTTATGCTCATCTAAATTTTATTGGAATTTCCTGTGTGTCAGGCACTATAGTGGCTAAGCACTGTAGATCCAATATAATATGATTTGTCTCTGCCCCCACGAAGTTTCTGTCCACACATGGTAGAGCTATACAGACCATTACAATATGACAACGTGCGTAATAATGAACCACAAGGAACAGACAGCACATCCTTCCAACTCCATTGAACAGAGTTATTGGGATCCATCCAGTTATTGGGATGTTCAAGCTAAAAGCCGTTAAATGAGGACTCTTAAGTCATATGAAGTTTGTTAAGTAAAATGATTTGAGTATTCAAAATAGCCTCCAAATAAATTCACTGCCTCAGAAGCAATCAAAAGGAGCTATCTGAAAATACATGTTTCATTTGGAAACTTACATCACTTGTGTTGATTAAGTTTGCTTTAGCCAGAATAATGTCAGGTGTATCTGGCATGATGTGAACTTGAGTCTTGTCCTTGTCCCAAGCTTCTCTGTAAAGTATCTAAAATGAGACAAAAGGGTTTTTCAGTGGTGTTCTTAGCTTAGTTAGTGACATAGTTAATGTCAAATAGTGTTACTAATTCATCTAAATTAAGCATTATAGTAGCATAAGCAGAAAATAGGTATAGCATTTCTTGACTTATGAGACACAGTTGACTTTCAAAATACAACTATGGATTACCTTTTCAAAGTTGCAACTAACCCTGCCTGTAAGAAATCAGCCCAAGTAGTTAAAGCCTTTACCAACATCATCAAACAGAGCAGCAGTTCTCCACATTTTGGGATTATAACAGTCTCCCCCAGGATTTAATTAGGAGACAGTCTTTATCTTCTGGCTTCCCGGGGGCTCAGTGGTAAAGAGAATCTGCCTGCCAATGCAGGAGATGCAGGTTCAATCCCTGATTTGGGAAGATCCTCTGGAGGAGGAAATGGCAACCCACTCCAGTATTCTTGCCTGGAGAATCCCAAGGACAGGGGAGCCTGGTGGGTTATAGTTTATGGGGTTGCAAAGGAATCAGACACAGTTGGGCATGCATGCATCTTATCTTTTGGAAAAATGACACATTCGGGGTATGTCTAGATTTTAGGGAGTCTCATTTCCTATGTGGTTTATCATACAGTTATACCTCATAACTGTTTGAGGGGATTAGGATTCCCCCAAACGATTTTGTATGAGACTCAAAGTTTCTTGTATGTCCCAGGGTCATTCTCTTTTTTCAACAGAAAACAAAGGGACCCAAACAAAAATCTCATTGATATATTATAACCACGGGGTAAAAGTATGATGAAAAATAGTGTGCTTACATTGTCAGAGAGTCTTCCCACAAGTTACTTATCAATTACAAAGGATAAAATAGTAACTAGACAGTAGAGAAACCTCTCAACACCATTTCGCCCAAGCGATCAAAGCTAAAATGACCAGTAATAGGATAGATTGATATCATGTGCTTCCTCCCATGCTGTGCAGAGGAGGATGCAACATGTGCTATCCTGCCAAAAATACAGAACCTGAGTCTAATCATCAGGAAACTGTAGATAAACCCAAATTTACAGAGGTTCTGTAGAACAACTGGCCTGCGCTCTTGATGAATATGAAGGACTTGTAATGCAAAGAAGTGAGAAATTATTTCAGATTAAAACAGACTAAAGACATGACAAATAAATTCAATGTGTGGTCTTGGGTTGGATCCTGAATCAAAAAACATTTTTCATTTTCTGTAAAGGACTCTTGCGGTAAAATTGAGTAAATTATGTACACTAGTGTTATTTTAACACTACTCTTCTGATTTTGATCATTGCACTATGGCTATGTAAGAGAATGTTCTTATTTTCAGGAAACACACTGGAGTATTTAGGGATAGAGCAGTATCAGGAAACAAAACACACACACACACACACACACACAAACACGTAGGAAAGAGAGGGGGCAGGGGAAAGAGAAAAAGGCAAATGTAACAAATGCTAATTGGTGAATATGGGTGAAGATATACATATGTATATGCATATACATGCACATATAAATTATGTGTACTAAGTTCAACTTTTCTGCATGCTCAAAATTATTTCAATATAAAAAATTTTAAAGTCTCATTGGTTCCTTGGACTTGTCAATTTCCCTTTGAGGCATGCTGTGTGGGGTGTGAGGGGCTGGCACTTTTCTCCTTCCTGACAAGCTTACTATGGTCCTTGTAATCCAAGGACCTCAGGACTACAACAAAGCAAGGCTTCTGAATTTCCTTATACCTTTATCCTAGACCTGGACTAACCTTTATGATTGAGGAAGATCAGAATTTCTCAGCCTCAGAACTATTGCTGGTGTTTACCGGAAGATTTTTTGTTGTGGGTGGGCTGTCCAGACTTCAATCCACTAGATTCCAGTAGCATGCCTCCCTCAAGTTATGACAAGTTATGAGTGTTGCCAAATATCCCCTGTGGGTTGAACTGTCCTTAGTTGAGATCCACTGAGTAGGCCTATTCCAATGCCATGTGTCACTTTCACCTCACGGAAAACAGAGTGTTAATAATGTTTGTTTACACTGAGGTCGATGAACTGGTCTATTCAAAAGGAGAGACAGCAGGCTCCAGGACCCCAGGGGCCCTTTCCTGAGGCCTAAGGAGGTCAGTCTCCTCTAACAGGGGCATACTGTAGAGGAGGTCTATCCTGAGACTTTGATGTTGATAGGCTTCATGATGCAGGGTTTTTCTATTGGCCACCATATTAGTTCAGAACTTTATACACAGCCCCGTTTCACGGAGAAACAAGAAACTTTTCAAAAGGGGGAAATAATTTGTAGACATTTGTTGCCTTATTAGTCACTTGATGGATTCAAATTGCCATCATAAAAACAAAAAAATGGGAACATGAACATTCCTAATAAAACTCACAGGTCAGCAATTACTATACATTTTGGATATCAAAACTGCAAGAAGTCTACGAGGGGCTGATTGGGCAGAGAGGAGCCACAGTTCATCAAATGCTTTTGTTGTGTTGTTGTTTGGCTGCTAAGTTGTATCTGACTTTCGTGACCCCATGGACTGTAGCCCACCAGGCTCCTCTGTCCATGAATTCTCCAGGCAAGAACACTGGAGTGGGTTGCCATTTCCTCCTCCAGGGGATCTTTCCAACCCAGAGATCGAACCTGAGTCTCCTGCACTGGCAGATGATTCTTTACCACTGAGTCATCCTGAGAAACTATCAAAATGCTTACTATATGCTAATTAAGGGCTTACATATATTCTATAAAAACTAACATATATGTAATATATATAAAATGTTATATATATTTAGATCTTTCCCAAGACCCAAAGAGTTATTATTATAAATCTATTTAAATGTTCTTAGCTCCAAAATCTTAGTGCACATAATTCAATGCTCTGTAATTTTCAGGGTTATGCTTCTAACTGAGGAAGGTAGAGTAATCTTTCCCTTCTTTGAATAGAATTACTCTACACATCTTTCATTTATTTTATTCAATAAATGCTTACTAGTATGGGCACCTAGTATCATACTAGACACTGGAATCAGTGCTGGAGAAGGAAATAAGAAGGAAATGGAAGATATATATATATTTATTTATATTTGTATTTATATAATCTATTGTGATTCAGCTAAGTGAACTGTATTAAAATCACTTGAAAGAAAACATATTCTTTATGACATTTCCCCTGTGCCTGTGTAAGGTACTCAGAATCTCTCCTTCTAATACACTGTACATCTGGGTCTTCAACACACACAAGTTTCAAATAAAGAAATATGTTCAATAGTTTTCTTGTTATGCTTTGGGTAAATAAGCAAGCAAGCTTTGGGTGACAAAAATTGATACTAACTCGTTTTACAAGATCCACTGTAGGGTAACTGATAATTCAAATGAAATAACAAAATAAAAAATTGATGCTGTGTGATGCAATGCTGTGTTATGCTACTAATTTATTAAGCAAATACTGTTGAGCAACTACTGGGTATCTGGCAGTATAGTTTCTTTTATCTCCGAAAAGGTACTCACATCACTCCTGTTTTTGGCATTTGTCTTTGCCAGAACTATGTCCATGGCGTCAGGAATGCTGGTGAACTTGTTTGTATCCGGAGGCTGGCGATATTTCTTCTCACTGATGATTTCTGAAGCCCGTTTGTTCTTCTCTGCCTCCAAAGAACCCAAGGGACTCCATCCTATGCCTTTCAGCCACTCAAGGTCAGACTTATACAAATTCTGTGAAAATACAAGACATGTCACCAAAATTCCATCCTCATCCGGACCCTTGACTCAAACAATTCTATGCATTTCAAAAAAAAGGTATGTTTTAGATATTCAATAATAATTTGTCTATGTAGTTTCTGTCTCTTTATGATTAAATGATCACTCATATGAGATATGAAGTACTATACATATAAACTATGAGATTTAGTAGAAACTGACCTGACTCTGTAGTTCATAAGCCTTTTTAGCTTGGATCACATCATTCTGATCAGGCAGACACGTCCACCCGTGCAGGTAGTTTTTGTAGTCCACATCACTGACCAAGGCCTGACATTTCTTGGCCAGCACCACCCCCAGCATGTCCACTGGGCTGCTGAACTTGGTTTTCCACTTCTCAAAGTCCTTCTTGTATTCTCTTTCACTCTGCATTTTGGCTACATTCATGGACAACACAAGCTTTGGATCATCTTGCAGACTCCGGAATCCAATATGGTGGCCGATTTGCTTGCGGTAGCCTTGTTTATATTTAAACTGAAATCAGAGGAAACAGTTCTCTTATTAACACAAACACAAGTTAAACTCTGTTTTCTTTGTTTGCGTATTTCCAAAACTGCAATGAGAATTTCATTTAACTTGGTAAGAAATGTGAAAACTGGTTGATTCATGCTCAGATATGGCAGAAACCAATACAACATTGTAAAGCAATTATACTCCAATTAAAAATAAACAAATGTAAATTTAAAAAGAGGAAAGAAAAAAAAAGAAATGTGAAAGCTTAAGTAGAGGCTTCTGAAAAGACATAATGTAGCTGAGTATCAGGGCAGGTTATGATGAGAAATTAAATTCAACTAGAGGCAGAAATATATGTTGGAATGTGCTAGACATTATGTATGCTGACTCTAGGGTAGCATTTGATAATGCTTATAGGAATAATGGGAAAAGTATAGCTAAGTGGCAAAAAAAAAATTGGGAAGATTCTGGACTTGATGAGCAGGCCTAATAGTGTAGAATAATTTATTAAGCTGCAGGGTTTTTTAGTGGTTTGCCATATAATTGTGTCATATAAACTTGTCTTGTTCAGGATCTATTCCTCTGTTGCTCATAAAAACTGCCAAATATGTTAGAATAGAAACAAAATTCCACAAGATCTCAACATACTGCCAAGATAGGTCAAAATGAAATACATAAATGTAAGAAAGTAATAGTGAAATCCAATATTTAGATTCAATTGGGAAAAACTGCATTACTGTTGGTGACAATGACAAGAATAATAGTAATAATTGGATAATAGCATTTACTTGATGCCAGATGCTGAACACACATTATACTTTACAAAAGTACGTTCTACTCTCTCTTGTTACCCAGCTTCATGGTTATGTCTTATTAAAAATGCTCAGGAATTTACATGGACCATCAGCTCAATGTGTGCAATATGACAAAATTGCTTTTTAAAAAGTATATTTCTGAAGAGATTCTGTAGGAGTATAGATAGAGGCAAATCAGAAGTTCATTTGCTCAGCCTGACCTGAAACAGTAACGCAATACCAAGTTTTAAGATACTCTGTTTTGAGAAGGGTTTTGAAAATATAGAATACATCACAAGTGGAATGATTTAAGGACTTACAAAGCTAAAAACCAAAGGAGAATAAGAAACTTGAAATGTTTGAAGGGATATCAGGTGAAAAGGGAAATATGCTACTCTGTGGTGTTTTAGAACACACATCTAAGGCTGACCAGTAACATGTTTAAGTTTGAAATGAGGAAATATGTAATGGCAATTAGAAATGATCCAGCAAAGAAACAAACTGCCCTGAGAGACACAAAAAATTTTATATTTGTAAATATTCAGAGACCTATTAGAATGGAGAGAAGACCTATAAGAAAGGAGAGAATGATGTTGAGTGGGAGATTAGATTAAATAAACCTTGTTATCTTCTAACTGTAAATTCTGTGATTCTGACTTATTAAGTATTGATAAAAATAGCTCTAATCTCTTTAGGTGGCATAGATACAAGAACCATTTGAAACTGAGAGGAGATAAAATCTCTACAATGGTGGGAAATTCATTTAAAGGTAATTCAATTTTAGGGTAAGATTTCAAAAATTTCCAACAGACTTACATGAAAATAAATGTTGTTTCTTAGGAAAGTATTGATGCAATGTCTTAATTTCCTAAACTATCTTTACCTCATAGGGAATTCTAACATTAAATGAAAATGAGTTTACTTTCTGGGGACCATTCAGACATCACTATTGCTTTAGGTTCATCATTGCATTGATTCATTTTAATGAGATATTGACCTGCAAGCCAGAGAGTGGGTAATAACACATCATCTAATTAATTTCCCAACACTTCTGAAGTGCCACAGATTAACTGAATTAGAGAGAAATTTCCCTTATAGCCTTAGAATTTATTGTCAGATTGTGTTTAGACATGGTTTCTCTCCAAATCAAATCCTTCTTTTGCTTTGATTTAAAGATTTTGATTAAGAGGCTGTGACAAAATTCTGGTAATTTATTCTCTATAACTGAAATTCTCCAAAGTTTTGGTGTTCAATTTTTGGGGTTAACAAAATGATATGTTTGAATTTGTGGAATCTCTAAGTTGAATATTTATAAAAATTTAATTGACCAATAGGAACTGTATCCAGTTTTTTCCCCAAATTTACTACCCTTTCCAATCATAATTAGAAGTTGCCTTGGCAGTTGCCTGGCAGTCCAGTGGTTAGGACCTGGCGCTATCATTGCTGTGGCCGGGGTTCAATCCTTGGTGGGAGAACTAAGAGTCCACAGGCTGCATGCAACCAGGAAAAAAAAAGAAAGTTGCCTTGAAGAGCGAATATCCTTGTTTTATGAACTTTCTACCAGATATTCAGGGGAAAGTTAAGTCCGCTGTATGTTAAACCTAAATTCCTGCCACTTCCTGTATTTTCTACACACTGAGCCAATTTATTATAATTATAATACATTATAAAAGCAAGGATGGCCTAAATAAAAAGAAATGACAGTGAATTTTAAATATGTGAAAGAAAAATCTATTAACATCAGGTTGTTGAGGTTATGTATTGTCTGGCACTTTGAGTTTGTCTAAAATAGACAAATAGAAGACAGGAAAATTGTTTGCAGGCAAGCAGGAAAACAAAGTTTTTGGTTCTTTTGTAATGTGTAGAAGCAACACAACCTATAATGTGTCTTATAGGTTCTCTGGCTCAGTCTCTACTCAGGAAGCCCCTTTTTTGATATTCAATCAGTGAGAAAGAAGAGTGGATTGGGGTAAGTGAAGAGGATAGGAAAAGATGAAGGAGATTGCATCACATTTTGAGAGGTGAGGACTATCTGTAAAAAATCATTACCAGCACACTAAAGTACTAGATTCAGACATCAATATATCCTCATAGAAGTCAAAAAATACTTACATCACTAGCGATGTCTCTGGAAGCTTTGGCTGCCTGCACAGAAATTGCATCAACTGGGAGATCATAGCCTTTTTTCAAAGCTTCTTCCCATCCAAGTTTATAGAGTTTCTGAAAATTAAGGAAAATATTTACCATTATTCAGTATATATTAAAACCACAAAAGATTACTAAATAGAAGTTTACCTAAAGAGTAGACATCAGATTCTAACATCATCTATCTTATCTCTAAAAATATGGATAAAAAAGAATATAAGCTGTTTAACAGAGCAATGACTTAGCATCAAGTGATCTGGCATCAACTTTTTTTTTTTTTGCCTCTGAGACTCACTTCCCACTACCTTGGTATTAATAGTATAGTTGAGTATGGCTTTTTCCATTCAGACATAATGTATTCATATCAGGTATATTAGGTAGATTTCCTCTACAGTTAAGTACAGTCTAGGCCTACTAATTTGAATATAGATATTAAAGTAATTGATTAATAAAAGGTCAGGTAACAAAATTTTAATTATCTAATGATAAAAGTCATAGAAAATGAAATGCCTTTTGTAAGGTGCAAAAAATAAGTTAATCTTTTTGACTCAAATTCATTGAATGGATGCATGTACGTTCAACTGGACAATAATAAAAAGAGCTGAAGGTCATCCAGTGCTTACTGTGTGCCGGGCACTGTGATGAGAGCTGTGCATGGAATTCCTCATTTGGTCCTCACAGCAATTCAATGTCATAGGCACTTTAAAGGTACCAATTTTAGGAATGAACAAACTAAGGCTTAAACCCAATATTACACAACTCATAAATGGGAAAGTCAAAGCTCATACCAGGTCTGTTTGGTGTATTTTTCTTTCAATAACTTGAGATTTATTGATTTTCTACACTGTGCCAAACACAATTAGTATTGAGATAAACAAAAGAGGCATAGTACCTACCTCCATGGAATATATAATCACAGCTGTTCACTTGCTTCTAACCACCATAAATTTCAACATCCCTCTATTAACCACTTTGAGTCATTCATTTCCATAGCTTCAGCATTTACATCAATTATATACCATGACATCATTTAATATGTTTAATTATGTATTTTACCTCACTGAACATTGTTTGATTTTGCTTGGCTTGTAAAATATCTGGTGTATCTGGCATCACATGAATCTTCGTTTTATCTTTGTTCCAATCAACAGTGTATAAGTACTAGAAAGTTAAAAAAAATGCATTTAAAATTGGAATAACTTTTTAGGTCAAACAAGAAATTAAAAAAAAATAACATTTGAATGCACTCAATTTTAATTAGGTTAAATTAATTTAGTAACTAAAGTAATATATAATTCAGAAAAGACACCAAAAATAAAATCAGACTTAAAAAATAATTTAAAAGAAAGAATTATTTCTAACTCAATTAGAAAGGCAAGGGAAATAAAAATAAGAGGTAGGGAGCAGAAAAAAATGGTGTAGGGGAGTGCTCTGGTACTGTTTGCCAGTGCATAGCAGTGATGAGTCCAAATTAAAATTTCCCAAACAAGAACCAGAGGCTTCGAGCCCACCTGGCTGGGAGTTTCGGGGAAGGGTGGCGGTTCAGTTTACCTTGTTCATGGTGCGGGCATTCTGCTTAGCAAGGACCATGTCCATGGAGTCATTCAGCTTTGTGAACTGGAAGTTGCTAGGATGCTGCCGGTATTTCTGGTCACTGGCATATTCAGTTGCTTTCTTGGCCTTCTCCACTTCTAGGGAACCAGCTGGACTCCAGCCAAGCCCTTTGTACCATTCATTGTAGTCCTGCTTGTATTCATTCTACAAAGAGAGGAAGCAAGTTCTACATTATCAATTCAGACACAAGAATGTGGCATAAGAGCCTGTCATCTCCCCTCTCACGCTAGGAACGCAATCATCACCCAGAAAGAAGATCACTTACATCACTCTGTATGCGATTCATATTCTTGGACAGCTGGATGTTCATGGCATCAGGGAGGAGAATATACTTGTGAATCAGGTGCTTGTAGTTGGTGTTGGTGATATTGGCTTGGGCGTCCTTGGCGGCCGTGACGCTGAGCATGTCGGCAGGGGTGTGGTAGCTGGTCTTGGTCTTCTCATAGTTTTTCTTGTACTCCCGCTCCGATTGCATTTTGGCCACTTGCATGGAATGAACTAATTTGGGATCATCCTCAAGACTGCGGAAACCAACCATCTTCCCCCTCTCCTTTTCATAATTGTGTTTGTATTTATACTGTGAAGAAAATTTGAATATTTATTCAGAGCAATTCCCTTGACCAGATATCATTCTAGTGTCAATGTTCTGTATTTCATAAAAAATGATATTTGTATAGAATTCTGCAGTTCAGAGAATATGTTTTTCACATTTATTTATGTAACCTGATACAACTATACATTGTGAGGTGATGGCAAAGTTATTCTTACTGCCCCCATTTTATAGATGAGTAAACTGAGACCCAGAGGGATGAGTGACTTGCTAAGGTCCCTAAGGATTAGAACCTTGATCTTGTGATGATACACCACACTGATTTCTGCTCTTATGCTATTGTTAAAAGGGACCTGTAGTAGGTAATAAGAGTACAACAAATAAGAAAAAAAAAAGCAGACTGCTCCAAGCAGTTTAAAATGTTGCCCCAAGGAATCATCCAGCCAGTCTTACACTGATGAGAACAGGCTCAGTAATGAGACACACAGTATACTTTCAGGGTGGCTTTATATTTGTGGAGTTCTTTTTCAGATTCTCCATACTGGTGTAGTGGGGAAGAAATTTTGCTATTTATCACCAACTTCCTTCTATAGTGGGGAGATCCTGATACATGGAAAGCTTCGTATTCCACCCGTCTCTCCTGGGTTCAGGTGTGCAAGTTAGCGCTTATGATCTGGGAGAGCCAAATGACTCCAGCACAATAGAGGGAGAAGAATATGGAGTTCTTGGGACGATGCAGGAGTGGGGTAGGGATGGAGAGGAAGAAAAGATGAAGAGCGGAGAAGGTGGAGGAAAGAGAAAGTATGCCTGGGGGATGGCTAAGGAAAGAGTGCTCTGAATGCACTCTTCTCACTTCCCCCAAATCATTAATGTTCACTATGAGTGGATTTCTTATTGAAACAAACAAATGAAAGAAGTGAGTCTCATTGAGATGACGTGTTATGGCAATGGTAGGGAGGCACACCAACTCTCTGGGGTGGGGGGAAGGCCCAACTTATAATATTTGCCAATGTCTCTGGTGTAAAGAGTCCCGTCACAGCTGTTATCAAGCTGTCAATAGTTTAACAATGGGTTTGCAAAATTCCTAATTATTTAATAATCAGCTATCATGAGAACAAAAGATCAGCACCCCAGCACAGCCCTTTCTGAGACATCCTGTTAGGAAGACAGTCTACGAGGCAGTAGGCAAGGACAACACAAGTCTTCATTAAGAAGACTTAGTGAATGGCTTTGGATTTCTATAGGCTGCGGTCTTGGTGAGGGAGACCAAAGTAAATTCATCCAGATCTCATGAGTCAGGGAGCTGACATCTAAGTTGTCATAATGTGACTGGCATTCTATTTTTTTGAAATATCCAAGAAAATACGAGAGCAAGGTTAAGACATGTTCATAGAACATAATGGGGCTACTGTTAGGAGGCATGCTTTTTTTTTTTTCTCATGTTTTACTCATTCAGTGTTTCTAGAACTCAGCCCTTATTATTTTGGTGGGATAGAAACCCCCAGTCAGGTGACTGCTTTCCTTTAGACTTACATCACTTGCAATATCTCTCGAGGCCTTGGCAGCTTTGATAGGAATTGCATCAGTTCTGAGATCATAGCCTTTCTTTTTAGCCTCTTCGAAAGAAAGTTTGTAGAGTTTCTGGAAAGAGAGGCAAAGGAAACAGTTTTATTCTAAATAGGAAAATCTGAATTTATTTTCAAAGACTAAACTGGCACTGAAGTTAGAAATGTGAAAGTCCAGTATATTCTTATTGATTCATTTTGTCAAATAAGAGTTAAGAGAAGAAAACAAAATAGCTGTGTTTTTTCATCAAAATACTTTCACTGTTTTGCAATGGACATTTTTATGTGTATAATTGTATGGATTCTACAATCCAAAAAGAAGTCAACTATCCCAAATCCCTATGTAATTCAAACAAACAAAAGAAAAAATACCTGGTAAGATTTGAGGGTTTCCAAGCAACTGGTTAAGATGAGAAAGGAAGTGAAATAAAACCCCTATGCAGTTTCTAACAGTACATGTTGCACATTCCTTATGGGGCTTGACCTAAATTCTTCAAAATGTTCTTCCCTCTTCATTTAACTTTTCCCAATACTCCCTCTTTAGAAACATTTCAAAAGCTTGGTAGAAGGACTCTAAGAAAGTCCTGGGATTCACTCTTTATCTCTTACCCTGGGCTCTAAGCCATTCTCTTTAATTCTCCTAGTTTGATAAAAAGTACCTACCCCTAGAGCAAAATCCAACTCCCTTCGAATTCCTAACTGCTGGGTCCAAGTTCCATCAATAGGCCTATTCCTATTCTTATCAAAGCAAGATGAGAAAGAGAAAGATGCTCATTTGTGGAATCCCACTCATTTTCAAAACATTCACTCTCAAAATTGAAACATTAATCTGTTACTTTGTTTTTACTAGTTCAAATGGAAAGAAAGATGATAACAGGGGGAATCTTACTTACATCACTCATATTAATTGCATTTGCCTTTGCCAGAATAATCTGGGGGATATCAGGCATGATGTGGACTTTGGTCTTGTCGGCCTCCCATGCTTTTTTGTAGAGGTACTGGAAAGTTAAAAAAAGAAAGAAAGAAAAAGAAATCAATGGAAGTTAATATTTAAAATTTTTAAAGTCATTTAGTACATACATATTGAAAGTGAAAGTGACAGTCGCTTAGTCGTGTCCGACTCTTTGTGACCCCATAGATTATATGGTCCATGGAATTCTCCAGGCCAGAATACTGGATGGGTATCCATAATATTTCCCTTCTCCAGGGGATCTTCCCAACCCAGGGACCAAACCCAGGGACCAAACCAACCCAGGGACCCACATTGCATGTGGATTCTTTACCAGCTGAGCCACAAGGGATGCCCAAGAATACTGGAGAGGGTAGCCTATCCCTTCTCCAGAGGATCTTCCCAACCCAGGAATCAAACCAGGATCTCCTACATAGCAGGCAGATTTTTTACCAACTGAGCAATCAGGGAAGCCCCATACATACTTATTATTTTACACAAATATCAATAATTTATGTAGTTTTGTTAGCTCACTCTTATATTTTTAAAGTTTAAAAGAAAAATGTGCTCAAACAAGATAGTGGAGAGGATGTAAAATGGAAAGTAAAATGTCCTGTCTTCCTATTTTACAGCCTGGATATAGCATTTCCATCTTAGAATTTTCTAGGCATATTAAAGTCCACATATAGTCCTTTTGAAATATAAATGAAGTGATATATATTATTCTACATCTTGCTTTTTAACTTATTATAGGCTAGACATCTTTTAGCCTTCTTAAAATAATCAACTTCACTCATTTAAAGGCTGCGTGGTATTCCATGAAGAAGTGTCACCTAATTGATTTAACCAGTTCTCCATTGATAGACATTTAATTTGTTGTTTTCATTTTCTTCTACAGTAAGCAATGATGCCATAATCTTTGTGGTGATTTGGAGATGCACCACCCAGATACCCATTCAAAGAAGGACTTGGTGCCCCAACTGTTTGCAGACAGTTTCCAAATTGTCACCTGCTTCAGGGTTTTGCTGCCTCACTCAAGAGCACATCTCCCCGGTGGCCACATTCAGGGATCTTCAGAGTTGAGGTACAAAGTCCTGGCCATTTTACCCAGCACAGGACACTCCTAACAGGCTGTGTCCACTCAACAGCCCTCTGTGGCACCGACCTAGGCTTTGTAAGGCCAGCATCCCAGTTGGACCCCTCTTGCCAGGTCTGCCTCCCACGGGTACTGATCCCCGAAAAATGCCCTGTACTTCAAATTCCACCTCAGCATCTCCTTTTGGAGACCCTAATCTGCAACAAATACTAACATGTATTTGTACATATGTATATCTTTGCACTTACATGAGGCCTTCTGAAGGGTATTGGGTGGATGAATTTTAATTTTAATTAACACTAGCAAAAAGTAGTTTACATTAACTTTCTTTCCAATACTGTATATCACACAGGTTTTTAATTTCTGGAAATCTTGTAGGTGAAAAATGCTATCTCTTTGTTTTAGCCAGGTTTGATTTAAAAAATAAAAACAAATCTTCTAGAGTCTTCTTCTAGATCAGGGGTCGATAAATGTCAAGAGTCATATAGTAAATAATGTTAGGTTTTGCAAGTCACAGAATCTCTGCTATTAACTACTCAATTCTGCTATTACAGTGCAAAAGTGACCACAGACAATATGCAAATGAAGGGCTGTGGCTGTGTTGCAATGAAACTTTACTTAAGAAAGCAGTAATTTTCTGATCTCTTCAAGACAAATACAACCAATCAGAACTATGCAGTGGTGAAAAGGTTCTGGGTCAACCAACACAACTCCTAACCACACAGGGCTATCAACCACTTGAAATGTAACTAATGTAAATGAAGAACTGAATTATTATTATTTAATTTTAATTGACTTAGATTTGTCATCACATGTGGCTAGTGACTATAGTATTAGGCAGTGCAATTCTAGTGGAAAGAGCAATGCTTATTCCTCAGAGTCCTGGCTCTAGTCTAGACCAGGTGATTCACCTGTTGTGTGTCTCTAAGGGAGGTGCCTTGCCTCTCTGGGCCACACTTTCCTCAGCCCTGCAATAAAGGGATTCAACCTGATGATCACCAAGATACTTCTCAGTGCTAGTATTTGCTATTTCTATGATTCTCATCTTGGCATCAGTAGTGTAAAATGATAATCATTAACACTGGAAAAATGAAAAAGCGTTTAAAAAATAAATGTATGTTTATGATAGTTTATAATTCTATATCTTAAAAGGGACACTGAGATTTGTGCCTTGTGTTGACAAGTCCCTTTCAAAGAGGCTGATCTTCTTGACAAATTTCTATCTCAGAAGATTCCAGAGGATTTACTCGGAAACTTAGCATAATACAGCTCTTTCTAGATCACTTTCTGCAACTGTATCATGTTAGGTCCAAATTATTTTTCCCCTTTTTGGTTAATCAATGGCATTTCTAGTTGTGATCTGCACAATATAACCAATGCTGCTATAATTATTCTGTTATCTGCAACTTGAAAACATGTGTCCAAGGAAAAAGGGTAAAAACAAAACAGGGTGATGTGCTTGTTTGCTTGTTGGTCATGAAATCAACTAATTGCTAATAATGTCAAATTACAGTGAGAATTTTCTAAAGACTGGAATCATTACTGATCCAAGGAACTAGTGGTGGAGAGCAATTGCTCTCAGGATTGGCCAGAGAAGTCTCTGGCTCAGAAATGCTGCTACAACCATGTAATCTAGAAGTTTTCTTTTATTCCAGCAAAGAGTAAGGAAGCAAGGTTGGGCTGCAACACATAGCTGTTATAAGCCCTACAATCTACTGATTCAGCATTATGAACTTCTACTCAATTTCACCTTAAACAAGTAGGACTCATTTTCAAGATTTGCATTAAAAAAGTCTATACTTATGTCTACTGGGTAGCGTGGTTCATTAAACATTTGAAGAGGGCACTTTATTAGGACTAATTTCTATCTTTTTCTTTAACTATAAGACCCTTTTTTAGAGGAAACATTAACTATGATGCTATAAAACTATTATTAAAACCTGTAGATTAAATGTAAGATATTCCTGGCTTATTTCTGATTCCTGTTAAACACTACATTATTGAAAGACTTACTTCATTCATAATTTTTGCATTATTCTTGGCCAAAACCATGTTCATCGAGTCCATCAAGGTGGAGTACTTCAAAGTGTCTGGATGCTGGCGGTACTTCTTTTCACTGATAATCTCCATGGCTTTCTTATTTTTCTCAGCCTCCAGGGAGCCCAGAGGGAGCCATCCAATGCCTTTCATGTAGTCAGCATAGTCAGCTTTGTACTGATTCTGCAAAAGAGGAAAAGTTTGAGGATGAGAAGAAATCACAGCTTCTTAGAATCATGAGCAGGTATTTAATATTCCATAAGTTCCCCTTCAGTTTTCAACCAATAGTATATTCAACTTCAACTACTTATATCCCTAAATTTCTTTTTCACATTTCTTTGCATGAGAAATTTAAAACAAGCAGTAGTATCTTTGTGATTTCTCTCAATACCTTCATAAAGAAAAAAATGCTAAGAAATACCAAATAGATCAATCTACCATGTGACTACCATCTCAAGAAAGGTGACTATGCTGGACTAACTCTTATAAAAACCTCCAATTCCCCTTGGCTAATAGATGACTCAGGGGACCCCATTTCTATCTTTAGCTATAAGCCTTTGAGCAGCCACCACAGTTACAACTCCTTCAGGTATGCCAGAAAACCTCATCAGTACTTTGTGCAAATTGCTTCCCTCCTGTTCTGACATTTCCCTCTATAACTGTACCATAGTCGCTTTCACTCAGATACTTATGTACCCCTCCAACTATAGCTCAGCTCCTACATTTCTAAAAAAAAAAAAATATAGGCTTGGTGTGGCCTGCCTTTGGTTCATAATTTAAATTCACTTCTCCCAGCCACCAAAGGGCCTCTGTAGCTGAATTCTTGGTTTTCCACCCTTTGTACCTTCCTCACATTTACTCTAAGAGCTGTTTCAGCCATCATCTCCTATTTCATCAGTAAGATAGGCAATTACAAGGTCAGAAATGAAAGCTGTTTGGGAATGAGGGGCAATAGCTCTCAAGTTATCTGACTTTTTGCTTCATCTCTTATTCCTTAATCAGGAACCATAACAGGTATGGGAGCTGTAGAAACTGCCAACTTTCTCAGCTATATGTATTTCCTTCAACAAATTCTTTCTGAAGCCAAATTCATTTGCTGTTCCTGAGTCTAACATCCAGCAATGCTCACAACAATAATAGATCAGATTCATTCCTTTGTGTTTAAAAAAATTCAATCTAAGGTAAAACATGAAACATCTTATTGGGAAATTGCATATGAATTTCTTTTTGGGTTTTCAAAATGTCATGACTTAGAGTCTTTCATGATTTGCTTATCATCTCAAAGTAAATGCTCTGCGAGCGTGGCTGTCACATACATCACTCTGAATCTGCATCATGTTTTTGGCCAATTCCAAGCTCATGGCATCAGGAAGCATGTTGTAGGTATGGATCACATTCCTGTAGTTGGCATTGGTGGCCACCTCCTGAGACTTCTTGGCAGCCACCACACTAAGCATGTCTACTGGGGTGTGGAAGGATGTCTTGGACTTCTCATATGCCTTCTTGTACTCCCGGTCCGACTGCATCTTGGCCACCTGCATGAAGTGCACCAACTTGGGGTCGTCCTCGAGGCTCCGGAAGCCAATCTGTTTGCCTTTGGCTTGTTCATAGGCTTGCTTGTACTTGTACTGTGGATGGAAAAGGCACATGGACATGAGACAGTGAAGAAAAGAGAACAAAATATAATTCACTAGATGCCATTAGCTTACTCACGGGTTTAGGGCTACTCTAGAAAAGGAAGATGTGCTGGGGATGGCAAACTACTTTACTTCAAAGCAAACTTTTTCAAATTTCTTGCCAGAATTGAGTCCATGAGGGAAAGAATCATCTCAGAGTTAATCAAAGAGAGGTGCAAATAAGTTGCTTTAAGGAGACTTAGAAAGAGGATTTTCCCACTCAGCCGTGTAACCAATGGAAAAGGCTGCAGGGCACCATTTCTCTACATTCAGGAAAGAGCCTGGTAACGAATCTTCTGGGTAAAATGTATAGCTCATATCCCGATGTTTGCTTAGAATTGCCCACTAACCATTATTTTGGGACTTCCCAAGTGGCACTAATGGCAAAGAATCTGCCTGCCAATGCAGGAGATGTAAGAGAAGCAGGTTCGATCTCTGGGTCAGGAAGATCCCCTGGAGGAGGGCATGGCAACCCACTCCAGTATTCTTGCCTGGAGAATCCCATGGACAGAGGAGCCTGGAGGGCCATAGTCCATGGGGTCTCAAAGAGTTGGACACAACTGAAGCACATAGCACAATTTTAACAAGACCCTGTTACCTTTTACATTAAATAATTTACACATGATTAGAGGGTCCTTGGGCTGGGTCAAAGGGACGTGTCTTGTGTATTACAAAGGATGGGGGTCCCACCAACACTGAACACAGCTGACTGTAGCTCCTACATACACACAAGCTTGGCTCATTTGCTTTTTTCCTTGATATTAAACAAAGCCCAGAGGAAGCACTTACATCACTGGCAATGTCTCTGGAGGCTCTTGCAGCCCTTATTGGGATGGCATCAGGCCTCAGATCATATCCTTTCTTCTTTTCTTCTTCCCAGCCAGCTTTGTACAGTTTCTAAATGACGAAGTAGAAAAATGCCAGCATCTTAGTCAGGTTAGAACGGGGATGCTGATTTTAAAGTGGCTGGCATGAGACAGATATCCCACAAATACTAGCTTCCTTCAGCCTCCCTGCCCCTCATTTTTGTTGCTGTTGTTCACCTACTTACATCACTCAGGGTGATCTGGTTTACTCTGGAGAGTAAAATGTCTGGAGTGTCAGGCATGACATGAATAGTGGTCTTGTCTTTGTTCCATTTCTCAGTGTAGAGCCTCTGCAACAAGAAAGGCCACACATGACTATACAGCAGGACGAATCTGCAGTGTGCTATCACAGTGTGAGGGAGAGACCCACAGTTCCAGGGCAGAAGAGGGTCAACTTGATATTGGAAAATGAAGCAAACAGCAAGAAGACGGGCTGATGAGACTGAGCACATGAGTTTAAAAAAACCATCAAACATGGGAGCCCTCTTTCTACTGAAACAAATGCATTCCTGCCCCAACCACACACTACAGGGGGTTTTGTGGGTCCATCACACATTCAGCATGGTGTTGATAGCCTGGGGTCAGTATAAGTTGGAGCCCCCTAGATACAACAAATCTAGATACCCTCCCACCACCATGGCCATGATCATCAGAAAGATGAAAACGCTGATGAAGGTCAAAGGGGCGATGCCCGGTTCAACGGCCCGAGCACTGCAGGAGTTCTGAGGCTGAGACCAGCGGGTGAGTTCTTACCTTGTCCATAATCAGCTTGTTACTTTTGTTTAGAGCTTGCTCCATTGTGTCCATGGCATAGGTGAACTTCAGCTTCTCGGGGTGCTGGCGGTACTTCTTCTCACTGAGAATCTCTCCTGCTTTCTTTGCCTTCTCTACCTCCAGTGACTCTAACGGCATCCAGCCAATCCCTTTCATCCAATTGGTGAAGTCAGATTTGTACAAGTTCTTTACAAGGAAAAAGGAAAAAGGAAATTTAATTGCAGAAAGAGTCAAGGCTTGGGTTTCTTTAGACAGATTATTTGTCCATTTTTTAAAAAAAGGATAGGGGGATGGTGAAAATAACCCATATTTTATTCCCTACCATCCTTCAGAAAAAGAAATTAATTCTAAAAGTGAATGTATTCATGGTGGTTTTGAACAAACAATCCTGACCCAATCCCTTTAAAAATTTAAATTTCTTAGGGGAAAGTTAACAAAATTTTACATTGGAAGGAATATTATATAGCATCCATTTGGACCTCTTAGTCTTTCACAGAATACATCATATACTGGGTCTGACATCTGAAGTTTTAAAAAATAATATAATAACCAAAGAAAACTATATATATATATATAGTTCAAATGAGTAAAATCCTAAAACCCCCAATTCTGGAGAAGATCCCCAATTACATTGAGTCCAACCAGGTTTAGGATGGAGTGAGCCACCAGTAGACATGGACAACTCATTCTATGCTGACAATCTGATGAATGCTACGTACATCACTCTGAATCTGCATCGCATTCCTGGAGTGCTCCACGTTCAAGGCGTCAGGCAGCAGGGTGTAGTGGTGGAAGGGTTGTTTATAATTCATGTTGGTGGCAACCTCCTGAGATTTTTTGGCTGCTGTCACGCTGAGCATATCCAAAGGTGTGAGATACTTGGTCTTGCTGGCTTCATAGCCCTTTTTGTACTCACGATCTGACTGCATTTTGGCTACATTCATGAAGTGAACCAGTTTAGGATCATCCTGAAGACTGCGAAATCCAATTTGTTTGCCTTTGGCTTTCTCGTAGGCCTCCTTATATTTGAACTATAAGGAAAAGAAGAGCAAATGGAAGTTTGATAGGGTAGACTGTAGGAAAGTGTTCAATTGAATTTATATCACAGGTTAAGCGATAGACAAACTGTCTGAATCTACATAACATCTAAGTTTTTAGTATTTTTAAATAACTACCAAAATATTTCCAATGGATGTTCTTGGGATCTGCTCTGGGTATAATTAAAAATGGAATAAGTTACAGCCTATATCTATATTAGTCATAAGTAGATTCTCTGAATATGCTCAAAGGTTCCTAAAAAGTTTATTAAGGATTTGGTGTACATAGTTTTTACTATGTTTCTTTGATTAATTTGTATTACCTTATTAAATATTTGCATAATCCTGAGTAAATTTCAGCAAAGACGTTATTAAAATTACTATACTAGACTTCAATGAATAAGTTTCCTAGGTGGCTCAGTGGTAAAGAATCTGCCTCCCAGTGCAGAAGACCCGGGTTCTGTCCCTGGATTGGGAAGATCCCCTCGAGAAGGAAATAGCAACCCACTCCAGTATTCTTGCCTCTGAAATCCCATGGACAGAAGAACCTGGTGGGCTACAGTCCATGGGATCGCTAAGAGTTGAACACAAGTTAACAACTGAGTACATATTTGCATAATCCTGAGTAAATTTCAGCAAAGACATTATAAAAACTAGCATACTAGACTCCAAGTGAATATGTTTATACTATGTCAAGGTATTATATCAATTCATATAGAAAATAAAAATTTGTAAAAAGCAAATTAAGTAAGTAAATAAGTAAGCATAAAACTTACAACAGAGAACTAAAATACTGTCATTTGATCTATAATTCTTCCTGGTTTTCCATAAGTCACCAGATTTTTTTCTTTATGGAAATTATAAACTATTGTATTCTTTTAAAATACTGGGAGACTTTTTTGACTTAGTGGTATTTCAGTATACCAAGGTTTTTTTCTTAACAAAATCCAAATAAAAAGTTGTTTTCACATTAATAATAATAATAATAATGAGAATTTAAAGTATTTCAGAGTTTAAAAAAGTCCTATCCTTGGTAACTGAATTGAGCTTTTAAATATTTTTAAGAGAAGATAAAAAAATTGGTACATAAGATATTAGGAAATATTTTTATATTACAACCTTTATTTGCTTTCTAATATAGCTCATATAACCTCATACACCATATAAAGATTTGTAAAATACAAAGAAAGCTTGCTACTTTCAAATTAGACTTACATCGCTAGCAATATTCCTTGAACTTTTTGCAGCAACGATGGGAATGGCATCTGGTCTCAAATCATAGCCCTTAGCAAGGGTTTTCTTCCAATCTGCTTTATAATGAGACTTGGAAAAAAGGAAATATTATTTTAATATTTGACATAATTAAAAGAAAAATTAAACAGGATGCCAAAATCTTCATGATATATCCCTTTCTATTAAAAAATTCAGAGTTAGGGCTCTTTTTCATCTTTTAGGGATCTACTAGATTCTTTTAAAAAAATAAATCAGTAAACTATATACACAGTATGATCTCAACTGCTGTAAAAATTGTATATGTTTGTATAAAAAAACCCAGTGGAAAGGTAATGCTTTGAATGTGGGATAACAATACTCATTTTTTATAATTTTTTATACTTTTCAATTTTTCTATAATAAGCATGTAATGCTTTTATTTTCTTGTATTTTTTGTATGAAGCATTTTAAACTTACACAAAGATGTGGATAGTAAAATTAAAAATTCAGACATAGTATTACCCTGCTTTAATTAACCTTAATGTTTAAATATTACTTATAAAAGTAGGAAAAAACTTTTAAATAAATCAAAAGCATAAAAATGAGTACTTAAAGATTGTTTGTTTGGTGACAAAAGAGAGTCTAAAATGTTAGGAAGAATGACTAAGTCATCCTTTAAGAAATGAACAATTTTATCCAGGTTTGACTATGTCTTTAAATTAGAATTTACCAATTTGATTTAAAAGCAAAATGAAATAATTCATAATAGTACATTTAAACATCACCACTAATTAAGTATCCAAGAGAGATGCTGCTGCTGCTGCTGCTAAGTCACTCCAGTCAAGTCACATACAAAAAAAGACTTTCTAAAGAAAATTGTGCTGAACATTTTTAGAAGTTTAGCAAATAGCCAAAAGTCAGAGATAGCAATACTTACAATTACTACAGATTGTGCACCCCTGATTTTCCAATGTTCATCCCAATTTCTTTCACTTTTTATTAATTTTTTTTCACTTTTTAAAAAATGGAACACAGACTACTAGATTAATTTAACAGCTAATGAATCATAGCCCACATTTGGGAAAAGTCTGCATTAAATGAAATGAATGCTACCTCCAGCCTCATATTCTCTGATAAGAATTCAATCTGGAGACTACTGATTTGCAAATTGGTCCCTGTACAAGGAGGGCAAGGAGAAACTTAAGGAACAGGCTAAACTCTCCAGCTTGGTAGGTAACAGGTTTAATAAACAAGGGAACTTAAACAGATGTTTGCAACTGCCCACCGGAGCCATACTAGTTTATTTAGGCCTCAACTAGATTCAGCCCAAGTGGTCTCAACAACACTTTGGTCTCTCAAGGCCGCGTCCTTAAAAATGGCTCCCACTGTGGGAACAGTGGGCAGAATGTACATTCCAAGAACAGGAGCAGGATAAGGAGCTTCCGATTGCCCGGGTCCAGCTCCAGGGTCACCCGACAGTCTCGTCCCCTCGATGATCTTCTCCAACAAAGACTCAAAGGGCCCACACTCAGTTGGCTCCCTCTAAAATTCCCAGAGCTGGAAAGGAAAGGCCCCTGTGTGCAATACTAAGACAGGCACGCGGCCAAATACTCACATCACTCATGTTGAAGGCATTGACCTTGGCTTGAATAAACTGGGGCACGTCAGGGTCCAGAGTGTACTTGTGCTTCACCTTCTCTCCCTCCACCTTGTAGTTCAGCTAAAAACAAAGGAGGCCGCACGCGAACTGTATTAGCTAACATAATGGAAGTTTCATCTAGCACACGTTCCTTTAAAAAGGAAGACTACCATTTGTGTTTTTCCATTCACAAGGCAATTAGCTACTCTATCATGCAGAGGAAGTGTTGATAGACATATTCATTCACTCATTCCACCAATATTTATTGTACAATGGTGTGGGACAATTGGCAGTGTGGTAGGTCCTTGTGTTTAAAGTGTTCAAGTTTATTTAATAAATAAATAAATAAATAAATAAAAGCTGACCTTGGAGTTTATAGTCCTGCATGGAAAACAGAATAAACACATAAACTGCAAGGTGGAGCTAGAATTTGTGGTGTAAAGAAAATAACTTTAGGAAAGAAGCAAAAGGGGACATCAAAGGCTCTCTAGAAAATAACTTTAGGAAAGAAGCAAAAGGGGACATCAAAGGCTCTCTAGAAAGGTAGCATGGATGCTCAAACATGAAGAAAGGGGAAGGGTCTGGGCAGAAAAGGAGCATTCAGAGTCCTGGGTCTGGAAGGGCACAGCCAGCTTGAGGGACTGAAGGTCACAGAGGGCTCTGAGGGGGTCCCAGAGGGATTAGACAGGAGGAGGGCAGGGCCACAGAGCTGAGGGCCTTTTCATTTCAGCCAAGTTAACAAGTCTAGATTTGGAGTTCGAGGAGAAGTTACTAACAGGCTCTAAGTATGAGAAGGACATGATTCATGTTTTAAGACGGTCTTTTGGGTTGTCATGTGTGACCTCAGGCAGGGAGTCCAGATAATGGATTCTTGTAGTTGTCCACGTGAGACAGATGGAGGCCAGAACTAGGGCTGGCGGCAGCTGAAAGACCGAAGTGCTCCAGCAGGACGGCTGGGAGAGTGGGGAGGTGACCCGGCAGATGCACTGGAGGCATGGGTTCACACGGCGAGGTGTCAGTGGCAACTGCCGGCTTTCCAGCCTGAGTAACTAGGGAGATGTTGATGGCATTTACTGGGACAGGGAGCTCATAAACTGAGTGTAGGGTTTTCCTAGCTAAGAGGAAAAACACAGTGAAAAGTGACACTTTGTCAGTGCAAGAGAAGTTGCAAGAATCTATACCATTTAGTGCCACTAAAATTGAATTAATCTTGAAACATCTGTGGTAATGTGGGACTGGTCTGAGAAAAAAAATCCACAGTTAACCCTCAAATCCAAGCCAAAGAATGCATTTCCCGTCTTCAAATACATCTGGGACCAAACACACATAATTTCTTCCCTCCTGTGTTTTCTGTTTACCACCCTCTTTCTGGTGGAGGTATCGTAACATGACTCTGAACTTATCAAATGGGATGAAACACAGCATTGTTATTAGCCTCTGAGGAAGAAAAAGGGTCCAGATAGACCTGAGCTTAGAAAGGAGACTCCTGATGGCTCTGAAAGTAAACCACTTCACGCCTCACTAGAGGCCTCTCTCAGAATATCAGGCTATGTTTGGGTTTTTTTTTTTTTTTTTGGCAAAAAGATCAAGACATTAGCCTTCTTTTCATTTGCCTAGGTAGAACTCTTGCAACTGAGAGCAATAAATATCGGGTTTGCAATTCAGACAAGGTCACAGATGATAATAGTGATAATTTCTTTCCACATGGATAATGTAAGGGTCTGCTTATGAATAACATAGGCTCTCCACATTTGGAAAATAAAGCAAACTTGGAACATCTTTCTTCTCTCCTCCCGGTTCTTCAAGTCCCAAGCTGCTTCAAAGGTAAAACCCTTTGAATATAGCTCTGAAAGCTATAGCTGATTTAGTAACACAGATGCACACTCACGGATTGAGTTAGGGACGGTGGAGTAGCTGGTCATGGGATTATTCACAGACAAAAACCATTTGAGGGGAAACCACTTACATCACTTAGCTGCTTTGTGTTGTGCTGAGCCAAAACCATGCCCATGGAATCAGGTACACTTGTGAACTTGATGGTATCTGGGTGCTGTCTGTACTTTTTCTCATTTAATGCATCGCCTGCTTTTTTGACCTTCTCAACCTCCAGAGAACCAATTGGGACCCACCCAATGCCCTTGAAGAAGTGGTTGTACTCATCTTTATATACATTCTGTAAGAGAGTAATATCAGATGAGAAGATATCCTAGAGCACACTCAAGGGATGTTCCAGAAATCTGCAATTTTATCCAGGGGGAAAAAAGAGCAGCCTGTCAGCATGCTTGTTTCTACAGTGGTGTTCTTGGCTGTCTGCCACAGAGCTTCTTACCCACAATTTGATCATAAGAAAGAGCAGTTCTGTCATTAGAGTGCATTATACATTCCAAGAGGGAATCTAGGACACATTTCCACAGGTACTTCTTAAAAAATGTGCCTCTTTTGACAATAAATTGGGCTTTCCCCTTGATTTCACCGAAAACTCCACTTTTGCATTTCACCCACACTGTCCACCTAGGCCCCTCTGTCTCAGTGTGAGAGAGACATTCTCACTGAGCAACAATAAATGAACACCATTTCTTCCTTTTACCAAGGACAATTTTTACAAAAACCTGGCTCCTGCAGCAGGAAATGCCCTGAATATTAAACACCTTCCTCATGTAGCTCTCCATGAATCACACTGCAATCACAAAACCTTCTTGGTTCACTATAGATGACTCGCTATATAGAGACACAGGCATGAGAGAGTGACTTTGAGTTAAAACAAACAAAAAAACCTTTCTGAATTCAGAAAGAATAGAGAATGCTCATATTTTGCATTGTACATATCACCACTTAAGCAGGCCCACCAGGAGCAACCATTCCCTCTTGTTGAGAACCAAGGTGGCTTATGTACTTAGTAGAATATGGAGCTATATTTGATCCATAAGTTAGTAAAGATGTCAATGATTGTGATGAGAGCACAAATAGCTAGTAAAACACAGCTTGCCTACCATGCCTTTCTTACTGTTTCAATGATGACTGTGTATTTTAAAGTGCACTTTTCAAATATCTTATTGTATTGCAAAGTCTAACTAAAATAGGAAGAAATGATCGCCCATTTATTATGAACATCTCTAGGTCTGCTGTATCATACATACTCACATCACTCTGAATTTGATTCACATTCTTGACATGCTCAAGACTCAGAGCATCAGGGAGGTATGTGTAATGATGTATCGGCTGCTTGTAGTTGACGTTGGTGGCAACATCCTGGGCCATCTTTGCAGCCGTAATGCTAACCATGTCCCCAGGGGTATGGTAGCTGGTCTTGGTGTTTTCATAGTTCTTCTTGTATTCACGGTCAGACTGTAACTTTGCCACATTCATGTAATGGACCAGCTTGGGATCATCCTGGAGGCTTCTAAAACCCACTTGCTTTCCCTTTGCCTTCTCGTAAGCTTCCTTGTATTTATACTGCAGAGAAAGAATTTGGTTAGCCAAGTCCTAAGCACTGGGAACATTGGGTGCAACAAGTATGTTCACACACAAAGAATATTATCACTTTCTGAAAGATTATGCAAGAAATGCATTCCATAACCTCCACCCAGCACCCTCCAACCTGAGAAAGTTTAGAGTGAAAGCATTTATTTCCAGCAGTGCTAGGTTATAAATGAGTGTCATGATAAATTCAGGACCAGTTTCTTTTGTTATGAATTCTATGATGATTTGCGTGTTAAACTTTATATAAAACCCACTGAGTTTTCATACTTAATATAAACATGACACATTCCAAAATGTAAGACCAATCTCTCCTGATTTTCCAAGGATATGAATTTTCCTAATCCAACATGTTAGTTCACATCACAGAATACTAGAAATACTTTTGTTTTATATTCTGATTGGCCCAGTGATATGTACACAACAGGTGCAGAAGAAATTCTGAAGAACTCTACATGAAAGATGTTTATACTCATATCTCTTTGGGGTGGAGGATAGAAAACATTACTATGTTGTCTCAGGTTAACTTCATATGGTTTTAAAAAACCCTCTTCTTTTTAAGTGGCATCAACTTGGGTGCTGCCTAGGCAGGTAAGTAGCTGTGTTTTCACCCAACCCCATTTCTCAGCAGCTACTCTCCTAGCTCACTGCTGAAGCAGTGCAGATGAATCGAGGAACTGAAGAATAAGGGAGGAAACCACTGAGCCCCTTCCCGTCAGTAAAAACTTAACTGCAAAAGCTCTGCTGTCCAAGGTCTCTCGTGGTTAAAACTGGCAATGGGGTATAGATTAAGTTATACTCTAGGTAATAGGTCAAAACCTCAATTTTTATGTACAAGAATTCAAATCTACCCAAACTCTGAAGATGTTCTGTTCCTGTTGTTTAGCACTGACTTATAAACAAGAGTTTGGCAGGCAAAAGGATTATCCAGTGACTTCTAGACATATTAGAAAAAGTTCTATGTAAGGGCTAAAAAGAGAAATGATAATGTCATATTTTAGACCTTTACTTTCTCCTTAAACTGGATTTCATAGTGATGGGCAAACCTTTGAGGAACACATTTTCAATACCAGCCCTAAATGAAAGGCTGTGGAATTCTTATACACTATCTTCTACATGGTCTGTACATGTGGCTTCTTTCTTTTCTTTTCTCAAACCAAAATTGTAGCCTTTTTGAAGTTTGGGGGAGAATAGATACATGTATATGTATGGCTGAGTCCTTTACTGTTCACCTCAAACTACCACAACATTGTCTGTTAATCGGCTATACCACAATACAAAATAAAAAGTTAAAAAAAAAACTGTAGCCACTGGAATAGGGCATGACAGTGAAATCTATGGGTGTGCATGCTTTTGGAAAATTTTGTTTTTCAGTGATGGGAAGAAGTGTATATTTTTTCTATTACAGATGAAATGGGTATCAATTCTACTATAGATGAAATAAATCAAAATTATATTCTAGAAAAGTGGGTTTTTCCCATTTGGTTTATAAAATCTATCCATTTTATCTAACATCTTCTCAACCTTCTTAATACAATTATAATGCAGACAGTCATCTGAATTTATTGTGTTAGTGTCAGTCAGGGTGTTCTCCTTGAAAATAAACGTGAGCTGTGAGGGAAATGTGTCAGGGAAGGTAATTTGGGTTATGAATCAGAGGAGAAAGCTGCTTTCAGATTTATGACAGCTGTACCAAGTAGGGTCAACCAAAAAGAATCACAAATTGTTGAAAAAGTGACAGGTTTTCAAAGCAGTATTTGTGGAGAATTTCAAGGTCATTAATTCAACATATTGTTTTCAATGTGGTATCACTTTAACAAGTACCCATTTGATTACTTTTTAAAAAGGCAATCCACCAATATTTCACCCGGAGGTGTTACTCACGTCACTGGCAATATTTCTCGACGCCTTGGCTGCAGTGATGGGTATAGCATCTCCCAGCACATTGGTGCCCTTGGCTATTAAATCATGCCAGTCCCGTTTATAACACACCTGGCAGGGAAAAGGAAAAAGAAGTTGGCATGCTGTGGGGTCATTAGCCACAGTGATTCCTCAACAGCTGGGATTGTTTTGTTCTTTCCCAGAGAGAAGCTAGAGGAATCTCCTATAGCACACACTGACTTTGAGAAGTCATGCTAATGGTAAATCAACTATATTTCAATTTTTAAAAAGTCACTTTAGCAAAATGTCATACTTTATACAGCTAAAATTATTAGACTCTGTACTAATTATTCACCCAAGTCTGGTTTAGGCACATACTGAAGAGGGATACTGAGAAACTGGCGTGGATCCAGAGGAGAGTGATCAAGGTTCTAGAAACCACAGTATGTGAGGACCAACTGGAGAAAATGAAATTGTTCCATCTTATGAAAGGAAGATCCAGGGAAGACCTGTAGTTAGCTTTAAAATTTTTAGGGTTGTTGGTTTAAAAAAAAAAGCATTTATCCTTATTTTTCTGGAGGATTAAAAACTTCCTTCATGTGCAAAACTAGGAAAATGAGAGGAATAGGGGTTGAGGTCTAAACAAAGAAAAAGGCTATCCCCAAACAGTTGTCCTAGTACATGCTAGCTCAGTAGTAAAGAATCCGCCCACAGTTCAGGAGACACTGGTTCAATCCCTGAGTGGGGAAGATTCCCTGGAGAAAGAAATGGAAACCCACTCCAGTATTCTGGCCTGGAAAATCCCATGGACAGAGGAGCCTGGTGGACTATAGTCCATGGGGTCGCAAGAGTTGGACACTACTTAGCGACTAAACCAGCACCACCACCACACTTGAAAAGGCCAACTCAAGAAGTTCAGAACAATCATTATGAGGTATGATCTAATGGGGTTTTAGAGAAAATTGACCTAAATTGTCAAGGCCTTGTCATACTCTAAAATTCTATTATTTTATTATCAGGTCTGCATTTCACACCCCATCAAAACCATACTTACATCACTTAAATTGTAAGCATTGCACTTGGCCTGAAGAAATTGAGGAAGATCAGGACTCATCGTATATTTATGTTTCACATCTTCTCCTTTAGCTTTGTATAAAATCTACAACACACAGTCACAAAAATAAAATGCATTATGGATGGTACAAAAAGTAAACTATATTAATCACATGCTTAAAGGAGTTTTTCTTGGCACAATCTCCCATTATTTCTATTGTTTAAAATGATCAAAGACATCATCCTATTTTAAGAAACAAGATCTTGATATCTTAAGGAAAACACAACAGCCTCTGTATTAGAGAGAAAAAAATCCTAAGAAAATTGAAATCTTTGCTTGCCAGAAATGAATAGAAAATGAGTTTAAATGTGACGAAAACCCATGAAGAAAACAATTCACTAAAGCCAGAAAAAAGTCATTTTTTGTTAGTAGAGTTAGTAGTTCTTACAGTCTTATGTTTTGGTTTTTATTCTTAGAAAAAGTTAGCTAGAATGAGTCAATTCTGCTAAAAAGACTTTCTATTATAATCATATCAGTAAGGCATATGATAATTGTCTCATAATGTAAAGGTGCTTACATGTAAATCTAGCATATACAAAAGGTTTACCACATCAAATTTGCCCTATTTTGTCATTTTAAAGATGTCTGAAAGACATCAAAATGTGTGGCACAGGAATCATACTGTGTCCTCCTCTTGATAATTTTAAAAAAAAATTGCTTAATTTCTAAAACTAAAACAGAATCAGAATCTCAAGCAGGTTTTTCATCTCTTATCATTTATTGTATATACCTCCACTTCTTTAGCATGGAATACCATATGGAAACCTGTGTACATGTATCAGAAGTAAAATCTGAAATGACTAATATCTAAATGAATCCCCAAATACAAAATAATTCCTTGCAGGAATCTAAGAGCTATCTTCACTTCTTCCTCACTGCCTTTAGAAACCATCTCTACTAATTCTGAGAATCTCATTAATTTCAACTTCTAAACATTTCCTTTCCCACAGTTATTGCTGAGTTAAGCTCTAATAAGGCTTCTGTTGAATTTCTATAGCAGCTTTCTAATTCATCTCCTTGCCTCCACAATCTTTCCCTTCTCCAATATAACCTCAGCATTTTTTGCCAACTACTTTTAAAACACAGATCTCATTATAGAACTCTGTGGATTAAACATCTTCAGAACTTCCTGTAACCTGCCCACTGAAGTCCAGACTATGAATTAGCATCAAGACCCTCAATAATTGGTTATAATCCTGCATTTTTCATCCTTCACTGTCCTTCCATTCACTAGTTCTTGACAGCCATGTTTTTCATTTTGCCAGAGAAGTGGCCTTTCTTATTTGCCAGAGAGGCTCTGGCAAGGAGTTGCCCTCTCCCCTTGTACCTACTTAGCACCTGCTTCTCCTGTAACATTTGTCTCTCCATATGGTGATGCTGTTTCTACCCATGCTTCTGTCTTATACTCTTGTTCTGTATTTGTTTTATCCTATATCCTACTCATCTTCCTCTTCCTTTATATCATCAGCACAGAATACAGTGGAAAGTATTCAAAAACATCCATTCATTAGTGAGTGTTTTTGATGTCCCTTTATTACTCTTCCATACACCAAAATTTCCTTTAGATCTATTGTTAGCCAGACCATATACATTGTTCATGGACAGGCAGGCAAACACTTTACTAATCTCCACCAAGACATAAGTAAAGTCTCTCTAATAATTGTGTATGATGAATTCTGAGGTGCAAAATCAACTACTCGTGTATTATTTCACTGTATTAATATTTTACATATGAAAAGCAAATATAGAAATATTTATATAGAATGGACTATGATGAATTTGCCACAATAAGATGTGGGGATTTAAGAACAGAATGTTTAGTACTATGTCAAATTTATTCAATAACAGAATTTTGAGGCAGTTAAAAATGGAAGATATTTTAAAAAGAAAGGTAAAAAGTAAAATAGAAAATGTTAGTATCCAAAGTAAAAATAATTATAATTTTTAAATACAATAATAATTCTAAAAGGAACAGAATAAAATTTTAAAATGGCAAGCTGATTTTTTTAAAGCCTCCCTCCATTCTCCTGCATGCTCAGTTTTATTGTACTCACATCACTGACTTGCTGTGTGTTCTGTTTTGCCTGGACCATAACTGGGGAGTCCACAATGCTGGTAAATTTGAGGGTATCTGGATGTTGCCTGTACTTCTTTTCATTCAGGGCATCACCTGCTTTTTTAACTTTTTCTACCTCCAGACTGCCAATGGGTATCCAGCCTATGCCTTTCATCCAGTTGTTGTAGTCTTCCTTATAGACATTCTACAGTGAAAGGGGAAGACAGGAGTGAGTGCCTCAGGCAGTGGGTTCTCTCACAAGGCTCCCACCTTACAGGGAGACTGTCTTGTGGAGTCAACATCACTTACATTGCTCTGTATGTGCATCATGTTTTTAGACAACTCCAGGTCCATGGCATCAGGCAGGTAGGTGTAGTGATGGAGTGAATGCTTATAGCCGACATTGCTGGCAACATCTTGGGCTTTCTTGGCTGCCACAATGTTGACCATGTCATGGGGCGTGTTGTGTCTGGTCTTTGTCTTCTCATAGTCTTTTTTATACTCCCGGTCTGACTGTATTTTGGCCACGTTCATATAATGAACCAGTTTAGGGTCATCTTGGAGACTTCGGAAGCCAACCATTTTCCCTTTGGCCTTTTCATAATCTTTTTTGTACTGGAACTATTGGGAAAAAAGGTGGGTATATTTTTTAAGTTAGGAAGATTTTACTGAACATTGAGCCCATGATTTTGAAGCAACTGAGCTCCCCAGAAATTATTTTCATAACCAAGCAATTTGATATTGGCCTGTATATATTTGAAATGTAGCCTGGTAAAATTTAAATGCTAGAGAGTCTGTTTGGTTGCCTGTAGTTGCTTCTGCCACCCAAGAGAGGTTGGGGTGGGGATGTTACCATAATTCACATCAGTGACAAAGTAAAACAAGTTCTTTCCACTTCGACAGTGATAGAGACAAATGAAAATTTCAATATTTGGACTCCTCTGGTGGTTTATACTGTCTGAACCACCAGGGAAGCCCAAATATTTCACAATCTCCACCAACTGTACTATGCTTCTAAAACCAAATACCTGGCTCTTTTAGGAGCAGTAGTAGACGAAGAATTTTACTAGTAATAGTACAATTTTAATGAGTCTTTGGATATTCAAAAGGAGACCCAGAACAAGTAGTGTGTAACACTAACTGGCTCTGAATAATAAAGTGGAGAGAACTGAGCTTCCTTAAGGAGACCTGGGAAGAAGGCCAGGAAGCTGAGCAGCAGAGACATGAGGGAAGGTTTGTGTGAAGGTTGGGATGGGGTGGCTGGAAAGGAACACCACAGAGAAAGGGGGTCAGTGAGAAATCCTGGAGCAGGGCTTTGAGGACATGGGCTTCGATTATTCAATCTTAGTGTATTTACATTGGGGCAGTGTTAACTTCATGTCAAACAGTCAGTCAAGTTGTACTCGGGATTCGGAAGGATCCTAAGCAGCAGCAGCAGCTGTGTTTCATTTCTGGATTATGCAGAGGACAAAGAATAAATCCAGGGAAGGAGAGCCCAGCTGAGCCAGAGCAAAACCATCCTGTGCAAATCAGGAGTCTGAGGTGGTCAGAAAAGGTAAAGCCTCAGGCAAAGAAGCAGTGGTGGGGAGGGCATCCCACCTCCGGCAGGACAGCAGGAAAGGCCTTGAGGCCATTTTATTTAAATCTCACAGAGAAGTGACTTCAGTTCCCGTCTGGATTGAAGTAAGATAGGAACAGAAAAACAAGTCTTAACTTTAATGAAACCTAATGACTGATTATCCTTCCTTATGTCTCAGCTGGTAAAGAATCCGCCTACAATGTGGGAGACCTGGGTTCCATCCCTGGGTTGGGAAGATCCCCTGGAGAAGGGAAAGGCTACCCACTCCAGTTTTTCTAGCCTGGAGAATTCCATGGACTGTATAGTCCATGGAGTCACAAATAGTCGGACACGACTGAGCAACTTTCACTTTCAATGACTGATTATTAGGGGCTCTGACACTGGAAGTCCATTCATCAGTCTGTAGAAGCAAAGAAGTAAAAAGAGATGTACGGGAAAGAGAGAATTCATAGAAATTAAGCAAGTTTTGAGATAAAAGTTTACCATCAGGAGGTTATGATGATGTAAACAGCAAGTAACTTCTTTATATCTATCAGAGGAATGACATGAATTTGTGCAGAATTATAGAAGAGAATTTAAAATTAGGGGGCTTGATTAGAACAGATCAGTCAAGGTTATATGAATCCTTACCCCCAAGAAAATTCAGATCTGTTTAGAGAACTTTCCTTCCCGAATAGTTTCAGCCTGGCGTGCTCCAAGTCAGGGACAGCAGACGTGGTGACTTGGGTAACAAGCCCACCAGCCCACATTTTCTGCTTACACACAGGAGACCACCAGCTGGACTTACGTCACTTGCTGCCTGGCTGGCTGCTTTGGCAGCTTTGATGGGAATTGCATCAATTCTCAGGTTGTATCCCTTCTTGCTCAAATCTTTCAAGTCTGCTTTGTACATATTCTGTAAGAAAAATATCATTTGAAGATAACTCAGACCACATGCGGAAAAGGCTTAACCCCCTGTGAGCAGCTGAACCCACATGCACACCTCACTGATATTGTAGGCATTGACTTTAGCCTGAATGAACTGGGGCAGGTCTGCTGGCAGATTGTACTTGTGAATAACTTCCTCTCCTTTAGCTTTGTAGGCAACCTGAAAGGGAATAAAAAGCATAAACAAACAAAAAAAAAAGTACAGAAATTGTTTAATGGCACAGGAAAATTTCTGAGCAGATCACACTGCATAGAGGAGTTTTTATGAAACACACAGAGCCATCCCCATATTCCCTTGAAAATATCTGTAGGCATTAAGGTCTCCTATGCCATTGCACAGGGTCTGATTTTAGTGCCAGTTTAGCCTTGGCAAAAGTCCCTTGGTATGAGCTAAGAACCTCCAGATTGAGGTGGGATACCTACTAAGGAGCCCAGGGAGGTGACCCAATGACAAAGTTAACCTCCAGACACTTTTTTGAGGATAGGAAAAGGTAATAGGGTAGGATTCACCAACTTCCTATATTATACCTTGTGGGCAGTGAGTGACTAATGGAACCTAAGGGTAGTTTTTACTAAGCATGACTTTTGTCTTAGCTCTGACTTAAAATAGTAACTCCTCCATATGATGTAGTATCTATGTTCACTTTCCTAATCTTTCCTAGATACAGGTTTGTGTTTCCGGTTATCAAAGAAGTCCCTCTTACCTTGTCCTTGGAAAGCAACATATAATTGTGCTAAAAAAAAAAATTGTCAGCACAAAATACATAAGCTTCTAAAGATAAAATAGGGTATGATTTTATTAATGAAAAGTTGAGGGATTATATTGTTGCTCACATACTCGAGTCTCTTTAGACTGTGTGATAAGTACAGGTGATCATTACATTTGGAATACACATATATTTGTATTAGTTAACATTTAAATACAGAGAGAATTAGCACTTACATCACTCCTCTGGGCCTGGTTAATCTTAGATTGTACTATAATTGGAGCATCTTCAATTGAAGTAAACTTGAGAGTATCTGGATGTTGGCGATATTTTTTCTGTTTGATGAATTAAAAAGAGAAAAAGAATATTACTTTCACCAAAGGCTAATATGTATCAAAATCTTACAAATTCATTTTGGAGGGACAAGAACTTTTCCTGATTTTTAAAATGTAAAAATACTAGATTCTTTGCTGGCTTGGGTGGGCGCAGGGGGAATGAATACAATACAAAATCCAGCATTTAGAGAAATCGTTTTAACTTTCAATTGTTTGGGGACAGTACAGACCAATACAACTTTCAGGAACCTACTTCACTCTCTTAATTTATTGCTCATGATATGAAAGAAGGCACTGTCAGCTCAGTAGAATCCTGAAACCTCACAGATCTTTCTAAAGGATTCACAGAAAAGAGGCAAGGACAAGTGGTGTAGCTTTACATGACACTCAGAAGCTCTCAGGGGTGCCATTTTCCCTGTCACTCCATCAGCAGCTGAAGTTGTCCAGTTGAGGAACTAGGGCAACAGCTCTGGATTATGAACAAAGAAGGGAGGACTTTTCACTTTGCAAGCCTTAATGTGGATAATCCATAGATTATCACCAAAGTGCTGAGGAGACACAGGAGAGGGGACAGTGGGAAGGTGTCTCAATTGGGAGCTATCAACATCTAGCTATCCTCATTCCTATATTCTTTTGCTAGTTCTCTTCCTATGTGCAAATGATATATAATCCCTCTCTTGTGTATATAGAGGCATCCCCTCTTTCAACTTGAGACTTCTGAAAACCACCAACCCAGAAGAGCTCTATCTGAATGATCTCTCTTGAGTATATAAAGGAGTTTCTATCCAAAATGAACAAACAGCAGTACAAAACAAGAACAAAAACTCGGGCGTGGAAGACAGGCCTCACTTAGCACCTCTGATCCTACTTTGTGTGGTCTGCCTTCCTGGATGACGGACTCACCTGACAGCAGCGGTAATGTTCAGCTGTTGTCAGAGAAGGGACTGTTTAAGAACCCCAGGATCACCACTGTTTCTTTTCAGGCTGAATAACAATATATACAACCACTTCAAAGTCATCAAGAAGATGATAGCACAGGGAGCAATAATACTTCAAAGAAAAGTATTTCTATAATTGTCATTATATGCATAATTTACAATCACCATATTTTGGGGGAAAAAAATCCATATGCCCAGTTGGACAACCAAAATGTAATAGAGCCATACAAAGGAATACTGTTAATAAAAACAAACGTATTTTGGACACATGTAGAAATATGGATGAACCTCAAAAACATTATGCTAAGTGAAAGAATCCTGATTCAAAAGATATTTCTGGAAAAGACAAAATTATAGAGATGGAAAGAAGATCTGTAATTGTCTGGGTGTAATTGAAAATGGGTGTGGGGATTTTGGGGGAAAAAATTTAGCATCTTAAAATTCAATTGTGGGTCTGACACCACTGAATATATGCCAGCAGCCAACTCCCTCCTAACTATTTTGAAGGCAAAGTATGTGAGTAGCCTCCATAATTTCAAATATTCTTTTTCCTGCTGGCAAAACCATTCCTAACTAGAAGGGGAATCTCACGAAACCCAAGGCCAAAATTGAAGCAAACTTGAACTAATCTCTTGATACATCCAATGACCTAACCAAACTTCCAGTCCAGCCTCCCTTGACCATGATGATTTCACTCCTGTTTTATGTATTTCTAAGTATATTACTCATTTAACTAGTTTGCTTCTGGAAAATAAAGACGCGTTTACCATTCAAAAAAGAATCTGGTTGTGGGGATGGCTATACAACTATATGGATTTAATAAAACTTGTCAAGGTGTACACTTAAAATATGTGAATTCTATGGCATGCAAACTATACCTCGATAAGGTTGTTGAAGATATTTCTGCCATAAATGGTTAACATAAATGACTTTGGTGATGTGAAGGGGTACAATTATCTACTGAGATAATGCATACATGTGATAATTTGGTTTCTTCCTGTAGCAACACCACCAGAAAATGCGAGGTAAAGGAGGCCCTTCCCATGGTTTGGGGGGTTTAGCATGACACATTCACAGCTCTTGACACAGAGAGGTGATGGATGTACCTCATTCAGAATGTCTGAGGCTCGCTTTGCCTTTTCCATCTCTAAGGACCCAAATGGCACCCAGCCACAACCCTTCATCCAGCTGTTGTAGTCAGCTTTGTATTCGACCTAGAACACCGAGAGAAAGGTTACACTTCTTTATTCAGAGCCATCCTTATTTGTAAAATCATTAATATTTTCCCCCCCAAAAAATGATTTCTGACCAGGTTCCTTACTCCATGCATTGAAGTTATTTTAAACATTTCCTTGGGGAGAGATTTTAAGTCTTTAGGTTTTCACTGTTCTTTCTAGTTGGCATATATTCTCCTTCATCCTCATTTCCCAAGTATGTGGAATTATAATTTCAATCTGGAAAATGCTAAATTAAAAACTGTATTTCAAAGAACAAATGAAATTGCTATATTTTGATCATCAGATCTGTTTGCTCACTAGAACACTAGTATTGTGTTTCTATGTCACTGAAGGCCATACTGAAGATGGATAATTTTGCTCATTTGCTGATAAGACTTGATAGTAATTATTTGTACTAAGTGTCTACACACATTGCCTTCATGTGTCAGCTTAAGAGTGTTTCTCCATTAGCTAACAATGCATTTTAAAATAGTTGTATTCAATAATTTGCTTATGGAGAGCAGTTATCATTTGGAATTGAACCTATCTGGGGGACAGTTACTTGATGCTATTAAAATAATAACCTACTCTTAACCAACTCTTGTTGTCTGGCTATAGATGATACCTAAAACATATGCTCTAGATACAAAATTTAGATCAGTGGGGGCCTTTCAAATGGAATGAAAAATCAAGAAACCATTGGTTCCTGCCTTTGAGAAAACTGATCTATTTGGGAGGAAGAAACATAACAAAATGAAACAAAAGGATAATAATGCATAACAATTTTTAGTCATGAGAATGTAAAATTGTACAGCTGCTATAGAAAATAGTATAGAATTAAAAATAGAACTATTTTATCATCCAGAAATTCTACTTCTGTGTATATACTCAAAAGGATTGAAAGCAGGGTCTTAAAGATATTCACGCATCCGTGTTCATTGTAGCATTATTTGCAATAGCCAAAAGGTAGAAACCACCAAAATGTTCACTGACAGATGAATGGATAAACCAAATACCACATATACATGCAAAACAGAACACTATTCAGCCTCAAAAAGGAAGGAAATTCTGACACACACACTATGAATGAAACTTGAGGACATCATGCTAAGGGAAATAAGCCAATCAGAAAAAGGCAAGCACTGCATAATTCCATTGATATGAGATCTTTAGAGTATTCCAGCCTCAAAGAAAGTAGAAGGGTGGTTGACAGGGACTGAGGGGAAGAGGAAATGGAGAATTATTTAATGCATATAAGATTTAATTCTTGTAAGATGAAAAAGTTCTGAGATTGATTTTACAACAGCGTAATTAACTGCTGTTGAACTGTACACTTAAAAATGTTAAATATGGCCAACACTATGTTATGCATATTTTACCATTAAAAAAAATAGAATTGTTAGGACAAGGTATTCAATTGTATAGTTCAGACAAATCGATTTGCCTAAAGTTTTGATCTGCAGGAAAAAACCCAGCTATTATAAAAAGTAATATGATAAATCATACACTTTATTCTCAGACAAGATAGCAAACTATATAAAAAATTACTGACTGATGAATGTGATAATTATGCTAATGGTGATGCTAATACTAGCAAATGTTTATTGAGAATTCACCAGGGCCTGGCACCATGCTAAGAGTATTTTGAATGCATTTAAATAATCAAAACCAATTCTTTTGTATTATTCCAATTTTATAAGGAGGACTCTAAACTCAGCAAGGTTGATAAGTTTACCGAAAGCAATGTGGTGGGGTGCCTGCCAGCCCCAGGCCTTTCTAACCCTGAAAAGTGTGCTCTCATAGAATCCCCAGGATCATTTTTCCATCACATATTTGCTACATACAGAAGACAGTGCAGACACTTATGCGAATTGCCAAAAACATCAGTAAGCTTAGAAACCCTTCTCAGTTTCTACCTTAAATAGCAGGAATAGAGGAAATCTGGTTACTCACATCGCTCTGCAGTGCATAAGCCTTCTTGGCAAGGTCCACATTAACGCTGTCAGGCGGGTAGCTGTAATTGTGTAAGAGGTGCTTATAGTCCACATCACTGGCAATTGCCTGAGATTTCTTAGCATGAGTGATTGGGAGCATGTCAAGAGGTGCCGTGTAGATAGTTTTTGACTTTTCATAGTCTTTACGATATTGACGCTGTGAATAAGAAATTACCAATTATTAATACAAATCTTCAACGGATTTGCAGAAAAGCAGAGATCACTATTAAGCAATAAATACAAGTTAGAGATATAGACCCAAACATCTAGTGAGTGATTTTTTCTTAAAATTTGATATGTTTCACTTTATTGAACACCTCTCCCCCCAAATCATACATGGACAGATCTTCTCAAATCTTTTTTTTTTTTAGATCAAAGAGGAACTGTCAGACATTATGAATAGGCCACAGTTTCTGCTTCAGCCAGCTATATTTTATTTTAAAATAGGGTTTTTCAAGGACCACTAGTAAGCATTATTTCTACCAAGTTAATAACTGTTGAAGAGTTTTCCACTAAAGAAGTATTTCTTAAATTGTCAAAAATTATATGACAATCACTTCATACTTCTGATTGTGTAAAATTGCTACTTTGTAAATAGAGCTGTACACTTTGACTTCTTGACTTTTCTAAAGTCATCTTTATTTTTTTTTCATTTTTTATTTATTTATTTTTTTCCATTTATTTTTATTAGTTGGAGGCTAATTACTTTACAACATTGCAGTGGTTTTTGTCATACATTGAAATGAATTAGCCATGGATTTACATGTATCCCCATCCTGGTCCCCCTTCCCACCTCCCTCTCCACCCGATCTTTAAATGAATAGTTACTGATTTTTCAACCTGAATATTCTAATTTGGACAATAAATAAGCTCCACTGAGAACCCCAAAGGTTTTTGTTCATACTAAGTTTAATTTTGGCTACAATTTAAAAGAAGCTTCAGATTTCAGCAGCTACAAGACCTCAAAGGAGAAAAATTCATGAAACTGAGGCATGAAAGTAACCTTGGTCTTTACGTACAGTGTTCTCATAAACCAGATGTCCTGACTGGGCCTCAGAAGGAACTTTCATTGGCTGGTTTTCTGGAATGGCTGGAGAGGGTGCTAATTAGGTCAAAGCCCAGCTTCATCATGTTTGCTCAGCAATTACCTTAACAGAAAAATTCTGGCCCAGTACCCTTAGGAACATTCTAAACCCATTATATCTCCCTATACTCACATAAGCGCTAAGACAGTGATCCAAGCTAGCAAGTATGGATGTGCATTATAAAGTTCCTGTAGGAATTTCTTCTGCAAATAATCTGATCTTTTAGCTTTACTAGGGAATGTAATCTTCCTTTTAATCTTTCATGGATAGTCAGTTTCATAGAATAAATATATCTCTTTAATTGTAAAATCTAGGCCCTGGTTTATGATGATAAAATATGGCCACTTTCTGATGGCATGCAAGAACACTGAAAAAAATACAGTTTGTCTCTATTAGAAATAAACAAACAAAGCAATGATGTAATAGCAGTTGGTGTGTGGAACTGCTTTTGATTAAACTGTTTTGGTCATGTAGCTTACATGATCTTAGATCCCTGACCAGGGATCAAACTCATGCCCCGGCAGGGAAAGCACAGGGTACTAACCACTAGATCACCAGGGAATTCCCTCAACTATGTTGTTCTAACTCTCTTGTTCAAATTCAAATCAGCTCACACCTGTCTGTACATATAAAATGTTGTCAAAGACCCAAATGGCTATATTTTTAAATTGAAGTATAGTTGATTTACAATATTAGTTTCAGGTGGACAGCATAGTAAGTCAGTAGTTTTATAGATTACACTCCATTAAAAGTTACAAGATAATGGCTATAACTGTGATAATTCTGTGCTCTAGAATATATCCTAATTGTGTATCTACTTTATACATAAGCAGTTTGTATCTCTTAATCCCCTCTATCTTGCCCCTCTCTCCCTCCTCCCACGGGTAACTACACGTTTGTTTTGTTATATACATTCATTTTATTTTCTAGATTCCACTCTCAGGTGATATTATACAACATTTGTCTTTATCTGACTTATTTTACAAGCATAATGTTCTCTAGGTACAACCATACTGCAAATGGCAGAATTTCATTCTTATTTATGACTGAGTGATACTCAACAGTATACATATGCCACATATGTTTATCCGTTCATTTGTTGGACACTTAGGTTGCTTTCATATTTAGCTATTGTAAATATGACTGCTAGGAATACTGGGATGAGTGTATCTTTCTGCACTAGAGTCTTCCTCTTTCCTAGGTGTATGCCCAGGAGTGGGACTGCTAGATCATATGGTAGCTCCAGTTTTAGTTTTTTAAGGAACCTCCATACTGTTTTCCATAATGGCTGCACCAATTTACATTCCCACCAACAGTGTAGGAGAGTTCTCTTTTCTCTATATCCTTGCCAATACTTGTTATTTTTAGACTTTTTGATGATAGGCATTCTAATAGGTGTGAGGTGATATCTCATTGTTGTTTTAATTTGCATTTCTCTAATAATTAGCTGTTGTTGAACACTTTTTAAATTTTAAATTTACTTTTTAATTGAAGGATAATTACTTTACAGAAGTGTGATGGTTTCTGCCAAAAATCAACCATGTTGAACATCTTTTCATGTGCCTGTTAGCCATCTACATGCCTTCTTTGGAAAAATGTCTATTCAAATTTTCTGCCCATTTTTTTTGGATTGTTGCCTTGATACTGAGCTGTATGAGCTGTTTATATATTTTGGATGCTAACCCCTTGTGAGTTATATCATTTGCAAATATTTTCTATTTCATAGGTTGTCTCTTCATTTTGCTATGCAAAAGCTTTTAAGTTTAATTTTGTCCCATTTTTTATTTTGTTTTTATTTCTTTTGCCTTATAAGACAGATCCCCAAAAAATATTACTACAATTTATGTCAAAGAGTGTCCTACCTAGGTTCTCTTCTAGGAGTTTCATGATTTCAGGTCTTTAATGCATTTTGAGTTTATTTTTGTATATGGAGGGAATGCTCTAAATCTCACCCTTTCACATGGTTAAAATGAAAGCAAAAGATATAAACACCTTTCTCTTTCATCATGAAAAACTAATATTTCATGCTATGTTGAACATTCTTAACCACTCTTAAGGGATTCTCTAAGCATTTTAAAATATAGTATATATTATAATTTGTGATAATGTATGTTTGCCTCTCTATGCTAAAAATTTTAACTGGAAGATGATAGATGGCCTAAAGGCAATATTTACGGAATCTATGAATTCTCTGAAAGGTAAAGGTGCGAAAAAATCTCCACTTTTCTAAAGAGACGGTCCAAATCTTTTATCAGATTCTCAAATGTAACTGTAACTAATGGTATATTTTTCTTAGATCTAGGCCAATACTAATTACTAAAGTCAATAAAGAGCAAAGTTTGCTATACTAAGATTTTTATCTCTGACTCATGATTTTTCTTTCAAAATAAGGTCACTTTTTAAAACTTAATAATTTTAAAAGTTACTTTTCAATTAGAAAATATGAAAATAACTTAATGTTTTCCAAATGATGCTAAAAATTATACTCAATATTCTACTAAGTATGAGCACATAGGTCTTTCAAAGTGAAATGGTAATCAAGTACAAATAATTTCTCTCCTCAAACGAGAGAGGTAAAAAAACTTGGGGAATCATTCTCCTTTTAAAGTTCTGCTCAGCAGTTTGTTATGAACCTGATGCAATCCTTTTACATCACTATCCTTGGCCATATTAACTGGAACACAATACTAAAAATAAGACGGATTGAGAAAAGCACTCACATCACTCTGGTTTTTGGCCGTCTTCAAAGAGTGCAGCATCTTGGGGTCGTCATTAATACTGAGAGCTCCAATCATCTTTCCCTTGCTTTTCTCATAGTCTTTCTTGTACATCACCTGTAAGGACATCACACGAGTCAGATCCCACTCACCAGGAAGCATTGCTGAGGCCCCCCCGCCCAGGTGCCCAGGCCATACTTACATCACTAGCAATCTTGGTGTTGGCTTTGGCTGCCAGCAGGGGAATGGCGTCCACCTTAATGTCAAACTTCTTAGCCTTGGTCTTCTCCCAGTCATGCTTATAAATATTCTGGACAGAAAAATTTCAGCACAGGAATTTTAAGAACAATATCTAACACAGATTAACTCAGTAAAAATTTTAAAACAGATTAAAACTTTGTATATAGAGACTTATTTTACCTATTTAATGCTGTATTTACCAAATGATAGTATAGCTTATTATCTATCATCTGGCTTCTTTCCTCCACCACAAGTATAATATACTCTTTCCACTGCTCTGTAAACTTTCTAAAGACTCTGCTATGTTGATACATAAAGGATAATATAACATGACAACCAACTGGAGAAGGGGAAATGTGACATTTCCTTATGAGAATATGAGAGATCTTGTGAAACTCTAGGGATTGGTGGGGAGGAAGGCTGCGGGTGATTGAAAGAATGTTTCTGATAGTAACAGAGACTATGGAAAAAATGAAATCTAAAGGCTAACAGAGTCTTAAGGGCATTTAAGTTCAAAAGCTCCACTTAGCACTCTGGCAAGCATCTCAACAGTTGTTTATTTGCATAATTCCTAATCTGGTCTTTTTAAGCATTCATAATATTTCCTCTTCATGCATACACCAACATGCATGGTACTCACATCACTCAGGTTATAGGCGTTGACTCTGTGTTGTATAAACTGTGGAGCATCTGCTGGTATGTGGCACTTGAACTTCTCACCTTCATGCTTTGCCTTGTAATTCAGCTGAAAAGCAATTAGAGAATAGCCAAACAGATCAGGGTAGGAGCTTCCTTGAGTTTATAAAGGAGAATATATATAGCTAAGTCATTACTATCCTTTTTAGAAAAATGACTCAAAGAAATAGTCTATCTAGTCAAAATCCAACTTTGGATCCAGACTCTCACTTCCTCTTTCACGGACGCTGGTATAAAACAACTCTGGGTTATCATTTTGTAAATGCCATCACAATGTATATATGGAAATCTCATTGACCTCTGAGGTGTGCCTTGAGAACATGAACACTCAAAATCTATGCAATTGGAGCACTGACAAAAATAGTAATTCTAAATAGAATGCTAGAACAGTTTAAAAGATACATAAATTCTTACCAGAAGTACAAGATATGGGACTTTATTTGAAATTTTTAAAAGGTGACATTAGGTGGAAGGAAGAGAGTGTAAAGAAGGAATGAAGCTGTTGAATTGGAGTTAAAGGCAAATGCACTAAGAAGAACCATGCATTTCAGATCCTTCAAGACAGAACTCCTGACCTCATCAGGACAACGAGAAGAGAGGGTGGTTCCTGGGCGCCATGCCACTTGCCGAGCTCAGTTGCAGCATTGATGTTATTAGTATTTGAAAGTAGTGAAAGTCACTCAGTTGTGTCCAATTCTTTGCGACCCCATGGACTATATACAGTTCATGGAATTCTCCTGGCCAGAATACTGGAGTGGGTAGCCGTTCCCTTCTTCAGGGCATCTTCCCAACCCAGAGACTGAACCCAGGTCTCCCGCATTGCAGGCAGATTCTTTACCAACTGAGGCACCAGGGCAGCCCAAGAATATTGGAGTGGGGAGCCTGTCCCTTCTCCAGGGGATCTTCCCGGCCCAGGAATGGAACTGGGGTCTCTGCACTGTAGGCAGATTCTTTACCAGCTGAGCTACCAGGGAAGCCCAAGAATACTGGTGGGGGTAGCCTATCCCTTCTTCAGGGGATCTTCCCAGCCCAGGAATGCAACTGGGGTCTCCTGCACTGTAGGCAGATTCTTTACCAGCTGAGCTACCAGGGAAGCCCAGTGTTAACTAGTTGTCCTTTACTGGGGCACAAAATATTAATATGCTGGGAAAAGTTGCACATGAACCAATATGTCTTTTGGACTACATTGACACCATTCCTTTCTTTTTAAAATGTTGTTGGTATTTAATTGCCCCTTACAGTGTTATGGAGAAAACCATAATTCCAAAATATATGTGCAACCCAAAGTTCATCGAAGTACTATTTACAACAGCGAGGACATGGAAGCAACCTAAAGGTCCATCAACAGAGGAATGGATAAAGAAGATGTGGTACATATGTATAATGGAATATTACTCAGCCATAAAAAGGAACAAAATTGTGCCATTTTCAGAGACATGGTAGGACCTAGAGATTGTCATAAAGAGTGAAGCAAGTCAGAAAAACAGATTAATCATATATTAATATGATTAATTAATAAAGCAATATTTTCATTAATATATTAATATGTTAATATATTGATGTATTATTGTGATTAATATATAAATCATATATTAATATATAATTAATAGATATAAATCATATTAATGCATGTGTGTATAATGTAGAAAAATGGTAGACATTCCTTTCTTTACCAACTGCACATGAGGTAATTCATGTTACTAAAAACCATGTTTAAGTAGGGCAAATGGAACATTACATCTTCCTGTCTTGAGGAGCACATGCTACTCCCCAGGATTTAGCTGTGTTCACACCTGGCTACTCAGGGCTTCCCTGGTGGCTCAGTTGGTAAAGAATTTGCCTGTAAGGCAGGAGACCTGGGTTTGATCCCTGGGTCGGGAAAATCCCCTGGAGAAGGGAATGGCTACCCACTCTAGTATTCCTACCTGGAGAATTTCATGGACAGAGAAGGTTGGTGGGCTACAGTCCATGGGGTTGCCCAAGAGTCGGACATGACTGAGCAATGAACACATACCTAGCTACTCAAAGTGGGGACTCTCTCCAGGCCTACCAAATCAGAATCTCCATTTATCACCCACATACACGTCAGTATTTGAGAAGCACTGTGCATGGCTGGGTCATTATACTTGAGACCTCCCCTGACTATCTAATCCAAAGTGCACCCCCGTCACTTTCTCACACATCATCTGATTTGAATTCTATATTATCATCATTCTATGTTAGTTTTGTATTATTGTCTGGCATCTTTCTTGTTTCCATGCTTTTTCTTTCTGTAAAGCCTTTGTTGGCAAACTCAGGAATGGGAAAAACTTGCCTTGTTACCTAATCAAGTAGCTATTTTTGTTGTTGTCATTTAAGTTGCCTTGAAATTTTAGCATGCATTATTTTTGGAATGTGAGAGATCCTAATGAGCAAATTCCCACTAAAAATCGAGGAGTTATTGCAGAATTATTAGTCATTCTTACTATTGTCTGACACCATTCTTCCTGAGGTTACAATTCAGTCTAGCAGCTTCATTTGCATTTTACCTTGAAAAGTGGCATTATTGGAATAATAGACGAGCCCATAAAGGTGAAATATGCAGATGCTGACGTCTAATAAGCAAAGCATTCTGGGTCACCCACACTTGCATTAATCAGGGCACTCACATCACTAAGCTGCTTGGTGTTGAGCTGGGCTTGCAACAGGACAGGAGTATCAGTGACGGCTGTGAATTTGGTCTTATCTGGATGAACTTTGTAGGTGTGCTACAAAAGAAGAGGTCTGTTAATGAAATTTCATAATGTTTCTTTAGATTCTTGTTCACATACACAAGAACATGTACAAAGTTTCCAGCCAGAAATAGACTGCATTTTGTTCTTGAAAACTTGGTTGATGCATTCTCACTTCCTCTCTCTCTACCTCCCTTCTCTCCTGAAGTAGGCTCCAAACTGGTTTCCCTGCTGCAATTCAGCAACCAGATTAGCCTCCTCCTGCTGAAGCCTTACAGTGATTCGCCACTGGACTCGGGTTCAATGTAAAGTGGGCCTCCCAGCCCTCCCCTACAGAATCCACCTTCCTCCTTCATCTCCTACCATTTTACCTCTTACTGCTGTCTGTAACCTGGTACATGTCAGTTACCTCATCCTTTCAAGTCCTTACATGCTGAGAGTATGTCTCTTCTCAGGCTGTTGTTCCCACTGCTCTTCCCTGGATCTTGGCATGGTTATACAGTCTTTGCCTTAGACCTTCCTTGACCTCCCAACCTATGGTATCCATCCAGTCTCCATCACCCACATCATTCTATTTTAACCCTATAGCATCAGTTTAGCTTTCTGATCTATCCTTCTAGTTTCTATGTTGTTTATCGTCTGTCTCTCCTTCTCAGATGCATACTGAACAAGAACCAGCCCAACTTGTCCCATATTCTTTCTCAGCACCAAGGACAGTGTCTGGCACACGCCAGCCCATCATGTAAAATATACACCTATCTCTTACAAATCACCATGTTCATTCTTTCCCCAAAAATCATGTGTGTGTGTGTGTGTGTAGATATATGTATATACAGACTAGTGGAAATAAAGGTTTATAAAACCTGAAATCATTTTGTAAAAAATAATTTTCTTCACAGTAATTTTTATATTCCCCAATTCTATCCAAAAAATAAAATTTAACATCTGCTAACCATTAGATGCTAGCATTTAAACTGCTGAATTGACCACTAGATGGCACAAGAATGCCAAACACAATCTCAAAACTTCAGGGCAGCTGACTTACATCTTTACACTTGTCCAGCTTCTTGATTGCTTCGTACTCTTGTGTTATTGTCTGAGGGAAATAGCATTTCCCTTTATCTTCTTCATATTCTGCTTTGTAATTTTTCTGTAATGAGAAAGAACAAAAACAGATCATGATATCTATTGTCCCCAGCAATGTTACTGAGAAGCATGAAAAATTGTCTTCAAACTTACATCACTGTTCTGAGCTGAAACTCTCATGCAGTGTACTTGATATGGATCCTCAAAACTGCCTATATAATGTCCCAAAACATTCTGTACATATGAATCTTTATATTTAGCCTGAAAAAGAAAACATATGTTTTCAAACTCAAATAGACAGTTATTTATCAGACAGGAGGAGAACCCTCAAACCCGAGAGGTAACTGTGGCCTTTCGAACCTCACTGAAGTTCTTCAGTAGGGTATCAAGCTGATATTTAGGAGTCTCACAGTAATTCATGCTCTTTGCCTTTGTCTTCTCATAGTTTTCTTTGTATAATCTCTGTCAAAGGAAAAAGAAAATTAAAAAACAAAGAAAATAGAAGAATATATCTCATGGAATAAAAACTATTCATGTCACTGCTATACTTTACTGGAATGGAAATTTTTGTATTTCTTCAGCATTTATTTTCTACAAAGCAGAAAAGCAGAATAAATATGGTAGGGGCTCTTGTCTTATATGATCTAGTCTGCAGTAACCATAAATATATTCACAGTACTTATCCTAATATTTCTCAGCCAGAATAAATCACAGCTCACCAATGTTGCCGTCTAAGCAACTTTTTATCTTAAAATATTTTTTCCCACTTGAATGTGTTTGAAGGAAAATGATTCTTTAAGCATTGGTATGAAATATTGTAAAAGGTATAAAGTGGAGTTTCAATACTTAGGCACAGTTGTAGAAAAGTATTCCATTCAGTACTGGACAAAAACACATCTTACAATACCTCTGGAAGCTGGCTTTTATCATTAAAACCTAAATTTCACTTTATAACAGTGATATACAAAATATGACTTTTCTGTGTTATTGAGTGCATCATGTAGTACTTCACATTCTCTTTTAATTCTTCCATAAGTAAATCCAAAAAATATCCTCAATAAAGACAGTGATATTTATAAGTGATATAGAATAGGTAATATTTCTTCTTTGCTATGAATTAGAAAAGCAATTTTTGTAAAAAAAAATTATTTTTAATAAAATATTTTAAGTCTTTAATATGAGATAAGTATTTTATAAAATTCTTAAAATACTTAAGCTTCACTGAGTTTTCCCTCCTTTGTCTGTAGCCTGGTTTTCTCACTTCTTGTCTTTCATTTTTCTGTATATATTTTTGTCAAGTACCTAGAGTTAGGTCATGGCATGGAATGAATAGCTGTTTAGACATACTGAGATACTGAGCTCATTTCCAGAAAAAACAATAAGGAAAATGGTATTGTTAGTGACATTTACCTCCTAGTAAAACAGAAGGCATTAAGGGATTAAGGGAAGCTTTACAATACTCTCTGGTGTCTCAAAGTACAGAGACATCATAAGAATGAGGAAGTTAATCATTCTTTACCACTGGGTTTTAATGTTTGATTTGTCAGCCTGAATCTGAGATTTCATTAGGCTAATGTCTCATCCAAGCTTATATTAAACAGTAAGTACAGCCACATCTAAAGACATGTTCACAAAAGCACTCACATCACTCTGGTTTTTCGCCGTCTTCAAAGAGTGCAGCATCTTGGGGTCGTCATTAATACTGAGAGCTCCAATCATCTTCCCTTTGGCTTTCTCATAGTCTTTCTTATACATCACCTATAAGGACACCGTATGAGTCAGATCCCACTCATCAGAAAGCATCGCTGAGGCCCCCCCGCCCAGGTGCCCAGGCCATACTCACATCACTAGTGATCTTGGTGTTGGCTTTCGCTGCCAGCAGGGGAATGGCGTCCACCTTAATGTCAAACTTCTTAGCTTTGGTCTTCTCCCAGTCATGCTTATAAATATTCTGGACAGAAAAATTTCAGCATAGGAGTGGGCAAAAATGATATGCATGCTATCACACTTTATAGACTTAAGGGTAACCCAATACCCAATAGTTTGTCTCAATATAAAATAGACCATTTTCATTGTTTAAGAAATTTTAGATCATTCATTTTAGACAATTCTTAAGATGAACCTTCCTGTTCTCCAAGGTCAAGCTTCTCTACTCACCATGAGAATACTTCATTACATTAACTTCATTATAGTTATCATACTAATATTTGATTCCTAACACTGAATATTTTATAGAGTAGCACAAATAATCTATAGTTTACTTAGTATTATATAAAGGTACCATTTTCATTTGATGTCAAAGTTCTCTGAAAAGGTTATTTTACAAATCATTATATTCACTGATGCTAGACAATTTTAGTACTTATTTATAGAATTGTTGAAAAAATTGAAATCCTCATGGGTCACTTGACTTTTCTATAAAATGAAGTTTGGAAATGAAAAGTAGCAATGGATACCTGGCCTTATGCCTTCTGAATACCCTGTATCTTTGTCAGGGCAGGTTCTCTAACATGTAGAAATGAGTATTGTTTGTGTGATATAAGGGAAATTATAGGCTTGAGAAATAAATGAAATCAAATTGTATCTTAAATATCAGGTCCTGAAAGAAAATTCTAGTATAATATAAAAGAATATATGGCTAAAAGAACTAACATTAAGATTTGAGATTAAACATATATGAACAGTGACATTTTGAGAGTTGCCTCAAATATATTAAAATTGTCTCATTGTGTGAAGCTACTTATAAGATTGCTACACACATTTTATAAGGGGAGTTCAAAGTTACCCTGGCAGAGGGAACATGATATAAATGTTAATCCTTATTCCCATCTTTAACGCCAAAATGTTTGTTCAATGAGGCAGTTCAAAAGTAAAAGCATAGCTGTCAGTGTAACAGAAGGCCTAGTGCATGAGAAACTCACATCGCTCAGGTTATAGGCGTTGACTTTGTGCTGGATAAAGGCAGGCGTATCTGGAGGTATATGACACTTGAACTTTTCGTTTTCATGTTTCGCTTTGTAATTTAGCTGAGGAGGGGGGAGGGAAACAACGAGCAAATTAGTCCTCTATTCAGAAGAATTGTTACAAAACACAAAAGAAGAAAATCATGTGGAGTACATTTCATAAAATGTAAAATACATTTTGTTAAATAACAACTGACAGAGTTGTCACGATCAAAAGAGAAATCCAGGGTGAGGGTAGGCTGCCTTTCTTATCAGCACCTGCGTGTGGATCGTTGATGCTGTTATCACATCTGGCACCATGGGAGGACCCTAATGGAGGGAGGTGGCACTTTTCATGCATACAAGCTCCCCTCCTTAAATATCACAGTTGGTCCTGTAGATTCTGAGAGCGTCAGCCTTTCTTCCTCTCGGCTGTCATTGCTCAGGCACTGGAGAATATTTTCTAACAAGCCTGATTATGTCCCTTCACATGCATGATGGTTTGTGCATATTCTAACTGAAGCTTTCATTTCTGGCCATAAATCTACTCAAGTTATTTTTATTTTCATTTTTTTTAGTTCAACATAAATTTGAAAATTCACACTTAAAATTCATATGTTAAAATGTATCTCAAAGACTCCATTTCCCAAAAATAAACTTGCACAAGGGAGAGAAATCCCATGTACTGAATACCTGCTCTGGGCCAGGATGTGTACCATGCACATATTTCCTTTCATTTCATCTTCAAAACAAGCACTTATTATCAAAGGGAACTGTGAGGTATAGAGAGATTCAACAGCTTGCCTGGGCCCCCAGGCCCCCAGGTCATAAAAGACGGAGCTGGAATTTGAATCCAGTTTTCCCGGGTGGCTCAGACAGTAAAGAATCTGCTTGCACCTGGAGAAGGAAATGGCAATCCACTCCAGAACTCATGCCTGGAGAATCCCATGGACAGAGGAGCCTAGCAGCCTATAGTCCATGGGGTCACAGACTAGGACATGACCGAAGCTACTTAGCACATTGTTTAGTCATACTACTTATACAATTTGAAGATTCCAAAGTTGTCAAAAGTAGACAATGAAACAAAAATAAAAGCAAAGAATGATATTGCTTTGTACATTCATTTTAGCCTTACGGAGGAAAATACTCCCTACTTCGAGAAATACAGTTATCCAGGTAGAAAATTGATTCTTCCCAAAAACTATATCCCTTTGACTATGAAAACAAGTAATTCTCTCCAGGTTTCAAATGTGTTATATATTAAATTATATCTCTATAGGACACTGCTAAGGTGAATTTGTGATTGACTGTCTTTTCTGAATGAGTGGTGTGCACTGTGAATGACAGAATAAATCTGTAGGAAAAAGATGGTATTAAGTTTGTGCTTTTATTACCACTGCTGGTCTGAAAATGCTTCAGTGTCATAGTTTTGAAAAATATTTTTACATGCATTATTTTATTTGACCCTTATAAGGATCCTGTAAGTTTGACGATCCTTATTGACATCCGATTTTAGAGATAATGAAATGTGACTCAGAGAGGTTAAATGACAGAAGTTATTTTATCCTGCTAGTAAGAAGTCAAGATGATATTCAACCCAGGTCATTATCCCTGCTCTTTCCATTATATTTTGTTCTTTGAGTTGTACGATGTTCATAAGCATAAGCATATTTCCCTGGAATTATTTGTAGCCCTTCTTCAATAAAATGTTAACCAAAAAAAAAAAAAAAAGAATCTGCCTGCAATGCAGGAGACCTGGGTTCAGTCCCTGGGTTGGGAAGATCCCCTGGAGAAGGGAATGGCAACCCACTCCAGGATCCTTGCCTGGAGAATCCCATGGACAGAGGAGCCTGGCAGGCTAGAGTCCACGTGGTCGCAAAGAGCTGGACATGACTGAGTGACTAACACTTTCACTTTCACCTTTGTCTGACCCCCAGATTCGGTGCTCTCCAGTGCATTAAGCTACATTTAGTTTCTCTTCTACAACTCCTATTGCAATTGTTATCCACCCAAGAAGATGCAAGTTAAGTAAGTATTTTAGGTGATTACAAATGTATACAAGTTAAACTCATTAAAACTTACATAGTGTTTTTAACATAAACGTGACAAGGATAAAAATGCTTTTTTATAAATGGATTTCAAGTACAGAGCTATGATATATCATTCCTCAAAACTGGATTTCTTGGATATTTAAGAGAACTTACATCACTCAGCTGCTTGGAATTGACTTGAGCTTGCACCAGAACAGGAGAATCAGTAACTTGAGTGAATTTTGTCTTATCTGGATGGACTTTGTAGGTGTGCTGTGGGAGAAAAGAAATCAGGTTTAGTGTAGTATCACACTTGTCAAAATCTGAGCTGGCCTATAGGCCAAGCTGGCATATCCCCATCCCCCCAAAGAAAAGAAATTTGTAGGAAATAAAATACTTTTTTTTTTTCTAATTAGACTGTAGTTTTTTGGGAGGATGCTCTTACATCTATATAGGAAACTGTCCCATGTCTTCAGATTCCTGATTACTTTTCTTTGGGAAAATGAGCTAGAATTAACACTTGAGTCATACTATTTTCCCTGTGGTCACCCATATATCTATTAAAAAGTAAATTGTGTTTCTTATAGTCTTCTGCTTACATTTGTTTGCAGAAGTGTCAAAACTGTAAAAATATCTTGACCACTAGATACTGTGAAGGTTGGTAATGTTCATAGTATATACCACAGACTTACATCTTTACATTGATCTAGTTTTTTGATCGCTTCATATTCTTGAGTTATGGTCTGGGGGAAGAAGCCTTTACCTCTGTCCTCTTCATATTCTGCCTTGTAGTTTTTCTACAATAAAAAGAAATGAGACATAAGGATGCGACCACTCTACTCATGCCCTGAAAATGTGCTACTTGGAAAGTCAAACAACTGCCTTAGAACTTACATCACTGTTCTGAGCTGCGACTTTCATGCAGTGTGTATGATATGGATCCTCATAGCTGCCTACATAATGTCCCAAAATATTCTTTAAGTAGGAATCTTTATATTTAGCCTGAAAGACAAAACATATATCATTTGTTTATTGGCAAAATGATGGGTCTTCACCTTCACAGAGGGAATGACTAGGGCGGAGAGGTGTCTTACATCACTACTGAAGTTGTGCAGAACTGTATCAAGCTTAAATTTGGGCGTCTCACAGTAATTTATGCTCTTTGCCTTTGTCTTTTCATAGTTTTCCTTGTATAGTTTCTGTTAAAGGAAAGAAAAAAATCAATTAAAGTGGGTTCCTATCACTCCCATGCTGATTATTATTGCACTAGTATTTTCCACACTAAACAAAGGAAGAAGAAAAAAAGATATTACCTGTCAACTGTCTTAAAATTAACAATCACACATTGGGGTGTCGTAAATGATTTAAACCTTTTCTATTAGCAATCATTATAAAGCCTAAATTTTTAATATGCTCCAAAAAATTAAGAAACCAATATATTGCCTCAGACAAAATCCTTAGTTGAAGAGGTGCTTGAGTATTTCTGACTTACTGCTTTTTCTACCTGTCAACTGACATACTCTTTCCTCACTAATGATGCCCTGAGAAACAGGAACATTTTGAGCGACAGTAAATTTTTCATTTTTAAAAATCAAATCTTCATGGAAAAAGCCTAGCACACAGGGAAATACACACTCTTCTTCCTTCTACCAAGGAAAAATTCCTTATTATATGAACAGACTGTATATCTTAAAAATAAGGTATATACAAACAGTCTACCAACACTTCTCCTCTGCTAGACTTATCTTCAGCTCTAACCATTATTGGATTTTACAGGTCCCAACTGATAAAGCATATCATTGTCATTTTTTCATGCTCATTTAATTTTTTATTTTATCTTGGACTATAGCCGATTAACAATGTTGTAATAATTCCAGGTGGACAGTAAAAGCAATCAGTCATACATACACATACTGGTGCTGTTCATTTTTAATATTTTTATATTGTTGTCTTTTTCAACAAAATGGATTTGAGCTTGGGTTTTTATGTTCAGTAAAGATGACCTTCATTCAGGAAACAGTGCTTTGCACTGATTTCCCAGTAGAGCTATTTGAACAGATTCATTTCTATCCTCTCACCTGCCACATCACTCACCCCACCTCCTCAGTCACATGCACACATATCTATGGTGCTTATTTAACTCAAGGGGCAAAGATAACTAACCCACACATAATCTCAAATACTGGGAAACTTAACACTACCTAATCAAAAGGGAAATACTCAACTGACAGTATGTTCAGTCTCTTTATATACATAATCAAAGTGGCCTTGAGCTGTGAGTCTTCTAATGCCAGGCCAATTCTCACTTATCTAGTGTATTTGAAAGATAGTGGGTTAGACAAGCTCTTAATTCCACTATTAGAAATTCCTGTGAAGACTGAGGGAGCCATCTTTTCAGTTTTGCTCTCTGCAAATGATGGGTTCTGGGGTCAAGACCTGAGTAGAAAGTGGTGGAGGTTAGGGAGAGAAGTTGTGAAATACAGGATATTTCCCTTCTGTCCAGCAGCAGGCTTGAAGAACACAAGGGTGGGGCACTAACTGACTCCAGCTCCTAGTCCTTCCCTTTCAAAGTCTCCTTCTGCCTCCATCACAATCACAACAAAACTCCTACAATGTACTCTCTGCCCACACAACGGCACAGGCTCCTGGAGTTTCAAGGAAATGAGGATTTCCCTGCCCACTGAACTAGTCCATAGGCTCCCCAAATTGACACATATCATACTCAGAGACACTAATGCCTTCCTGTTGTTAGCTCCAGGGAAACTGCTACCCCATAACCTTTAAGTATTTGCAAAGTTCTATTTGCATTTAGTCATTATAGAAGGAAAGAAATTTCATCCCTCTTGTAGCTCAGGTTAAAAAAAAAAGCACTTTTGACAAGAATATACTTACATCACTCAGGGCATCTCCTGCCGCCTTCAGCTGCCTAAGCAGTGGGTTTTCTGAAGCAGGAAGTACATTATAGTCTGCTTTTCCTTTATTCTTTTCATAGTCTTCTTTGTATTTTACCTGTGGGAGTGAAATAAAGTGATAAAGTAACTCTCTATGTTACTTTTGTTCTCGTTCTCTTTTACACATATTATGACATAGCTCCATGAATAAATTTTCTCTTCAGAAAACTGGCAGCTTGACATTTCGTAAACAAAATATTCATAGTAACTCATAACAGCAGTGGAGAAACTGCATACATTTTCAGGGTATCTTTTCTTCCCATCATTTATTCATTCAAAAGTATCCATAGGACATCAATTATGCACCTGGCTCTGGGACAGATTCAAGAAACAGTAATACACGGTCCCTGCCCTCAGAGAGGGAGGGAGGGAAGGGGACAGAAATAAAAGAAGAAAGATATACATCATAATAATGACAGTGCATCATGTCCTAGATACCTGCTGCTCCAGAACCCTCATTCAGCTCTTAACCTCCAGCTGCCTATCTGCCAACACATGTTTAAAGAAAAATCTAGAAGCATCATCAATCTAGCCTTTATGCCTCATCTGTGACTGTGTGTGTGAGCACATGTATATTTAATGTACATGTGGGAGGAGGAGGAAGGGGTAGGGACTAGATAAATGGTGACAGCCTCATCTTTTCCTCTGCCCTCCCTACTTTTCACCTTTAATTCCAGCTCCAACAGAAGCTTAAGTGCGGGCACAAAAGCCCCACTCAGGAGCATGTCCAAAGGGAAGAATGAGAAAAAAAGAAACTGATCCTAACCTTGACCATGAGTCCCAGTGCCATTTATTTCTTCAAGCAAAGTAATTTTGGAATACAGACATGTTCAGGAAATCCTAGATAATCTGTCAATATTTAAGAACCTCAGAAAACAATCGGCTTGGTCTCCAAAGGCGGGAGACACACAACTGAACCAGATGTACCATCCCTACAGCCCACGTGGGGGACTCAGAGGATGTTCTTCAGAAGTGGAGGATGTAGACAACCTCTTATAGAAGTATCTATTTCCATGACCAATGGAAACAACTAGAAAGGAAATTCCACAGACCTACTATCCCTGTACCTGCATCTGGGATTCACATCTTCCTCTCCTATTTCAGGAAAAGTCATCCCCTGCTCTTAGCACCAGGTCCCTGCCCCTTTCTCCTACTCTAGGAAAATGCTCCAGCCACTCTCCCTCCCCTCCTCAATATGATCTCATTTTCCCTCTACACCTGATTTTTCTTCTATCAGTCTAGAAACATGGCATTTTTGTCTCTTACCTAAGAAAATTCCCTCTTCACCTATTTATCCATCAGCTACTACCCCTTTCTCTTCTTTTCGTCTCAGGAGTCAAGTACACTCATATTCTATTTCTCTCTTTTCATTCACTCACAAACCCTTTCTAAACACTCAACCAAATTGCTCTTATTAAGTTCACCAAACACCATTCATTGATAAACCCACTTAAGAAACATTTGACACAATAACTCCCTCCCCCTTTCACCATCTTCCCAAGACATCCCTCTTACCTAACTTTGCTTCTACCCCATCTCACTGATGTCTTCACAAGGAAGCACTCCAGAGTCCAATCCTTGTAGTGTAGAGTTTTCTCTCTACATTTACTCCCTTGTGGCCTCCAGTCTTATGACATTAAATATGATTCATATGCTACTGATGCCCAAATTTATACACACTTTCCAGATATCTCCCCTAAAATGGCAGACTCATATAATCAACTGCCTACTTGACATTTACATTTCTCAAAGGCATCTCACAATTTACAGGTCTGAAGCTGAGCTCATGTTTCCCCTGCAATAAGAAATTATCTACTCCTTCCACCATCTTCCCTATCTTGACAAAGGGAAACCCTATCCATCTAGTTGCTTAGACCAAACTTTTCTCTCATATCCCATATTCAACTCTTCAGCAAATCAGGTCAGCTCTAATTTTGAAATACTTCTCATCACTTTTCCGGCTACTCTCCTGGTCCGAAACATTACCGTCTTGCACCTGGATCCTGAAATAGTCTCCTAAGTGACATGATCTTCCTACTTTCACTCCTCCTGCAGAGCCAAGGCCAGGCTTATAATCAAATCTGATTGGCTTTGAAGTTGTTGCTCTTTCTAGAGCTTTAGAACACCTGTTGCTGTTTGGTCACTAAGTTGTGTCCAACACTCTTGCAACCCCATGGGACCCCCTGTAGTTCACCAGGCTCCTCTGTCCATGCATTTCCCAGGCAAGAATACTGGAGTGGGTTGCCATTTCCTCCTCCAGGGGATCTTCCTGACCCAGGGATTGAACCCATATCTTCTTCATTGCAGGCAGATTCTTTACCCGTGAGCCACCAAGGAAGCCCCCTTTAGAATGCCTAGGAGTAGACTAGTTACCAAAGTCACTCTATAGACTATATGAGCAAATCCACGGATTCATATGTCTTGTCAGTGACTAGATTTTCACTAGTTAATAAGAAAATAGAAAAACAATGGTAGTTGCAAGTGTAAGAGTGTCTGTATTCAAAGAACGCTGCCAGTTGCCTTCTCTTGAGAAATTCTTTTGTCCTTTCTACTTCTGGGTATCAAAAGGTCCTTTAGTCTATGAAATACTGAAGATGGTAGCTGAGTATTGTGAATTCTCCTACATGGCAATTTTTAAAAAAAAAAAATTGGTAGCCCTATTATAATCCCCAAATATTTTCTTATTGTTCCTGTAAGAACCTTTCCCCCCATTATATACAAAAGCAAGAGTTGTAAGAAATTCCCCCACACTGAGACTATATCAAGATCAATGAGAGAATGTCCCCATACCTTGCTAGCTGCCACCCCAGCTTGTTTATTCACTTTGTACTCTGGGGTTTCGGTCTGCATGAAGTAGATCTGGTCTTTCATATTCTCAAAGTCTTCCTGGTATTTTTTCTGTAAGACATGAAACATGCTAGAGAACTGCTGTGGGAACAACTAGGCCAAAGTCTTATATGGGAGGACAGAAGCCACTTGGAGACATTACCCAAAGCCATGCTCCTCTTAGCTTCTGCAGGTCAGATTACAGTTACAGAATATGGTGCTATCACTAAAGCCATTAGCAGCTTAACAGAAACTTGGAACAGTTATAATAGGTTGGAAGACAACCTCAAAGAAGGAGCTCTCAAAGGCCAGAGGCAGAGAACTTAAAAAAAAAGAAAAAGAGGTTTCTTATGTTTTCCAGGGAGGGGATCTGGGAACAGACTAATCAATTTCACAAATGTACCGTTTGAGTGCCCAGACACAGAACAAATCAAAAAGGGCCTCTTTCATCTGTACTCACCATGACACCATATTGTTCCAATGAAAAAGGAGGCAAGAATAATGGAATCCAATCAAAACAATGCTTTGTAAAAGGAAGGAAAGATGGTGGAATTTCTTTCTAAATAGGGACCCTACACAGGTCTTGCCCCCAGGAAGAGTTGTCTGGATTGAAACGTTCTGGTACCATTTCAGGAGCAGCAAGTGGCTAGATGTCATACAGGAAAGAATCAACCTCTCAGCCCAAGGACATCTGGCTTGGATGGACATCCCTTCCTACTTACTGTGCTAATGTTATTGGAGTTCATTCTGGCAGTTGCAATTTCAAAGCAAGGTGTCTCACTCCATTTGCCTTTGACTTTATTTTCATAGTCTTCCTTGTATTTTTGCTAGAATGGAAAAAAAAATAAAGAAAATAAGACAAGCAAAATCTGAAAATTGACAAATAAGGCAGCAAATTAAGTGGTAATGGTCAGCTTTCAAAAATATCTCAACCAGGCCCTTCCTGGGTGCTTAATAGATGTTTTCAAATCTCCTAGTATAGTGTTTCTTAGCCCACAAAAAAGTAGTTGGATGCAGGGGATAGAGGTATCAATCTCCCCTTTGTTGAGTTTAAGGACTTAGTTCACAAAGAACTCACAGATGGTCCCTGGTGTTTGAGGGGAGAGAGAGTCAGAAGCATCTTCCTTCTGTAATTCATGGTTATTGATATAATAAAATCACTCAACCCCAGATTTTCATGCCAGATGAACTTAGCCATTAATTTCTGAGCTTTATTGAAAACTCCTAATTATCCAGATAGCAGCACTACAACAAAATTTGACTTGTAGGCCAATGAATAAGACTTTCTGGTTTAGACTTAACGAAATTTTAATGAGAACTGACAAACAATAAAAAAATTAAACTGCTACCCCATATTAACTCCCAAACACCACACTACCTGAATGCTATACTGTGAGCTCCTTGGTGAGAGGAATTATATGTTCTTCATTTTTGTATCCTCAAAATCTAACACAAAATGCAGCATGCAGAAGTTACCTAACAAATGTTTTTTTGATTACACTAAATTGAACCTAGTCCATGATTTTTTTACTACTTTGGCTTGAATGTTCTTGAAATGGAATTAATCCAGCCAACCCCAAGTTTGGGACACAAGTCAGAGATGAGTTAGAGCAATTTTTCCAACTTGGCCAATAGAATGTGTCAACAGACATAACCAGTGGGTCTCAAGGTGTTTGCATACCCCCACCATACTCTTCATACTCTTAAAAAAAAAAAAGAAAGTGGTTTTCTGGGATGCCTTTAAAGAACAAGTACCAAGGGTAAGAGAGATGCAGAGCCAGTGAATTTAAGTTTAAGGAAATCTGGCCCTCTCTCTAAATGCCCTATATCCTTTCTTCTCAAAGGTTGACATTCTAGATCCCAGTTTCTCCTTTCAATTGCAGACCTAGTATCAGCTGGAAATTCCAACCTGAAATCTTGTATCTTTCTTGTTGTGAGTCTAGAAGGAAGCAGAGAAGCTCAAGGACTTCAAGAAGCTCAGTGTTGCTCACAGAACTCCACCTGCAGTAGTTGTGGCGTACATGGTGGACACAAACAGCCCTGCCTGCCTACACATCTCTACAGAATGCTCTGAGCCAGGAGGAGGTGCTGGCATGCACTTGATGACTCTGGGCAAAGACATAGGTGAGAGAATTGATTCTGAAAGGGATGATAAGGCAGGCTGGTAAACAGAACGGAACAGCAACATAACCACTACAGATATGTGTTCATTATGTTAACATATGAACTGAAGGCTATAAGACCTGGAAATCCAGGTAAGACTGGGGTGATTACTTATCACCATGGTGGATAATCTGATGACCTTCATCCACAGCCCTCCTTCCCTTGGCTAATACTGTTATTCCACAAAGCAACCCAGCCCTAGCAATGCTTTCAAAGTACTCAATAAATGTCTCTGCATCCAACCAAATGTTGCAATCCAATAGGCATATAATGCAAGCCACCATGGTAAATTTTCTAGTAGCCATACTTTAAAGTATAAAAAAGGAACGGGTTGGAAATTAATTTTAATGACCAGCAAGGATCTACTTTAAAGCACATGGAACTCTGCTTAATGTGGCAGCCTGAAGGGAGGAGAGTTTGGGGGAGAATGGAAACATGTATATGTATGGTTGAGTCCCTTTGCTATCCACCTGAAATTGTCATAACATTGTTAATTGACCATACCCCAATACAAAATAAAAGGTTTAATAAAAATATATTATCTTACTTTATACAATAGATGCCAAATAGTATCAGTTCACAATAATCAATATAAAATAATTAGTGAACTATTTTACATTCCTTTTGTCACAACAAGTGTCCAAGATCCAGGGTGTGTTTCATCCATATAGATTGAATTCATATCTCCACATTTTAAGTACTCAATAGGCACATGTGACTGGTAGCTACTCTGTTAAAAGTGCAGCTCTCTAAACTAACCAGCAAGCTAAACATTAGCAGAGAGACTGGTTATAGAGGAGTTCAAAATAGATTTTTTAAAATAATTTTTAAGTACTCACTCTGTATACTCAAATGAGGTAGAAGAATGCTGCATTAGTAAGATTTCTTTTAAAATATGCTTTTAATAAAATTTAAGATAGATTTTTCTTTCTAAGCGAATACTTGAAAGCAATTTTTTATTTTTCTTCCAAAAAAGAATTAAATTGTCCTTCTCTCCAATCTTATTTACAATATCAACACTTTCAAGAGGCCAACTCTTTGTCAATAGTTCGCTCGGTTAATTTCTGCTTAGCCCTGCCTGGGCAAAATTTCAGGCTCATGGTATTCCTATCAGTGAAAATTTACTGTACTTACTAGATCTTTTATCCCAAATAGTCCTTCTTCACACCAGTAGGTAATCTACAATATCAGACACTAAAAAATATTGCTGAATCGACTTCATCATCCATAATTTTCTTCCTTCTCCTTTACTGAAGACGTACCTTCCCCCAAACAAGATAGAAATCTTGATATCCCATCAAAACTCAAGCAGACCAAACTAACAGTCCACAAAGGGCAAAGGAAAATATTTAAAAGCAGTAGTATCCCAAGAGAAAGTGGCCTGATTTGGGCCAAATTAAAATAGGAATTTAGCATGGACCTATTCATCAGTTGAACATCTGTCTCTCTGCATTCCCTGTCAGGGCTGCATTCCTCAGAGCTAGTTTACCAGACTAAATATAGACAGACTAAGCTGTCTGCCAGGCCTAGGAAATTATGAGGTTCAGTGCTCAGGGCTGTCTAACCAAGCTGCCTCTGAGAGACCACTCGTACATTCTTATTTTCTCCAAGTCTGATTCTGAGCATAAAACTCTACAGGGTCTGTACTGAATTAAAACAATCAGATTCTTTGTGGAAATCTGCGGTTACTTGGTTACTCTGTTAATATCCTTCTCATAAGTCAGAATGTGAAAGGACATCAGGATGTGGATTCTGTTCTCAAAACACACTTTCCCATTTATCAATCACTGAGTCATCCAGCTGACCAAGTATTTATTAACATGGTTCCATGGTGTTAATGGATGTGTTTTAGAGTTTTCAGAGTCATAGGCAAAAATACTCCTAGTGTTTGTGTTGCGTTTTTAGGCTTATCTTAATTACTTTCTCTGATGGTTGGGTTATTCAGTAGTTTTCAAGGGAGACAGTGTCTCAGCCCTATTTACTTACCTTGCTCACTTGATTAGTTACTTTCTTGGCAAATTCTATATCTGGAGGATCTGGCAGAGATGTGAATTGAGTCTGCTGTTCAGCAAGACCTTTTTTGTAGGCAATCTGACAAAATAAAAGACAGGAATGCTCATGAATCCATTTCCCACATTCCATTTACTGGCATAAAAAAAAAAAAAAGACTATTTTCCCCGTTATTTGAAATCTTACATTTGAGTGTACCATAATTCATCCTTTTGGATGTTAGAGGCCCTTACTCTTAGCTTTACTAGTGATTTCAATTTCTTTGAGTCTTCCTTCTGTAAGATTACTGGCCTTCCATTCGTTTCCACACCATGGTTTACAACTAATATTATTCTCTTAACCAGCATCCTCAACTCCCATTCTCTTGTCTTTACATCACACCTGCTCACAAACTCTCCACACCCTGGATCAAGTCAACCACACACCTCGGCTGTCTGTGATACCCAGGATACTGAGTGCTGCTGAGGAAAATCACACAACTATACGGATTCTGTCAGGATAACACCATGCTGCTGCTGCCACAGAGTTGCTCAGTCGTGTCCGACTTTGTGTCCCCATGGACTACAGCCCGCCAGGCTCCTCTGTCTATGGGGATTCTCCAGGCAAGAATACTAGAGCAGGTTGCCATGCCATCCTCCAGATAAGCAGGGTTAAAAAGGACACTAGAAGAAGGTGCAGAGGTAGGAGAGGCAGCTTCTTTCACTGGCTGCATGGTTTGGAGGGAGCACGCCTGGTAGAGCTCAAATCCTACACTCAGGGTGCTGCTCCCTTTGATAGCCCTGAATTTTTCCTCTATCAGTTACCCCCCCCCCCTTTTTTTGTTACAGCTTCAACAGCTCTCTCACCACGTCTATTCATTATGCATCCCTTTGGCTCCTGCTTTTTTTTTTTTCCTTCACTACTGACTCCTCTTTTTCTTCCATCAGTCTTGACCCCTACCTCCAACAATAAGAACTATCCACAGATCCCCAGACACATGAAGTCCTTTCACTGAACCTCAGACCTGCTGTTCCCTTTCCCTGGAAGCTCTAACTCCACCCTCTCCCCATCTGCCTGCCAACTGCTACTCATTCTCCACATCCCAAGACAGGCACAGTTTCCCTTCTTGAGTCTTTCTTGCCTTGATGACCTTCTCCTGGGATCTCACTCCACTACCCTTACCCTCCTTTAAAAAAAAAATCAGATGATGCTGTACCTGCTTGTTTACATATCTGTCCCTCCTTGGACGGTGAGCTCTGGCATGGCAGAAAACACCACCTCTCATTTGGGAACCCTGTTCCCTGTCTAGTACCTGACTGGAGCAAGGTTCAATAATTGACTTCTGAGTGTGCGTTTTACACACTGAGGCCATCGGGGGAGGTTTGAAGAGCAGAATTCTCCTCCCAATTCTTCTACTACTCAGCCGTGAGACTTCTACAGGTGATTTCTCCTTCCACATGGCTGTATCTTTTTTTATAAAGAGGTCGTAGAGTTCCAAAGTCACAATCATCTTCTTCATACTTTAACCAAGTCTGTGTGTATGCTTAGTCACTAAGATGTGTCCAACTCTTTGAGACCCCATGATCTGTAGCCCTCCAGACTCCTCTGTCCATAGGATTTTCCAGGCAAGAATACTGGAGTGGGTTCCCATTTCCTTCTCCAGGGGTCCTTCATGACCCAGGGATCAAATCCATGTCTCCTGTATTGCAGGCGGATTCTTTACCCATTGGGCCATAATCTAACTATATCTTATTCTAAAAATATCTACCTAATGCCTGTAACAAATGCCTTCAAAAATTAAATCAACTGGGACACAAAAGGCAGATTTTAAAATGTATTTGTAGTATTAATAATTCCATGGCTTACTTTCTTTTAAATAAGAGAAGACTTACTTTAGGCATAGGGCAACCTGTATTTTCTGTGACTGGCTAAGCCCTTAAGGAGAAAGCAACATTCTACTAGGAGGAATGCTTATTAAGTGTGACATCCTGTCAAGAGTTTTCTGAGAATTGGATCTAGAAGTCCTAGTTTCTCAAGAACCTTTGCTCAGAATTCTGTCTAGTTAGAATTCGGTACTCTGGATCAACTTAAAGACTCTCAGTTTTTGCAAAGTATTTTGTCTCTACTTATGTAATTAGAAAAACATGGTAAGTTGGGTTAGGAGGGACAAGGAGAGGGAGTCTCTGAAACCAAACCCTTTGCTCAAAATCCACAAGCTTAGCCAGTGGCATGTTGGGTGGACAACAGGTTGCTTGGGGCTCTGTGCCTAATAATTGTAGATGTCCGTGTTGCTGACAACAGTATTAATAGGCATGCTGGTAACCTAATGCTTGGCCTACCACAAAAATAAAAGCCATCTCTCAACTGCCAAGTTTTTCTGAGGCAAGAAAAGGAAGACTCTACTTGATTATTATACGTCCCTCCTTCTTATGTCTTCTATTGAGATATATATTAAAAAAATGTGGTCAACTTTGATTGTTCAAAGACCACAGCACTAGAGTGGCATGGAGGTGACCCTTCATTTCTCCCTTTTATGGGTAAGAGGAGACATCTGGTGATTAAATGCCTTCTTGGAAACCTCTCCCTAGGTTTACATGACATAGTATTTCCAGGTTCCCCTTCAACTTCTCTGGTCATTGGTTCTGTCTTCTCTTGACCCCTACCCAGGTGTCCTAAGAGTAGGTGTCCTCCAGAACTCTGCCCTTGGCCATCCACCATCTGCCTCCCTCATACATTCTCATGTCTGCAGTTGTCACATTTTAAAAATTATTTGACTCTCAAATATTAATCTCTTGTACTGATCTCACGCCTGTGCAAATGCCTTGATCTGAATGTTTCTTCCATTGTATCAACTCTATTTCTCTTTTCACTAATGCATTGTTACCACCTGTACCCCTGTTCACCCAGACTACCAGGACTTTGTCACAAACTCATGGATATTTCCTTTCTCACCTTTGTCTCCAATATCTAAATGTCATTAACACTTAAAAACACTTAGTACCTTCAGATTCCTTTTTTCCTCTCCTTTGTCTCCATCATTCTTCTGATTTGTCTATATTACTAAAATAGTATTCTATAAATTATGATGTTTTCTAGCCTCAATACACCATATGGTCCATCAAAATTTCTCCAGATTCTACTTTTATCAAGTTATTTTCCTCTCCAAAATCTTATGATATGGTAGGCAACGAGAGACATCATATCAAAATTATTTTGTATGATTTTCAAGGTCCTGCTACCTATTTCTTATAAGTGCCTGCCTAACTCAGCACCCAGAGCATTCATTTTTTTTAAATTATTTTAATCAAAGAATAGTTGATTTACAATGTTGTGCCAAATTCTGCTGTATAGCAAAGTTACCCAGTTATGCACATATACACATTCTTTTCCATTATGGTTTATCACAAGAATCATTCACTCTCTTTGTCTCCGAAAACTCCAGACTCACATCATGTATGTCCCTTTGTCCAGCACTATTTCTCCACAAAATGCCTTTACTGTTTATCACTACTTATTCCCTCTGGATCACCACCTCCACACAGCCTTCTCTGATTATTCACATATTCCTGTCTTAGCAAATATCACACTGTAGAGTTTGTGGGTTTTTAAAAAATTTTTCTCTTATTGTTGGTATATATCACTTTCATCTTACCAACCATATTTTAAATTCTCAGGGGAAAGGATGAAAATTTCTTGTAATTTTTCATCCTGCCAGGTATGCATGAATAATGGTCTTCTAATTTAAAAAATTATTGATCATTTGATAAAGGCCACACAACAACATTGTTTATTCATGAGATACAAAGCCAAAAAGCTCATCTTAAAAGAGAAGTAGAAGGTCCCCACATGTTAAAACTGATGACTTTTACTAATGGCTTTAAAATTTTGTTACACTTATTTTCTAGCTTACCCTATAGAAGGATAGGATTATATCTGTTATAGTTCCATCAGTTATATGAAAACTAGGATAGAAATATGTCTATTAAACTTAGTTGATATCAAGCGATAGAACTAAAAAAAACAGACCTCAAAAGTTGGAGATACCTTCAAATGAGTATGTATAACTCATATTCATATGTATAACTGGACAAGATGGGTATAATCAGGACAAGATGGGATCTTAAGGTGCACTGGAAGTAAATCCTGATGAGTATCAAAATGCCAAGTGACCTAAGTCCATATTAAATGTAAGAGGTTCAGGGTCTATTGAATATAATAGAATAAATGTCTCATTCTCTAATACAGTTTTCCTGAAGATTAGAGCAGTCTTATTTTCAATATGGCTTTTAGCAGATCAAGGTATCAAGAAATAAAGTACCTCAAAACAAGGGCTATCAAAACAAGGCTAAAGTTGGGGTCTCTGCTGCTGCTTTCAACACTAAGGATTCTATTACTCCGTTTAAGTTCCCCTAATAAAGTTTTCAAGGTCTAGGATACTAAAATTCTGGCCAGTAGGGCTGCTGATTTTTTTTTTTTAAACTAACTGTAAAATATCCCCTATGTACGCTCTATGGGAGGAGCTCTTTGTGAAACAACCACACTAAGATGTTTGGACAAGTAGATAATCAGAAGAAGGGGACTACCACAGTTCAGACATACAATTAGGACAGCAAATCAAAATCCTTCATAACATTGTTCACTCAATACATTCAGGAAGTGGCTATAATCCCAGAAAGTTTTTTTTAAAAAGTTTTTTTGTCACAGAGAAACTTAACTCCAGCCAAGGTGATGGAAGGACACATGTTCTAGCGGAAAGAACACTGGTCTTGGGATCACAAGACAAGGCTTTGGATCTGAGCTCTGCCACAGACTACTAATGTGACCTTAGACTCAGGTTCCTCACCAGTAAGAGGAGAGCATGAGACTAAATAATATCTAATATAAATTATAAAATCTAGTTTAAATTAGACATCATAAATTATCATTTGAAATATATTCCTCTGCAATAGTAGCATTTTATCCCTTTTTTTTAAAGATTTTTTTTGATGTGGACTATTTTTCAAAAGTCTTTTTTTAATTCATTACAATACTGATTCTGTTTTATGTTTGGGGTCTTTTTTTGTTGGCCATGAGGCATGCAGGATCTTAGCTCCCTGACCAGAGATTGAACCCGTACCCCTTGCATTGGAAGACAAAGTCTTAACCACTGAACTGCCAAGGAAGTCCCAATAGCACTTTGTCTTTTTAAATGAAGAGTTGCAATGAACTTCTGGCTGGAAGAAGTCTGTCATAATTCAAGGTGTCCTGATTCCACACTCCCAAATGTGCACACTGCACTGCACTTACGTCACTGAGAGCTTTCTGGGCTTGGGCGACCCTCCTCAGCTCCGGGCTATCGTTATATGGATAAAACAAAGTTTTGTCAGCTTCCCAGTCTTCAGTGTATAGTTTCTAAATCAGAGAAAAAAGTTATGAGAATGTGAGAACACACTGACTTGAAATATATACTTCTGAATTCATCCATCAACGGCATATAGAACCCAGGGCAAAGGGAGAGCAAAGATAAGTGGAATCTACAGATTCCATTCAATATAAGTCATATTTATCAATAGCTTACCCGGCTTCTTCTGACATATCTTATTTACTACAGAGCAGATGTGTCTCATTGTGTTTCATCTTTGACTTTACCTGCCTTCTGCAACTAGTGCTAAGGAAAGTGTAAGGAGCCAGGAAGCACTTAGCATAATTTCTGTGTTTAAACCTTTAATACAAGTGAGAAATTAAACCTTTAATAAGAGTGACAGCCAGGCATGTCCAACGTATAGTGCAGGCTCTATACTTTGTGGGTCTCAGAACTGGTTTTCAGGTGCATCTTTTTTGGGGGGGGGGGGATGTGGACAATTTTTTTTAAAGTTTCTATTGAATTTGTTACAATATTGCTTCTGTTTTATGTTTTTGGTCTTTTGGCCATGAGACATGTGGGATCTTAGCTCCCCAGTCAGGGATCGAACCCTCACCCGCTGCATTGGAAGGTGAAGTCTTAACCACAGGACTGCCAGGGAAGTCCCCTCAGGCACATCTTTGTTTTCCCCATGCACTCTTCCCCAGTTGTTCAGACCCTCTCCTCCGTTAGGCCCAGGAACATTTTTTCTCAGTTCCTCTTAGCCAGCCTGATCCCCACAGCCCCACATGCCTCAAGGCTACTCACAAAATGGCTGGGGAACCATATTTTAGATTAGGGAGAGTTTATCCCGTCTGTGTGATGTGGGCGGGGGGACACAAGAAGACAGAAGTAGTGACAGGACAGAGGCCCCTACCTTACTGAACATGGCTGTGTTTTTGACGGCCTGGACAAGTTCAGGGGCATCAGGAGGAAGCAGGTACTTATCCTTGGTGTCTTCCCAGTTCTGCTTGTATAAAACCTGGACAGAAAGAGCAGATAACTTGTGGCTTGATGTATCCCCCAAAGGCATGAGTGTTAAGAGCACAAAGAAGAGAAGAGTCGCCCACACTCAAGTTGTCCTCACGTGAAGGCCACTAATGTGCGGCGGTGACACCAGCATCAACCACAGGAGTGTTGACCAGGTCAACATCCCTTGATACTTTCCCTGCATTAGTAAGCTTTCTCTTGAAAAGTCTAATGTGGTCAGTTGAATCACGATTCTGATTCTCTATAGGTTCTTTTCAAAGGTTGAAACCTGTCAGTCATTGGCTGAACTTGGATGGTAGATGTGTTTGACTTAGATGGTATTTTTTTTTAAGTATTTTAAATTAGTTGCTTACATTTGAAGTTTGGAGGTTTCTCATTAAAAACTCACCTCCCAACTTCTTAAAAAGAAAAAAAAAAAAGACTCTGGAGACACTGGGACTGAATTCTATAGCTGGAGATGAGGTCCTGGGCTTTCCAACCCCCATAGCTTCGATGGTCCACGTCAGTCACTAGTACAGACTGCCTGACACGTGTGACTGTTAGATTCCACCATGCCTGTGGGCTCACGTGGAACTGATGAGCAGGATCTGGCCTGTTCAGTTTTCTCCTCCAAGGCCGGGCAGTTATAATGCACATGCTACTTGGTATTCCAGCCACCCATACCACAAACTTGTTACCTTACTGACTTGCTGCGACACTTTCTTTGCATGTTCAATGTCCTTTGCTTTTTCGTCGACGTGACAAATAGTTTTAGCAACATCGCCATCTATTCGATACTTAACCTGCCAAAATAATGCACAATTAGAACTCATAACAGGCATGAATATATGAGTATATTAAAGAATATCTTATAATAAAGAACATTGACCCAATCACTCTATGTCTTCAACCAAAGTCAAGTTTCTGCCTTTTAGGTAGAAAGCTGTGAACTCCAACTATCCATAGAGAACCTGTATTCACTGATTGTCTGTTTTCCCGCCCAAATTTCAGCCTCCCTGTACACCAGAATGGACAGTCTCAGTGAGTTGGAACTCCCATCTCATACCACCTTTAATCCAAGCTTTTAGAAGTCTCTTTAGGTTCACTGTTTAGAGCAACATAATCTATGGCCAATGCTTCTTCTGTATTTTTAGACTGGCTCACAGTCATTTGACCCCTTATTCTCCCTACACCTATTTAAAGCCCTCTATTCCCAGTGGTAGGGACATTTCTGAAATGACTCTCTCCTCTATTTTAGCAATCTGGCCCACCTCACTGAGTTGATCTTGAACTTTCTTGATTCTGCGAAGTTCTGGGGTATCGGTTGTGATGGCATATGGCTGCCCTTTTGCTTTCTCATACTTCTCCTTGTATTTATTCTAAAAGAGATATCAGATTATTAGCCTAAAACATGACAACACAGCAGCAGAAATTACAGTCTCAGATATACATCCTGTCTTATTTTAATCCTGCAAGTTATAACAATTATTGATTATAACAGCTTTGTTTTTGTCCCCTACTCTGATTCTCAACAGAAACTAAAATAGATATGTTAATTGTTCTTTCCAAGCATGGCTGAATACTGGAGACAGTAGAAATTTTATTGTAAACTATTGTCTTGGAAAAGCCCTCAAATGATTTTTTCAATATTTTTATTGTCTGAATTAACACATGAAAAGGTGGAACCTCAATAATTTTAGGAAATATAGGAATTTAGTCAAGTCTAAAAAGATTTGATTGCTAATACAATGAAAAAATATTCCATTCAGAAGTTGCAGCTAAATCTCAGTGATTTGGATAACTGAGACACCAGCTGAATTAATGGGAAGTATAAATTATGAAGAATTTTGAAAAGGAATGAAATTTTATTATTTCTGCTAAATATGAGTTCTTGCTTTAACAATAATATGCATAATTTATCATTATTAATTCTTCAAGAAGACTCTTGAGTGGAATAGTCAACAATCTAAATTATACTACTATTTCACTTCTAACCACTTTAAAAATATTACAAACCTTTGCCAACATTTTGTTCAGTCTATCAAAAATTCTAGGATATTACTGTTTGAATTAATGAGGTGTTTATGGCAATAAATTGACAATAAATTTTTCTGTCTTTGCTGAATACTACAGTGATAAAAGAGGCAAGATAATTTTGTTTTTAAAAATCTAAGTCTTAGAAAACCTAAATTTTGAATAATACAAGACTCTGAAGTAGAAATTTACCAAATAGTCCCCAGTAGTTAACATTCAACCAGAAATGAATGCTTATTGGCCAACCACAACATGCTTTTGACATAAGCATTAATCCTATATAATCCGATGCTCCCAAGTACTTTTCATCTTTTTTAAGCTTCCAGAAGATGTGCAATCAGGCCACCTAGTGAGACCTCAGTCTACCCTGGACAGTCAACAAGTTAGCTCCATTTAAAGGGTTTAAATCTGTTGCCAGTAAGTGTAACTTACAGAATTGGACATGGAAACTTAAAGACAAGCATCTTCAAGAGCAGTGATTCTCAGTGTGGGCTGCGAATTAGAACCTGGGCAGGTTTTAAAATCCTCTACAGGTCCCAAGCCTGCCTGGACCAACTAAACTAGAACAACCTGGGCATCGGTAGTCTTAGAGCTCTTAGAATTTTAGGGAATTTCAATGTGCAGCCAGTTAAAAAACTTCTGTTTCAGGTTACAGTAGAACACGCTGATCCTCAATTTCAGATAAGTTTTCTTAGTCTGATTGTGGTTTTACAAGATCTTTTTAAAAAGATCACATTTTAAGATCTTTTTAAAACATCACAATCTTTTTTACTCTATACCTCCTAGAGACACTGTTAGCTAGTCTATTTGAGAGGCATCATGCTCAGATATAGCATAAATAAATGCTAGTTTATGTGAACTGATTTCAACTAAATCTATATCTAACTCTATAAATCTGTAACTCTGATTTCATTTTTTTAGACTGGCAAACAAATTGTGATTAAACACTAGTAAATTCTTTACACCTGGCCTTATGCTTATTTTGCGGGGATAATTTCAGTAAGGATGCTTTCCCTGATGCTGGCTGCAATGGTGCAAGTAAATTAAGTGAAAGCAGAATTCAAGAGTTTTGAGACATTATATTTCTGTAAAATAAGTTTTTTCTCATACAATGTTGAGAAAAAGTCCAGCCAGCATCCAAAACACAGCTGGATGAGAACAGTGATTTCTCAGTAGTAAAACCAGATAAGTAGAAGTTTTTTTAAACTTACTGTGCTAAAGAGATCCTGCATTTTCTGACTGTGTGCAATGTAGGGGGTCATGAACTTTGAAGGATCCACCTTCTTTCGAATAACCCTCTTCCTCTCCACCGGCTTTTCAGGTACTGGCTGTGCCAGGGCCGGTCTGGAGGTTTCTGATTGCTCATAGTCAGATGTCCTTGTTGTCGTAGTTTCGTAGAATTCTGTTATTGTCTGAAAATTTGGCATGAAGTTACATCAAAATTTGACAATGTTATGAAGGTAAAAACTGTAATACTATGATCTTGATATACATTATTCTAACTTCAAGTCAGATTGATATTCCTGGTGTTATTAATACTTCTTCATATCTAAAACAGGCCAAAGCAGGAAATCACATGCTATATCCACATGAAGGCACATTATGTTACATAAATCTGAATGCTGACTGTGTAAGATTGCCTGGAACAAAAAGGTTACTTCTTACCTACTTGCAACATTGCCTTAAAACTCCATTTGCCTAAAGGAACACTTGAAAATAGGATAAAAACAAAACAAAAATATTCTCAATCATTTAAAAATCTTCTTAAACTGCATGGTAAAGTGAAAGCAAACTGGGATCAGGGAACAAAACAAATGAAGACAAATAAAACTCAAATTCTTGACTTTAATATTAACTTTTTAATGATTCTAAGAAAAAGTTGCTTGTTCTTCAGGTGTTTAAGTATTCTGTTATATGAGAAAGAATGATGAATTTGAAAAAATGAATCACATCAATAATACAAGTGATTACCATTCTCTTGGCTTAGTCAGTTAATTAAAGTGAACTAGAGTGCCATTTACACTAATAAATACCTAGGTGAACACGAATAATGATGACAACATAATGGGGTAGTTAGCTTCATGACAGTATGTGGTAGGTGGGAAATTGCTGCTTGTTACAATAGACTTTATAGTGAAAGAAACCAAGGTCCAAAGTTTGGGTCTAATCCAAAGTTTAAAAATATGTAAGAAAAGAAGATAAGCAGTTAAATTTTCAATGCATCTCACAGTAAAATTTCCTTCACAGCTTATATCATCTGTACCAAACGAAGAGTTCCAGCATCAATTAGGAAAAAAGAGAAACCTAAACAATAAGGAAATTGTACATCCATGACATACACCCTGATTTGTGTCAGATCCCTGCTAATAGATTGCTCTCTGTCCCTTATTACTGACATATGGTTGATGGTGAGAAAGTAACCAGTTTACAAAATTTACAGTTGTTAGTTCTTATGCAGGTTTCAGGGTTAGCCATCCACATCACCATGTGTCATGCTTAAGAGAAGCAGCTCCATGCAGAAAATTAAGCATGAGAGAGATTTCAGCTTGGGGAAAAAAAAAAAGTCCCAGCTTAGAATATTTATGGAAATGACTTTCTCAGAATTCCTAATGTGCCAAACTCTAAGTAGCATTTTATTGTATCATCAAGGACAAAGGCTTGGAGGCTCCATTTCTTTTGAGCAGAGTTGGTGCCCAAGAAGTTATGACTCTACACAGTGAAACTGCTGGTCCCCACACAAATCTCAAGTCCAAGGCCCCACCTTTGTTGCAGAGAGTGGTGACAGCCAATTGCATTATTCTAATAAGCATCACCTACACCAAAAATATCACCCAAGTAATGGGGGAACCATCCCTAGTCATTTTGGATATATTGAATAGTAAAAACAGGTAACATTCATACTTATACTGCTGGCTGCTGGCACATGGGTGAGTGACCTCCAGATTCTCCCTTTTGCCAGCTTGGTAGCCCTGGGAGTCAGAGAGGAGAAAGCTTTCTGCTTCACTGAGCATGCAGCCTGTTCAGATGTGGGCTGGATCTTACCTCCCCTGGTACGTCTTCATAGACTGTTTCCTCTGTGTAATACTATAAATAGAGAACAAAGGTATCATTAGAACCAAAGCAGGAATCACCTCTGCTTTGCCTCAGTTGAGCCACTTAGTTTATTTCACTAGTCCAGCTGGTTTTCAACATTGGTGGGAAGGAAGTAGATGGCAGGGGCTGCTCCTATTTTGGAACCCATTGCAACTATGTCAGGCTGGATCTGAAATCAAATCTACTTTTGTACTACTTCTGACATCACTAGCAATAAATAGATGTGGATAAGAACTGGCTGACATTTTGTTTCAGATGTGTAAGGAGAGTGGAATCCTGCCCCTAGCATCACCCAGCTTTGCTGGATGAACAGAAGGAAAGACCGGTTTAGGCCAAGGCATACAGAAAAGGGATAAAATGAAACCACTTGGCTCATTTTCTCAGTTAACAAAATGAGTAACATTTTATGCTTCATTTTTTCTTGACCACCAAAACATATACTTGGGAGGGAGGGGAAAAAACAGTGAAGGCAAAATTCCCCTCAGGGGCCTCCTTTCTTTTGCCCTTGGTTCAGTGATCTCTCATCAAATTACTTAACTATGGTCCGGAGGCCACATGCTCTGTTTCACGAGCAATAAAATTAGCATAAAAGTTGCTTAATATCTCCCTCTCTTATGCTTCCTCTGCTCCTGTACTATTTTTCTTTTTAATTTTTGAAATCTAATTTTGTCTCTGTGTCCTTACACATAGCAACAGAAACCACAAGCTCTTACAGGACAGAGAATCTCTTTTATGTGCTATGTCTTCGTCACATGGGAAATACCATTTGGACACTTTAGGGAATGCTGTTTGATGCTGATCTACATGGAACCTTTTTTTTTTTTTCCTGGTCATATAAAACAGCGGTGACTTGAAAACAAATTTTCAACTAAAGTGAATGATTCACAACTATTTTGGATTTTCTTAGCATCCAAGTAAAAGCAGCTCTTTGGTAGCCATCCATTTTTACCTTTGCTAAGCTCTCATCATTAGTAAATATGTCTTAGAAAAAAAGCTTACCAAAAAAGGCAACATTATCCAAATGGTTGGCATAAACTTGTAAGCCAAATCTTTGTTTTAGAATTGTGCCACTAAATAGTATGATAGAAAGGAAAAGTCAAAGATGTACTAAGTTTAAGTTTGACTACAGAATGACAGTACAACTTTATTCAGGTGTCCAAGAACCCCAGGAGAAATACTTTTAGAGCTAGTTCTTGTTTTGTGAATTCTTCCCTATTTCCTTAAATCTGCCACGAATCCGTTCTTGTGGCATCTTTTGAGGTCAGAGAGACCTTGGTTCAATTCTCTCTGGCAGAAAGCTATTAGTTTATCACCTGCTGGTCCCAGAAACAGGGAACAATATGGCAAGGAAAAGATGCCTAAAAATAGCCTCCTCCATTTTTATGACATCTAGTTAAATCCTTCAAATCTAGCTCTAAGGGCAATTTCCAATGACCAGTTAACACCATTATTTTAAGGAAGGCAAGGCGTATTTAAGATGGAGATTAAAAGGTATTCCTGGTATTACCATCATACAGAAGGCGATTTATAATTGTGTTAGTGCTTGACAGTGATTATTCTGACCAGCAGGGATATATGTGAAATGTGCACTAGTGAAAACACTGGACACTGAAGATCTGGCCTTTGGCATTTGAATCAGAGAGGTTGAATGTTATACTGAATGAAGGTCAGTCTGTTTTTTCCTTCATATCCTTCAATAATAAAAGCAATTATATTTTTAGAATAAAATAAAATTTTCTTGATCTAAGAATAAACTGTCACATAAAATAATATTCTAAAGATAGATTTTGGCATGTTCATTTGGGATTTGATTCTGGGTAACTTAAATTTCACTCTTACTAAAAAGCACAGATTTTCAAAACTGCCTCCATGTATCTTGAGCATGTAAAGAGATTTTCACATGTTTAAATCATCATCGTTAATTGGTAATTGTTAAGGACTTACAGATTCCAATGGCAATATATTTACATGGATGCTAAAGGCAAGAAGTGGTAAAGAAAAACCACAACATAATAAAAACTGAAATGAAATAAATATAAAGCAACAATTTTATAAATCATGTCAGATATCCCAATAACCTTGAAGGAATTTTTCAAGATGCCCACTATGGTCTTTTGTTCTTTTTCAAATTCAAATGCAAAAGCTAGTCTTGTTCCCTTGGGTAAATAGGATGGAGTTGGTGGGGAAGTATGGCTCCAACTGTCACTTGTGAGCCCCATGATTTTTACATATTTGTGTGTGTGCACATATACACATGTATAAAATCTTACATATACATATATATATGTGTGTATATATATGATATATATATATATATATATATAACTGAACACTTAATCCATTTCACCCTAAACATAGATAATTAGCTTGCTGAAGCAAGGAGTAAGTAGCTCTTTTTCCCTCTGTGGCTGTGCAAACATTAAGAAATAGGATTCAGTTCTCAGAACTTTCTCTTCATTTCCTCTGTCCCTTTGGCCACAGGGGCTGAAGTGGGGAAGAAGGAAGTTTCAGAAGGCAGTTGAAAATCCATCTTTACCCCATACTTTTTTGTGCATGTGAACTTAAAGAAAAGCAAAAGTGAGTAACAGTGATACTTTTTTTCAGTTCTAATCCCACATAATTATAGTGAAACAGAATGTAAAATACTCCTTTTCTTATGCTTTAACAATGACTCTTTGTGAAGTTATAATAGACAACGTATTTTTCAAACGATTAATTCACCTACACGGCTTTGACTATCGTCACATAAAAACACTCTTTTGTCAGAGTCAGGAGTTTTAAAAATCTTACCTCCACCACCTCCTCATATTCTTCGTCATCTGCCATTTTCCCAGAGTAGTAGTGGCACCTACAAACTTTTCATATTCCAGACAAACGATAATCCATTAGAATCTATCCCCAGGACTGAACCCCCCTTATAATATTATAAAAAGAGAATTAGAGGCTAATCTGTTCTATATACTCATGTATTTTTGCAGGCTAAGTGAGAGGAGATACGTAAATTCTGGTCTTAAAAAACAGGCTTTAAATTTCTCGATTCTGTCAGGAATGTGCTTCATATTGCTACTTCTAGCTGTATGATCAATCTAGTTAAAGTTGTAAAATGAAGCTGAGGGGACAGAGTGAGAGGGTTTGGAGTCAAAGGAACAGAATATTTATGTTTCCAAATACTTGGAGGAAAAAGATACCTTAAAGCAAAATTTTAAGGAAAAATTATAGGGAAAGTTCAACTTGGCTTTCAGAAAAAAGTTGGAGTTTTCCTGGTAGGGCCAAAATTCTAAGAGGGCGGCCTTAGGTCTCCATCCTGTTATACCACATTGTATGCAATAGAGCCTATGCTTCAATTAGAACACATAAAAATAAATCTGTCAATGGACTTGAAAAGAAAAAATAGAAACCTCAAGGCAACGGGGTTATTTTCTTCCCAAACACCATTGGCTTGTACGGATTTTTCCTCTTTCGTTTCTGTAGCTCTGTTCAAACCTGAAAAACAGCAAATGGTTAAAGCATTGACTGAAGTTCATACGAGATGGTAGGTCTTGGGCCCAAGTTGCTAATTCAGGAACCAGGGAAGGGATCTCCCAAGGCCTTCTTTGACGCCAGAGAGGAGGACTCTCTCTCTCTCTCGGTAAAAGTAGATGATGTTTTGAAGCAGCTGTCCCTTCACCCAAAGATATTTGCTTGTAAACCAATACCCCAGCTGTGGCTGGTTTTGTTAAGCTAGCAAAACTGCCACTCCTTCTGAGTCAAATGAAGTCCAGTAGAACCAGATAAATATAGGAACGAAGGACATAGATCTTTTTTCATACTAATATATTTAGAAAAAAGGAAAAACAAAGGCAAAAAAAAAATTCGTTAGACAAGATAGCCAACTCAGTCAAGAAGAAAGTTGGTTAGTATAGGACTTTAATCACACACTCACATCAGGTATAAGTAAGACCTGAGCTGGGCCATAGGGTTATAGACTTTCCTAGTCACGTTTGCATCACTCATTTCCCAGTTAAGACGCAAATTTTGGAAAACACCTCAAGGGAAGTTGTAAAACATTTCCTAAAAGAATATTACAGAAAAAAAAAAAGCCATAAATTGGCCTTACCTTCAATCTACCAAACAAATTTCCTCAGCAGCAAAGCCTCTCCCAACTCTCCCCTCCTGACAACCCCAGACAAGAGCCGGTGTGGAGCATGGGCTCTGAATTATCATGTGGCCGGAGCAGCCAATCAGATCCCAAGTCGCTCAAATTTCAGAAGCTAAATATACTAAGTGATCTTCTGAAAACCACCTGTTCATCAGTTCCACTAAAGGATAAAGGGTAACAAATTGCTTGCATAGAAGTATTCAAATGTAATGGAATTTTACCTAACTGCCAGCGTAAGGGGCTCAAATTGAGGTTTAATCTCTCATTTCCTACCGCTCTTTGTTTAATATCATATTCATGCAAAAGAACTTAGAAGAAAATCAGCATGACTTTGAGGGGCTTTAACCCTCCTCTAACTGTTTTCTTCTCAACAGTTTTTCCATCTTCATGGAGATAAATAAGCTCACTCTTATACAGTTCACCTGGTGAGCATGGTAAGCTACAGGTGTTGATATGAAAGAAATAGAGGGATAAGATCCAGAAAACATCAAGTTGGTAAAACCAATTTTTTTAAATGTAATAAAATGAAGTGATAGGTGAAAATACTTCGTGGAGACGCTAAATAAGGTACCCATAGGGCGTAATTAGAGAGATTAGGCCTCATCATTTTTCTATTACTAAACCAGTGAGGGGAATGCCAAGATCATACTCATTACCTTCTCTCTTTGTAAGCAAGCCTAGCTGCTAGGAATACAGAGCCTCCCTCAGATGTAACTAATTGGGTTATTGATTTCTTATTTATTTCAGATGACTCTGAGAGGCAAAATATGAATGCAGGTACAAAAGGGCTCAATTTTTGAAGAACAAGAGCAAATAAAATGGAGATCAGTAAATTATTAGAAAATAATGCTCTATTTGCAAGTCAGAGGGTAAGACACTGTATAAAATTATCCAACAATTTTTTACCTGCAGCTGATTCTCACTGACTAATGTCTTTCCACTCCCTATTCTAAGGCAAAACTCAATAGGTCACTTGGATCTTAATGTGGATTTGAAACTAAACATATTGCTATGGTTTTTTGGGGCAGAGGTTAAATGTTAGGAAGAAATCTCACATTTCAAACGTACGTACCTCTCCCTTTTCTGTGATTCATATGGTAGTAAAATTTGATCATCTTTCCATTTGAATTAATTATACCTGTTGATTTCATTTATTTTCACAGGTTTTCTCACCAAGGAATACTTGTGTGTAATATGATCATTTACCTGGAAGCTGCAAACTAGAAGAATGATGACTTACTATTCACCACGTGCTTTTTAAAAGATGGTGTTACATTGAAAGATAATAGGGATCTTTTAAAAAAAACATAGTACAAAAATATATAAAGTAAAAAAGAAGTATAAATTAATGCTTATCTGGAGTTATGACCTCAAGATGAAAGAACCCCTCTATTTTTCAGGCCTATTGAGGGTCTATTTTGTGGAAGAAGAATAAATTGATACCTTGAGTTATCAGTAGCTCCTTACGTGCCTTTCACATAAGTGCTCAATAAACGTTAACCATTATTATTTTAGAATTATTAATACATTTTTAAACATTTTATTGGTATCTTTACTCTTTATATTAGACTGAAATACTAACTTACTGTGAAACTTCTGAAATCAGACTTTAGTCTAAGAATTCATGAATCAGTAGGAGCTTGGCTGTAAGACTGTATGTTGTTGTTCAGTCACTAAGTTGTGTCCAGCTTTTTAGCAACCCCACGGACTGTAGCCCACCAGGCTCCTCGGTCCATGGGACTTCCTAGGCAAGAATATCAGAGTGGGTTGCCATTTCCTCCTCCAGAGGATCTTTTCAACCCAGGGATCAAATCCGCATCTCCTGCGTTGTCAGGTGGATTCTTTACCACTGAGCCACCAGGGGAGCCTGTAAGACTGTGTAACTGGCTACAACACAAAGCAGGGTACGGTTAGGTACCAGTAGCAGAGCGTCAGATGATGTTTTCTGAAATACCAAAGTTTAGGAGTGTCATGTCTGGAGACCATAAGAGATTTTATGGAGGAGATGGCATTGTAATAGTTTCTGTTGTTGCAGTTTGATTTCATTAATTATTTTGGCCAAATTATATCTGCACATTATTTAAGAATCAAATAGTTTTGCAAGGCTTCTTACTAAAATCAGTGCCTCCTGTTTCCATCATTCATCTGTTTTCCCCACCCTGGAGACAATCACTTTAACACTTTTAGTGGAATCATTTGTTATTTATCTCTACACAGTTAACAAAAATGTCTCTTATTTTTTTGTGATTTTTTCCAGTCATTGGTATTATCTGTCAGGTTCCTACCTTGGAAGATGAGGCTTTAGTTCTCTTTTATAATAAAACCCCACTCTAACCCGGAGAAGGCAATGGCAACGCACTCCAGTACTCTTGCCTGGAATATCCCATGGTCGAAGGAGCCTGGTAGGCTGCAGTCCATGGGGTCTCGAAGAGTCAGACATGACTGAGCGACTTCACTTTTACTTTTCACTTTCATGCATTGGAGAAGGAAATGGCAACCCACTCCAGTGTTCTTGCCTGGAGAATCCCAGGGACGGCGGAGCCTCATGGGCTGCTGTCTATGGGCTTGCACAGAGTTAGACACGACTGAAGAAACTTAGCAGCAGTAGCAGCCCTCTAACCAGACACAAGCCTCATCTCCCATCTCTATACTCCCAATAAGGTTTTATTTATGAAATTCAGAATTCAATGTTTACATTATTATGATTAAGAAAAGGCTGTTCACAGCTGAACCCCATATATTATGATTATTTTTCTTTTCCTGCCCAACAGTTAATTTTTCTGCAAATTCATAGTTTTCGTTTTTTTTCCCCTCTCTGTTTTTTCTCCATTGGCTTCATTTTTCTGGATAAGCAGTATCCAATACAACTTTCCGCAGTACTGAAAATATTCTAATACTACTACCAAGATGGTAGCCACTAGCCACATGTGGTTATTGAACACTCAGCACATGTCTAGTGTGACTGCAGACCCGAGATTACATATTTTTTGTTTAATTTGTGCTGAAATAGCCACATGATGGCTGGTGTTGAACAGCACAATTCTAGAAACTTGTCACTACCTCAAACTTGCTGTCTAAATCTGCTCTTGTCCTTTTCAAAGACATCAAGCAGCTTGTATGCTAAGCGGCTTCCGTCGCGTCCGACCCTGCGACCGTATGGACCACAGCCTGCCAGGCTTCTCTGTCAGGCTTCTCTGCCCACGAGCTTCTCCAGGCAAGAACAGTGGAGTGGGTTGCCATGCTTTCCTCCAGTGGATCTTCCCAACCCAGGGACTGAACCCGAGTCTCCAGCATAGGCAGGTGGCATTCTTTACCACTAGCGCCACCTGGGAAACCCCAGAATTCTATAGTTATATTCATCTTAGACCTCTCAGGGAGCCATCTGTTCCATCTGGCCTAGTTTCTTCTGTAGCTGGTGCTAAGGACTTATTCTGAACCCCCTTCACTGTTATTCTGGGGATTATGTGGATTATAATATGAAAATTACCATTCCTTTATTGAACTAATATTTATTATGTGAAATGTAAGAGGCACTGTTCTAGGTTCTTCCACATGCAGCAGGCATTGACTGAGCAATATATATGTTCCACTGCTTGCTTATTAACAGAACCAAAATTTAGTTTCGGACACAAATACACTAATTTACAAAATACACTCCTCTTCAACTCCTTAAATGTTAGGGGAAAACTGTGATAGTTTTGCCAGTAAGATTTAAGTGCAATTCTAGAGAATAAGGCTTCTGGGAAAGGTATGATTTTATTGATGAGCAGGGTCAGATTCAGCTGGCATGCACTGTTTTCCTCTTGCCATTTGTCCCTTCTCTAGACCTAGAACACAGGTATAATGTCTAAGGGCAGAGCAGCCACACTGAGACTATGAGGGTATAAGTCATACACTAAGAAATGTAAAGCTTTTAGAAGGGGCCTTAGTCCTTAATGACTTAATTTTTATATTTCATAATTAGTTTATACTTCAACGAGTTAAATATACAATTGCACAAATAATTACATTGTGATTATTTTAAATGTGCCTGTGTATTATGTATTAATTTTTTTCTATTTTGCACTTTGCCACTAATAAAGTTGGTTATTTTTTCATGTTTGTTGACTATTTGTATCTTTTATTCTGCGTATTGTCAGCCCATATCTCTCCGTCTACACTGATTTATAGTCATTCTTAATATATTATAGATATTGACCATGTGTCTCTTCTGTATGTTGTGAATATTCTAAGTTGTTTGTGGTGTCTGTGGCCATAGAGATGTTTTAAATCCATATGCAGTCAAATCAGGAAATCCTTGTCCAGCTTTGACACTACTTAACAGGTAAATTGAATTTAAATGCCACTTGAGTACTTCTTGAATTAAATTGGATGTCTGTTTCTAGAGTCTAGTGTTTTTTTCTTGTTTCGCTTTCCTTTTACTTTCTGGAGTTTTGCTTTTTTAATTTTTTGTGTTTGTTGTGACTTTTAATATATAAAGAAAACTATATAAAACTTATGTGTGCATTAGTCACTCAATCATGTCTGATTCTTTGCGACCCTATGGACTATATCCTGCCAGGCTCCCCTGTCCATGGGATTTCTCAGGCAAGGATACTGGAGTGGGTTGTCATTTCCTTCTACAAAACTTATGTGTACAATTTAGCAAATGGGGTAAAGTGAACATTCATATAAATATCACTCAGGTACAAAAAGGTCATCTGTCCTGTCCTTGAGAGTAATAATTTCCTTGCTCTTATTTTTAATTTTACCACCTCTGTATGCACTCCTAAACAATTTAGTTTTGTTTTTAAATTTTACATAATGGATTCATGCTATATGCAATTTTTATAGTGTAACTTTTCATTGAACATTGTGTTTGTTGATTTTTAATTATATAATAATATTTGTGTGTGTGCTTGTTAGTCGCTCAGTTGCGTCCTACTCTTTGTGACCCCATGGACTGTAACTCGCCAGGCTCCTCTGTCTATGGAATTCTCCAGGCAAGATTACTGGTGTGGGTTGCCATTTCCTTCTTCAGATAATAATGTTTACTATCGTGTAATACTGCAAATATTTTATCATG